CAAGTGAATTGTGTCATGTTGCCAGATGTAGGCTACTTGGCTGGGGTCCACGAGACGAAAGTCATCGATGGTTAGAGACCTTGAAAGACATGGCTCAAAATCGTTTACAATGGCGCAAGTGCATCCACTCTTTGTGTTCCCTCAAATCCTAATCTTCTGGATTCGTCAGCACCTCTAACTTTGTCTTTCTAAACTTATCTCACTCAATTATACTTCTTTAATAATATCTTGGAACTCTAATCTTCTCCTTTACCAGTAGTACTTCTACTATCTCTACCACTATGGGATTTGAATTGACAATTGCGTCTCTGTGCTAATGTGGTATAGAAACATCTACTGATGTACTTACGTACGAAGTTCTACGTTGCAGCTGACTAACTGACTGACTGACTGATTTTGTATTCATATTAATACGAAATGATGAAGGTCTATTATTATTATTATTATTATTATTATGGTTAGGAGTTCATTTATTTCTAACAATAAATACAATTGATTATTTGTTTTAATATACAATAACATTGAACAATAAAATATTTTATTATCAACAATATACAGATGAATTCAGCCAGAATGTTGATTTATGCATACTTGTATTATTTTATCTGATTTCAAAACAATCATCATAAAATTTTTTAAATTATAGCGCCAAAAAAACATTATAGTCAAAAAATAATTGTTTATTTAAACATCTGCTGCTGTTAATGTATAGCTGGCAAAATACACCTTATTTTCATGAACAATAAATAAACTAAGGTCATGCAGAATACCAAAAAATAATAACAGTCAACATAACTCATAATATTATCGCTAATAATCAATAGTTTTCCTGTGATCATATTTACAGAGAATAATTATTCAACATCATTAAAGTACAAAAAAGAGATATTTCTCTAATTATTATTTATAGACATTTGATAGAAATCATTAATTGTTAGTCCATCCATGTTAATTACAATGAAAAATTTAAAATGCAAAAACCATTGTTCTTATTATTAATTTCTAAATTATGTTATTTAATTACGCTATATATATATATATATATATATATATATATATATAGTAAAGTTACAAGAACTGCATCTCCTATATGGCTGTGAAACATGGTCGTTAAGAGTAGAAGATGTTCGTAGGTTACTAGTATTCGATCATAGATGTTTAAGAAGCATTACTCATTTATCGTCGGACAACCGAGTAAGCAATGCTGTCGTTAGGAAACGAGTATTAGGTGAGGATGGCAGACCAATAGATGAAGTAGTGAAACTTCATCAGTTGAGGTGGTTGGGACATGTGTTACATATGGCTAAACACCGACTGCCTCGACGAGTTATGTTTTGTGGTGTAGGAGTAGGTTGGAAGAAAGTTAGGGGCGGCCAGACCAAAACATGGCACAAATACATGAAGTCAATGACAAGTGAACTGAGTCATGTTGGTAGATGTAGGCTACCTGGTTGGAGTCCGCGAGACGAAAGTCACCAGACCAGAGACCTTGAACGACATGACTCAAAATCGTTTGCAATGGCGCAAGTGCATCCATTCTTTGAGCTCTCTCAAATCCTAATCTTCTGGATTCTTCAGCACCTCTACCTTTGTTTTTCTAACCTTATCTCACTGAATTAGACTTCTCGAATCATATCTTCGCTCCCTAATCTTCTCCATTACTGCTAATACTTCTACTATCTCTATCACTATGGGATTTGAATTGACATTTGCGTCTCTGTGCTAATGTGGTATGGCAACATGAACTTATGTACGTACGTACGAAGTTCTACGTTGCAACTGACTGACTGACTGACAAGAACTGCATGCCTTTAGTGATGCTCCATAACAGCTTTTTTTATCATAATTTAATTTCTATTAATTCATTATGGTCAGACTTGGTGGTTTTATATGAATATGATAAATTCTAACCATTACTATTTATAGTAGTATATGATTACAACAGTTCAATGTTACAATGATTAGCAGCTGTGATTATAAACTTTAAAGAATAATTAATAAAGTAACACATTGGATTAAATGATTATAAGTAAGTAGATGATTATTGTATATCATTATAAAAACTCGATTGAAATTAATTTTTATAAATAATATTTATATTTGTATTAGTGACAAACAATTTTTGAGTAAGTAAGTAGATCAGGCCATAATGAATGATACCATTAGAAAATTTACAATCTATTTTATTATAAATATACTTATAATTTTAAGAAAAAAAAATTTTCTCGTCAATTTTTAACATCGGCTAAATTTATCTTTGACCTAAGCGCACAATTATTTTATCACAACAGATATGCAATGCACAAAAATAAAAACAAAAAAAAACTTTACAAAAAGATCAATGTCCAATCTGAAAGTAGACTGTATGTATATTCTAAACAAAACAATATATTCAATGTTACATGAAATGTTATGAAAAATATCATCAATTTGAAAATAAGGGAAAAAAGCATCAAGTATAAACTTCTGTTCAGAACGATGATGAAGATGATGATGATTTATATGAGTAGATCAGTTGTGTAATTATATTTAAAAAGATGTCAAAGATATAAAGAGATCTAAATCTTCTACTCCATATCTCTGTTTTATATAGAGACCTATCCATTTTTAAGATACATTGTGATGGTGTTTCGTTACCTGTGAGCTGGATGTTTTGGTTGTGAAGTTTGTGCTGCTGATGATGATGTAGTTGTTTGTTCAGAAGAACAACAATGAAAGCTGCACAACTAACTAAACATAGAGCTCACAGAGAACGAAACACCATCACAATCATCACCCAGTTGAGCTACAGATTTTCGCCACCATCTTAAGATAGATTTTCTAGTACTTTAGAGTGCTGAAATTCGTAAGCTAAATAAAAATGATTAATGAGCAACTTTACAATAAATCAATGAAAATAATCATTTTAGAAGAAATCCTACTTTTTTTAATAATCGATTTTGTAATACAAATATTAGATACGCGATTACAATTGCATTGATTAGTTGGCTGAAAATCGGCCTAGGAGTGGATTAGGAACAACTAAACTCATCAGTGTAAATTAAAAGAGATCAAAGATGTGGACTATGGAAGACAACTTATACCTCAGCTAATAAATCTTGACAGTTACTTCTTTTTTATCTGTGGTGAAACATTCTGTTTAAGCTAAAAAAAAAGGGTTCATAAACCTAATGTTCTTCAGTATTGTAGGGATTCTCTTTCAAGTTTTCACTTTTTGTTCTTTGTTCTATTTCATGAATTGAGGTTAGCAATTTTTGATTAGCATTCATTGGATTGTTTACAATTCATAGTCGATAAAGCCATTAGTGTGAATTTTTCAAGCTCTCAAGGAAATAGAACGCATCAAGTTTCTTTTAATACTTAATGATGCCCAATTTTGTAAATTCATACACTGTCCGAATCGTTCATATATATTGGTTTATGTCTCAATAAAATAAGAAGGAAGTGAGATTTTGAGTTTGTCTCAGGTTCTAGTAATAAGTGTAAACGATTGGTAGTAGTTATTGAACTTTTGCAGAATATCATCTAGTTAGCTGCTATTATCACAAATGATCGGATCACTTGTATATCATTTGTATAAATGAAATCTACCGATTATTAGTCGAACAATAATATTCTCCAAGTTGATCATGAAACAATCTGTCAGGAGAGAATTCAGCAGTTACTCTATTGCAACACTTTAGATTTATTTATCCATATGACTGACTTATTGTTAGGTTTGAAAAGTAAGCTGACACTGAAAAGTATATAGTATAGTTTCTTTAGTTGTTTTTGAGATATCTTTTTATTTTAAGATTACCATTTTATATTATGATTATATGTCAGTTAGTTGCAACGTAGAACTTTGTGCCTATGTACATGAGTTCACGTTGCCATACCACATCACCACAGAGACATAAATGTCAAATCAAATCCCATAGTGATAAAGATAGTAGAGGTATTAATGGTAATGAACAAGACTAGGGTTTGAAGATATTATTCAAGAAGTATAATTCGTTGAGATAAAGTTAGAAAGACAAAGGTAAAGGTGTTGACGAATCCAGAAGATTAGGATTTGAGAGAGCACAACGAATGGATGCACTTGCGCCATTGCAAACGATTTTGAGTCATGTGGTTCAAGGTCTCTAACCATTGGTGACTTTCGTCTCGCGGACTCCAACCAGGTAGCCTACATCTACGAACATGACTCAGTCCACTTGTCAGTGACTTCATGGATTTCTGCGATGTTTTTGTTTGGCCGCCCCTAACTTTCTTCCAGTCTACTCCTAAACCGCAAAACATAGCTCGTCAAGGCAGTTGGTGGTTAGGCATTTAGGAGGTAAACATTCAAATATATCATTCTCTTTCCAGATACATTAACGTCAGCTGTTGAATCAGTGATTTCAAAAGAAATAAGTATTCTGCTTATCGATCTAATTTATGATTAACTATAGAATTGCCATATTTTGCGACGCTATTCATATCCACTGCAGGAACATCTTTTTGATATACTTTCTGAGTATCAGGACTGGTTGATTTACCACACGTTCCCTTCAATATGATCGTACAAAATTATTTATAAGGTTAGATGAGATAGTTTGAATGATTTATGAATGGAAACTTGTGCGCAGTTTAAGCTCTAGAAATGCATTAATTCAGTCCTGATCTCTGTACTGAAAAGTAATTTATTTCGTTCTTCATTTTACTATAATCCTCTTAATATATATATATATATATATATATATATATATATATATATATATATATGAACTGCTCGTTAGACAACGAAATAAGATCTTTTAGTTGAACGTTGTTAATTTTAGCTGAAAAAGGATGAATAAGTTATGATCTAGATGAGTGCCAACAAAGTATTGATTTCGGTGGAAGACATTCACTAAATCTATCAGCTAAAATAAACCGATTGAATACATAAATAATAGATGTAAATGAACATTTTAAGTTTTTTTTTTTAGAAAACAAAAAATTCCATGATTAATTTATTTACAAAACTATTGACTTACTTTACCAAGACCACAATTTTTTGTTGGAGTATTTACTGAAATAAAAATCATATCGGCTTCATCTATTGCTTTGTCAATATCCGATGAAAAGTGTAGATTTTTTCCACGGTGTAATTTAACAATTTCATCTAATCCCGGCTAAATATAATAATAATAATAAAAGTATATAAGGTGATAATGAAATAATAAAGACAATTATTAGATAAAAATCAGATTACATTTAGGTTAAGAATAATAGTTTTAATAGTAGTTTAATACGGTCCCACCTTTTTGTAACACTTTCAGATTGAACATCGATCAATAGTTTAAATGATATTATGTTTTAATGAAGTGAGAAATATTTTAGGAAAAAGTTTAATTTATCTTGAAAATTTATGTCCAGCGCAAAAATGTAACTAAGAAAAAGTTTTATGTTGAATTATGACGTTTACAATTACAGACGAACAAGTTAGAAGTACAACTTTACAGTTATTTGAAAACTAATGCCAATTATCTCTAAGTGGGTACTTTCAAGCTATAGCAAACCACTATAAAATTGACTTTCATTAATAAAACTACAACATGCTTACTTATGACAGAATTCAAACTCTTCGGTTTAATATTATGGGAAGTAATAAATGCAAACAGATGAGAAGTTTATCATATACATGAAGAAAAAAGGAAATACTTAATAGTTTCAACTGTCAAAATGATCCAGCTGATGTCATGATATATATATATATATGCATAAAATCATCTTCGCTATATATATATATCTTGCTTCACAAAATAACCATAGTATATTATTCCAAAGATTAATGAAAAATGCTATTAAATCAAATACTTTAATCTAGTAGATGAAATGTCTTTTAAAATTTAACTGATTTAATCCAATTAGTAAAAATAATCAAGTCTGAGGTAACTCTGCCTGATACTTCAATAGGATTACAATTGGTCCAAAGCATGGATAAAGAAGAAGAGTTGTACATCAAGGTTAACGACTTATATCCGGAGAAAGATTAGAGGACTGATGACTCTTAGAACTAACTTATGAATTATTATTCTTACAAAATTGTATGTAAAATAAAGTGAAATTATATACGTGTGTATACAAATTTACATCTTTAACATTGAATGCGCCTACACTTGCTACGAGGTTAATAATTTAAAACGAATATGAGCCGATCAATACAGTGAAATATTTCACATGTCATGATGAGAATTGCAAACTAATTCTCTGGAAAAAGGATAAACATTAGACAGAACAGATCTTCACTTGACTAACAATAATTTACAAGTTAGTACTGGCAAAGATCAACAAAATCAGGGTTGAATAAAATTACATTACAAAAGATGCCTAGTTCTTTCTTTACGATATTTTGGACACCATCTCAAAATCATATGAGCGTGACACACTTCTTGTTGTTCGAAAATAAGAGAATTTCGCCAAAAGGCAGGCTTCCACTCGAGAACAAATATATTTTCTCCATGAATGTCTTCATCAGCATGTTCAATCAACGAATGTCAGATACAGACCACCAATCAACTGCCCAATGGGACGGCGAATAGCGGAACAAAGTGGAAGACATATGGTAGAACTAATGACCATCGATGCACACTACAGACACCAGATGTATGTCTAAATGTATCTCAGTGGCGTAGGAATTATGCAACGACTACATAAATCGATTATATGTTTACCAACATTTTGAAAGCTCAGTCTCAGAAATAAATATTTCATTCAAGCTGGTGATTACAAAACAGAATGACAAAACTTATCTACTGGTGGATATCTATTTTGTAATACTTCTGAGCATGTTTACACATCTAGGTGTAACAAAAAGCTGCATCAAACTATCAGCAAAATGTATTACCTCATATATCGGGAGCGTATCTGAATTCCACATCTGGATTTGTTCATCAGAAGTATCAACAACAGTAACTTGAATCTCCGGGCAGTAATGGGCAATGATTGAAAGTGTTGAACCTCCTACATAACCTGCACCAAGACAGCATATTTTCGACAACATACTTTCTAAAATACAAATAACTGAAATAAATAAGGCACATATAACTGATATTTAGTTAATAAACAAACAATCCCGCTTTCATTGTCACGATAAATATAATTTAATTCTACTGAACAGGCAACTACGCCTTTAACAAACAAGTGTTGAGTGAATTTTTTTTAGCTTAAACAAAAATTGATTTTCAACTATTATCTAATAATAAGATAAAACAGATTAAATGAACTTGAGAGACAGAGAAAAAATTGTGAGCAGAGTTATTATTCATGACTGTTTGTACGATAACTATTACTATCACAACATTTTCTCCACATTTTGCTTGGAATTTCAGTGTGAAAATGACGCAAATATATAATTCTTCACGTAATTTAATGAAATGCTATTACTCACTAAAAAATTCGCCATTAAAACAATGTACACATTAAGTATAGCTTTGATATTCATCGTCCAAATTCTATTCACAAGTCAATCAGTCAGCAACAAGGCAGAACTTGGTACATACTTAAACCAGTTCAAGTTGCCATAATACATTAGCACAGAGATGAATTTTTCAATCCAAATCCCATAGTAGCAGAGGTAGCAGAAGTATTAGTGGTAATGGGAAATATTAGGCATCGAGGATATAATTCGAGAAGTAAATTTAAAAAGAGATAAAAGGTCATCAAGAATTCATATTACAATTTGAGGGAATACAAAGATTGGATTCACCTGCGTCATTGCAAACAATTTAGAGCCGTTACTCAAGGTCTCCAACCATCGTCCACTATTTTTTCGTGAACACAATCAGGTAGTCTAAACGTACAAACACGGCTCAGTCCACTTTTTAGTGACTTCATGGATTTGTGCCATGTTTTGTTTTGGCCTCCCCTAGCTTTCTACCAGCCTACCCCTTCATCACAAAACATTACTTGTCGGGACAGTAAGTGGTTAGGCATGCGTAATGCGTGTTCCAATCACCTCAACTGATGAACATTCATTACTTCGCCGATTTATTTGTCATCCTTACACAGTACCCTTTTCTAACCCCAGCATTGATTACTCTATGGTCCCAGGAGATCCGATCCGTTGAAGTTACCTATGATAGAATACTCGTAACCTACGAATATCTTCTACTCTTACTGGCTATTTTTCGCATTCATATAGTAGGACGGAGCAAACTGCTGAGGAGTAGACTCCTTCTTTGGTTGGCAAACAGATATCTCGCCTATGCCACAAGCAACGCAAGTTGGCTAAAGCCAGTCGAACCCTCCGTATCCGTACTGAGATTTCATCACGCACCAGGCTATCAAAACTGCTGAGACTTCCCAGATAAGTGGAGCAGTCAACATACTCAACTACCGCATTCTCTATCACCAGTTCAGGTGCTGATGCAGCCCAATTCTGAAGTAACATTCCGCGTTTCGAGAGGGAGAACCACATATCGAACACGCTTGCATTGTTGCTCAAGGTGGTCAAAAGACTCTACATTTTGTCAGTGTCTTCACCAAATAGAACTTTGTCACCTGCACATTCTAAGTCAACAAGCGAATCTACTGCTAAAAAGTCAACCTCTGAAAACGTCAGACGATGAAAGTGTCGTCTCTAAAGGCATGTCAATAACAGATTTAAATAAGAACAGAGAAAGCAAACAGCGCTAACGAACAGTACTTGAAGTAATCAATATCCATGACAATTCGCCATAAGCTCTCACTCGATGGATCATGTTCAAGTGGAGAGCCCGTATAAGGTTAATGTATAAGATAAGATCTCAGTCCATCCCACTACTGAAATGGGACCATCAACGTTACAAATCTCAAGGGTTAATCCATAATATCCTGGTGCTTTCCTCTCCTAAGATTGCTTGTAGTCTTGTCAACCTCATTAAGAGTTGAAGTACGTTTATTAACGTGTTACTGAGGTTGACCGGAGGTCGTGGGCAACTAAAGGCTGATTGAAGGACTTTAAGTGTTCTACCTAAAGTGAGAATGAATGGTAGTCTCATCCTTTACCGAGATAGTTCTACTAACAGTTGGATTCCTAATATCAGTTTCCTTGATAAGTCTGAATAGTTGTTTATTGCTGCCTATTTCCGGTACTTCTTCAACCTTTTTTGATTTCGATACTCACCACTGCTTACAGTCGTAGCATAGACTTTTTACCTGACTGTATCTAGGATGCCTCCAGTCCTCATAATGTTCAGAGCCAGATAGGATGAACTTCCAAGTATCTATCAGTTCAGTAGATGTCACTGAAATCAACTGTTGCTCCATAACCTTTTAGTTTACCTTACTGACAAATATCACTGCTATTTTAACAGCTTTTTGGATATCATACCAAGATACCTCTACTTAAATGGCTACCTGAATGTCTTTTTAGTTGCTTTCAAAATATACGCATGGATATTTTATCATCAAGTAGAACTCTGAAGGGTTTACTTGTTGCACCTTTCTTACGTCCATCATGCTTCGACAAATAAGTGCTCGTACTAGAGCATGATCTAAATCTAAACATGTGATCCAGAACGAGTGATGGTCTTCTGTTGAGCCTCTTTATTGGTGGCTGATACCGATGTGGTCTAGTTGGGTCAAGCTCCGAGTCAAAATATGTTGTTACTTATGTTTAGAGTTGGTATTAGCCAGAAATAGGCGGTTATCTGAGCATAGCTGCAGCAGAAGGTCGGCATTATCCGTTACATGAGCCGCGATACCATAAGATCAGTTTCGCTTAGTCTACCTACTTAAGCATTAAAGTCACCAGCCACTATTACTAAATCAGAACGCTTAGCTTTTTGAAGGTAGGAAAGCCTTCCATAAAATTCTTCGTTCACCTAATTTGAGCTGCTATCAGTATGAGAGTAGGTAGAGACAATGAAGAGGCACCGGTGAGTGTCTCTTTCCTTCTGAGTTCTTACTGTCCCATTTATCTGGACTACACAAACGGCTATCTACTAGAATCTAGTTTGGGTGAGCTAGTTCTGTTTTAGAGCTCAATGCTAAACCTATAGAAACGTTAGGGATTCTATTCATAAACTGTTGTTTAATTTATCATGATATTTTGCAGTTCCTTGTTTAAATAATTGGATTCTTGATGGCAGTTTTTTGAAAGTATTTGAAATTATTTAAGTAAACAATAGTTTTTTCAAGTGAAACTGAACTGAATTTTAATTTATAAATACAAAGCGATATTAAACTTCATGTTTAGATCTGAGCACTAAGTTAGCGGTAAGTCCATTAAACATATGGTTAAACGTTTTGGTGGCTTGACATAAAACTAGAAAACTTGTATGATTGTAAAATACGATTAGACAAGAATTTCATATAATGAATTACCTATGAGATCGTAGTACACTAACTTAACAGCCAGCCCATAAAGCAGTGTTAGGTAACTAAAGTGAAAACTTTATCGACCATGAAAGATCTATCAATAAAAACTGACAGCTTTTCAGAAGTGAACTGAAAAGTCTGTTATTAGATACTCAGAAAATCCGCCGAATATTGTAAAGTTGATGTAAATTCAGACACTCTTATTTAAAATGCCCTAGCAGTAGAACAGAGAAAGTATTACAAAATTGTGCTAAATATGAATACTATGGCACGGAAAATGACCAAAGCACAAGTGTCCCAAGTCCTATATGTCAAAATAATCCATCTCAGGAATTGATGGACTTGAACCATGCGTTATTGGCTTCTGTAAAATAAGTGATGAACTACTTGCTTTTTCCATTAAGGTAAACGAACTACGCGGCGAGAAATTCAAATGCAGCTCAGCTTCTATTAGCAAAAACGAGTCAGTTTAACAGAAAATGGAACTACTGAGTCAATCGGGATCATATTATTAACCTTCATTTTTTTAAGAACAGTGGAGATATTATTTTGTTTAACGTTGTGGGATTTATGATCGCTGAATATTGATGAAACGTCACCATACAGTGTAAATCAAACAATGGAAAAAAATGGAACGCCTGTCAATTATACGAATTTTACTGTAACAATAAAGGATTGAAAATTTTAGGTATATTATTTCGCTGCTCACACCACGGATAGCAAACTTTTTTTTCAAACGAATCACCTACTAAGTCAGGCCCTTGATTTTAGCAGGTCTGGGACATTTGTATCGTGACATTATTTTATGAATTCCTAAAGGATTTTGAAGATACACATTGCACAAACTATGCTTCCAATAAAACTTTATTAATAACCCTTAGTTAGCAAATTACATGTATTTTATAAATAAATAACTAGGGAAGTAACAAACTACATAACTAACAAAGAAAATGATTACATCTCATGATTTCTCATCAACTGCGATCAAACAAAATTTCCAGTAATATTTGTAGCCCCAGTGATCACGATAGTCGAGTCTGTTTACCAGGTCGAATAACAGGAAGTTAACAAACACTCGATAAACCCTAATTTGGCTATACATCAGGAAGGACAAAATGATGTGTGATACACTGAAGCACTATAAAACCGGATTTATGAATTCATGATATTTCCTAACGTTCAAAAAATCGGAATAGATATTTATGGTGGCATCAGATAAGAAAAAAAAGATTTTAATTAAATTCAGTAGCAAAGCCGACAGGGGAGACGACAACTTACAAAATAAATCCTACAATTGAATTGCCACAGTTACTCTTGAAGAATTCGAACGACGCAGTTTCTACCAGGGTCAAAAACAAACGAATTTGCACTATTTAAAATATTTTGTGAAACAGTTCCAATATCTCCAAATAAACCAATCGACTTCTTTTCGCTCGATTCTTGCTCCTTTGGCAAAGTTTCAGGTGTTTGGTATCGTCCAATGGATGGCAGTCTAGTCCCTCGACTGTCTAATTCTAGTCTATTGTCAGTTGGTTGTTTGTATGTCCCGTCTTTTGAATGATTACGTTTGTTTCGAAGCCGTAGGCTTTCCGGATACCAACAGCTATCACATTACCAGATCGGAGATCACTTAGTTGTAGAGGATAATAAGTATAACTCCCAATGCTAATGAGAATAAGATTTCGAAACTGAGTAAATAAATGGATATTTTTGTTAAATAATTGGTAGTGAAGATTGTGAGGGAGGAGTGAAGTGTAAACGAGGGAGCGGAAACAGAGAGAATAGGCATGATAGATTAAATTAAAGATCTGAGGAGATGGCAAACATAACAATTAGCAGGTCTCAAGACATGAATCAGGTACAGCTTGTTCACGAGGTAGGTGATAATCCATACGTCAGTACGTGTTTATGAAGTCTATTCTTAAAGCTGTCCACTGAGGGGGCTGTGGTCGACTCGTCTGGGAGAGCATTCCAAGTTGCGGCGACTCTCAATGAAAAAAAGTGTGCACGAACCTGGTTGTTCGCTCTTTGATGCGCAATTTTTGCAAGGATTGACTTGAGGGGAGTGGTGTCAATTTATCGGTAAGATGCTCATATTGAGATGGTTCGGCTTACTGATACGTTTTACGCCGATATGAGATCACCTCTGATTCTCTTTCAATTTAGGGGGAATAATCACAAACGCTGGAGTCTCTCCTCGTAAGTTTTACATTTCACCAATATCACCAATTTCGCTGCTCAACTCTGCATTCGATCCAAGAGATTTATGTCTCTTTTAGGCAGAGGAGGTGCGCTAATGTTGTGGATCTCCATGCGTGAGTGCGCATATGTCTTAAACAGCGTTAAGAATAATTTAGGGGTGATGGCACCAAGTTGTCTTCGCAAAAAGTGAATAGCTGCATTGGCCTTGGCTTACAGCGGTTCCTAAATCGAGGTTTCGCTCTGAAGCACTGGGGAGCCGTCTTCAGTTGAACGTGTAATTTATTTGCGTCATGAGGGGCAGAATGTGAGACTTTGGCTGGTTTAGATTTAAACTTTTTTTCACTACCCATTCCTCAATCGATGTAAGGTCCTTTTGAAGTTCAGTCGAATCGTCTTTACTTCTAATGGACCTCCAGATCTTTGCATCGTCTGTGTCGATGTATGCCGGAGGGGTAACTGTGTCTAACATATCGTTAATAAATATCAGGGAGAGTAGTGGACCTAAGATGGTCCCCTGTGCAACTCCCGATGTTGAGACTCGCCAGCTAGCGTTCACTCTATTTACTTTGCTACGAAACTTTCTATTTTCAAGTTAGTTTCTGAGCCAAGATATAAGTGGGTCATTGAAACCCATTTCCTCAAACTTCGCGATTATGCATGCGTGAGATCCCGTGTCAAAAGCTTTCGCAAAGTCAAGGAATATTATTATGTGCACCGGTGTTTTTCGGTCCAAGCAGGTTGTCTAACTATCCCATGCTGTGAGATTAGATGAGCGCAACATAACTTTCCGAAACCCGTATTTTAATCTTATACACGTATTCTCCAATCTGTTTATTCACCAGTCCTTCTGTTACCTTTGATAGTATTGGTAGCAGTGCTACTGGTCTGTATAGGCTTGGCACTTCCTATCTCCTCCTTTGAAGATTGGAAGGAAAGTAACTTGTTTCCATTCAGCTGAGAGTTAGTTTGACTATACAGAATGCCTAACAGGTTACGTATCGGTGAACAGAGGTCTTCTGAACATTGTTTCAAGACTGTGAGGCGAATGTTGTCACAATCTGGTGAATTTCCTGGGGGTAAAGATTTTAGTTTCGTTAGCACTTCGTCAGGAGTGATACGGATATTCTCTAAGCCGTCAACTGGCAATGGGTTCGCGTAATACTCTGAACATGTGGATGCCTGGTTTAACTGATCAGTAAACTCTGTGTTGAAGATCTCTATTCCGCAAGTGTGATGTGACTGAGGTACATTTTCTACGACAGCGTTTCGGATGATATCTCTCAATGTTTGCCAGTGATCATCTACTGTCAGCCTAGATCACTCCCGTGGCCATGGGACATGTAGGAGGACCTCTCTCATACGCGTATAATTTGCCCTAGTGTAGCAAAGATAGGGCTCGTTTTCGTCCTGTGTGAGTGTTTCGTTTATGACCATGTTAAACAAGACTGTGCCATGGTCACTACTACTTATTGGTGTATGGACGGGAACAACACCAGGAGCTGATCATTCGTTGAAAAATAATCTAGGCTTGAGGACTTTCCTTCTCTAGTCCGTCTGGTGGCAATGCACATATGTCCAGTAAGCCCAGAGCTTCTATTGGCTGCACCTAGTCATCTTTAGAACCAGCTAATGGGAGTTGTACCATGTTTGCTGAGATTTAAAGATGAAGTGTTGAAATCCCCATCTAAGGGTACGTGGTCAAACCCCATAAGTGACAGTTGCCCCAGTCAGTTTGTCTTTCTGGGCCTTCGTAAATGAAGGAGGTCTGTAAATCCCTCCAATCAAGTATTTCGTGGCATTTGAGCAGAAACAACATTTACATGATTCTGGCATCTCAGTTAGTTGGGTATAGTGTAACCTCTCGGGCCTTTAAATAGCTGTTGATGTATAGTCACTCCACCTCCTGTTTGGTCTACCTTATCGCTTCGGAAGAATTTAATGCCATGCAAACTCAATTCGTCGACTGCAATGTCAGGACAGAGCGATGTTTCAGTTAGAATCATGATCTTCAAGTCCATCTGAGATCACATATTCCTGATTTCTAACATCTTGTCTCTTATTCCTCTTACGGCGCAGCAGAGGTACTTGGTGGTTTGTCTCATCATCTGATGAACTTCTGTAGCGACAGCCATTGTCGGATTTTCGAACAAGTTGTTTAAACCAAGTTTTCTGCCTGTAAAGTTCGGCGAGACTATTATTTTCTTGTCTTGCGCCTGGGGCCGTTGATCAAGATCAACTGTCGATTTCGTGCGTTTGTTTTGGCCTCACTGTTGTTGTCTCATAGATCTACATTGGCTTTCACAACACCTAATGTGTCTAGAGGTCCATCCTCGAGTGATAGCAGGCCGGAAGAGCCTCAGTTAGGTCTTCTGGATTCATGAATTCCACAGCCATCAGACGTGATGACTTGATGGACATGAGGTATAATGGGCGAGGCAGCCGATAAATGCAGAGAGCCATGGCGGTGTGAAGGCATATGCTACATGATAGCCGTCGCCACTGTCGCACATCGTGCACGTGAGCCTCATCCAAGCTACCACCATCCACTCCGGGTGTGCCGTGAACTACTATAGTGGTCTGCTCTTGAGTGCCTGGTGTTATCCTGGCTGCCATTCTCACCATGAGCCTTGACAAAAAGATATTAGACTCAATTAATTGGTACCGGATCTAGGAACGGACTTCTGGGTCGGTTCGACAAAAACCATCTTTATGACCGATGACCTTGCACTTCCTGCATTAATGTTGACAAAATGGGCAGTTTCGTACATAATGCCATGAGCCACGGTGCCAGCAAGGAGCAGGAGGATTCGTTTTCGACTTTTGGACTGACGTTGAGTGGATAAACTGGAAGTAGAATGGACACCTTTATTATGGTTAGGAAACTGTTGGTGAACAACGTGAACTTCGGAACCACCCCGGCCCCCAGACTGCACCAAAGTGTTGTCATGCTGCAAATTGGAGACGCGTTGGTGTAGAATCTTTTTTGAATGTTTTGTTTTTTGGAAAATCCCTCCATGTATATACATTTGTGTTATGATATGACTGACACTTTCTGTTGACATTTTGGTACTCTATTTGATTCCATTTTGAGATTTTATCATTGTATATTGTTATTATTTCTATATCTTGTACTTATATTGAAGTTTTTATGTTTGCTTCTGAACTGTACATATGTTGTTTAAATTTGATATTTAATATGGCTACAGCCATTTTTGGATTTGATACTGTCGCCATTTGGACTGGAAGCACTTATTCTTCCAGAAACGGATACCCACCGCGGTAAATTGGATTTAGAAGGTGAAATATTGTTGGGTAATTGTCTGTATTTCCATTTTATATTAAATAAAGACCGTTTTCTCCCAGAATTATCGTGTTTTTAATTACGGATCTGGTACAGCGCGTACCAACCTGCACCTATTGGGGCCGGAGTGAACTGCTATAGTAGAAAATTCATTTATAGTTGGTGCTCATCAGTGATCGCATCGAGTGTCAGTGGAAGACCACGCAGAATATTATCTGACAACAACAATTCGCGCAATTTGTATGTCTGCAACAAACATGCAAAATGCTTCTAGATGACGAAGAAGTATCTCACTAACGGTTGGCCGTCGAAGAATTTTGACGGTGACATGAAGCAACTGTATCAGCGGCGGGATCCACTATGCATCGTGAACTATTGTTTGATGTTTGATGAAAGAGTAGTGGTGCCAGAATCCCTTCGTGCAAAAGTGCTGAGACTGTTCCATCTTGGTCATCCAGGGATAAAACGAATGAAGTCCATAGACAGGAGTTATGCATACTGGCCTCTCATGGATCAACATGTCACAGCGTTAGTTGAAAAGTGCATATGGTGTTAGCAAGCGGCAAAGATGAATGCCAAAATTCCGCCGGTTTTATGGCCTTAACCTGATCATCCTTAGTCCAGGATACTCATTGACTTCTCTGGTCCAATTAGTGGAACTGTGTATTTAGTTGTGATCGACTCCTTCTGCAAATGGCCAGAAATCAGCCCCGAAGTGCCGCCTAAGACAACTAAGACAATACAGCTCCTCACCGAAATTTCCTCTGAAAATGGCATACAAGATGTGATGGTATCTGACAATGGCTCGCAAATTACCTCCGCAATCGAATGGTCAAGCGGAAAGTCTTGTGGATACGTTTAAAAGAGTACTGGTTAGGTCAAAAAGGGAGGAAACACCAGCCGACGCATTACAAAAGTTCTTGTACATCTATCGAACAACACCAAATGAGCAAAAGTCCCTAGCAGAAATCCTGATGGGAAGAAGACTGAAAACGATTCACAGCCTGATGCAACAGACTAATGCACCAACATCAGTAGAGACAAAGCCGCAAGTACAATCCTATTACGAAGTGGGATGCTCTGTGTTCTCTCGTGACTACAGAACAAATCATGGTTCCTGGGTAGAAGCGCGAGTGATCAGAAGAGTTGGGTGAGTTATGTACGAAGTAGAGGTAGGAGGCGAAAGGTGGTCACGCCATCGAAACCAGATACGCAAATAACTAGCCCCAGACCGTCCATCAAGAGCAGCAACTCTTCCCCTTGACATCTTGCTTGATACCTTCAACCTCCCTTTTCAGAACACGATTTACGGTGGGAAATCCATGGCGCCTCTGGGGAACATGCACCCTATGTACAAGCGCGTTCCAACTGACCTTTCGGAACGAATTCACTACTGATCTCAGCAAACCATCAAAGAAACCTACTATGCACCTTCCTTATTTGTACTCTATTATTAAAAATGTGGATGTATCTGTCAGTGACATGGGGTAAATGTGCTATCAGAAACTGACTCTTATACTTAATTTAACTGTCATAACTTTTACAGTAAATGTGAAAGCATTTCGATCTAGCCTGTAAACTGTCATGCCTCTTGTGACGTCGTTATTTAAGAATAAATATTATTATTATTACCACCCCCAACGAGAAGAGACTCAGTCACAAGCTAATCTCCGTTCCAGAATGTATCCTCTCAGACAGAGGCGAACATCGGTCAAGATGCAAGTCGACCCCAGGAGCGCACGCTACTAAAAATGGGAAGAGTGTTAGGATTGTTAGATCCACAGAACTCGCTTGATAAATATCTTTATTTTGGATTTATTTCATGGACCTATCAGTTGACCTTGAAATCACATTTCCCACCAAAAAATCCTTTGCTATGATTGGCTGCTGTGTAATCTTAGTGTGTCATTTCTTGACTGTATGAGTGCGTGGACTTATTGTGTGCTGGCTGGGGGTTTACTGAATAAACTTTCTACGCTATATCAAGACTTCTTGCTGGTACAATCGGGTCAAGGGATCACAGTAGCCTACCTGGACGCTGTTTCATTGTTTTGTTCTCGTTATTCGACTAAGGTGAACCCGTAATAGTTGGAGCATATCCAGAGACCAGCGTAACACCGACCACGGTTTATTTGCCTGATGCGGATTGGAGAGGACAACTTAACCGACGGTCTTTGGGATGAGAGGAGGATGTCCTCAAGAAGTTGTGTCGAGTCTAGTTTTAGCCTCACTGGAGGAGGTTTCCATTTTGAGATATTTTGGCCCTTGAAGAGGTGCGATGTTTTTGCCAGGATATTGCTCATTCCAACGACTGCGTATTACTTTATCAAAGGCGGCCCTATCTTCTAGTAAGCTACTTACCATCATTGGAATATTAAATAAAGTGGGTGAATTTGTCCCTGTCCCTCAGTGGCAGCCGTTTGTGAGTTGAGGTGTTGCCATTCATCTTGTTCACATTCACCTACCGTTCCGTATTATTAACAGACAGTAGGGGGTTAACAACAACGGACACTTTTGTCAGTGTCTTGGTTCGGGTTTTGGCTGCACCAACTGATTTCCGTGCGCCCTAATATTGTTCTTTCGGTACGGTCCTGTTAGTCATAAGAAGGCTTATTAGGTGGTTCTGAAATTTTTATCTACTTCACAATAAAATACGAAGCTAGATACAAACATACTGAATCATTTGTATTAGCCTTATAAGTGAAATCGCGGTTTCCCGGTTTAAAGAATTAGATGTAAATACTCAGTCTGTTCCAGTAGTTCAAAGTATGTATGAATGTGATTGCCTCAGAAAAAATTTCGCGTCTTGCCAATTAAAACTTTCGAAAAACAGAGGGAAGATGAGTAAATAAATCCTCTATGAATATGAATTATGATTTCGAGAAGACTGGATTTTTCAATCGTCTGAAGTTGAAGAAATGATGTCTTTAATGCAACTGTTGTATCTCATTTGAAGAGACTGTCACAATAGGTTTCAACTGATAGTTATCTTATTCGCGATATTGGTCACCCTTTGTACAGGCATTTATGACCTCAAAACATTGTTCTATCACACTCAGACTTTCAAATGTTTACAGGTTTTGTTATTCTGTCTGCAATATTCTGGCTTTGGACCTACTTCACACTATTAGTTCATCCAATTACGTTCGAACTTTCGTCTGCTGAAAATTTAGAGTGACAAAACGCAGTATTTCTCCAGAAAATGGGGTGAAATTCCCCCAAGCTGAAACTCGTACATTTTGTTAAACAGCCTAGACATGATGATCAGAAACAAAAATGTTGGATTTTACCGTCACATCTCATTATGGTGGCTAACGACATAATCAAAGATAAAGCTACATTGCAATTCAGCTTCAATAATTGCGTTTCTCGTGCAAGCTTAGCTTCTGGGAATTTTCAAATGCTGGACACAGTAGAAATCGTAAAATAGGGAGTCATTTTTCCTCACGAAATCCATTCAAAAGAACATTCGCAGATATTATCACCTCACTCGGTCATATGTTTTACATCCACAAACTCTCCGTTCAGTTTAACTGATTTAAATTAAGGAAAGAAATATTATATAAAAACCACAGAACACGTCACACGTCATTTATCGAGGACTGAGTATTAGCCAAAGATTAATGGCTCCTTACCGAATCTAATGTAGTTTAAGAAGTTTACGTCCTTGGAAAATGTTGTAAGAGGTTATACGAGACCAGGCGAATGTAACTAACCTGTCCACCCCAGACATGGATTTTTATATCTCAAGTGAACTGCGAGAAGTAGTTTTTTTGTCGGACTCTCTATGAGCGGATGTAGAATTTGGGTCTAGTTCATTGATGGTGGTGGTGCTATAAAGGCCACTAAAAGTACTTGTCTAAAGACTAGTTAAAAAAGGTTAAGGATACGTAGGCGATTAAGAAAATGAAGGTACCTATCAGGTCGTAAATGCGAGACAACAGGTATTGCTTCTTCATTAAAGTGCCAAAAATCACCAGTTGAACACTAATCGTTGTCTTCCAGATGCAAAGGATATATCCATTGGCAGTTTAGTGGCCGGATAATTCCTTTCTGTCATATTATTGGACTCTTTTTAAATAGACCTGGTCTTTCATGAGCTAGTCTATGCCACAGGATATCTGGTAATTTGTAATATTAACCCCAATTACAGTAGTGGTAAAGAGATAGCTCTTTTTCGAGTGTTTTGGGACATCCGCATTCATGGGGGACGGTTAGTGAATGAAGGATAGTTTTAAAATGCTATGTAATTTCGTGCCATACCGATTGATGCTTTTATTCAGTTTTGGTGTTCATAAGAATACGATGGGCATTGTGTTGTGATGATAATAGCCTCCAGAATATGTCACAAACTAACGAACTGAGAGAAAACAAATTTTTTCATGATATTTTCTTCTGAAAATAAGACTAAATAGTATCCTATATCGAATTCACTGCGATTATTGGTAGGTCTCATCGCTATAGATTTTCATGCATATATAAACAGCGAGGGCTTTTGAGTTTGGACGTTACTTTAATGTAATAATGACACTCAATTTTTATGAATGTAGTTGTTTCTATACATAGCGAGAGCAGTAAACCTTTGAAGATATCTAGAATTGTTTAATTTCCAATGAAATTATGTCTGGTCAGTAGAACAGAGCATTAAGTTATCTTGTTTGGGCATGTTTTCTTTGTTGTCGTCGTTTAGCATTAAGATGTACATGAATCTTAGTATTTCGTCCTAAAAATACTGTTTTTTAAATTTGTTGAACTATCAAGTTACTGATTGACCATCAGTTGGTGTCCTAAAAACTTGGTAAACATTTGTTGAGGAATAATTCATAGATAGTCTTTTTTGAAACTCTTGCTCAATTCAATTTCCGAACCCTTGTTTTTTCCTCTTTATTAACTAATCCTGAAATTCATTCACCTCGTTATTTGTGGTGTAACAATTTTCAATGATGTTTTCGCCATATAGATTCGTTTACGATGATGTAGTCAGTCATGATAATCAGGGAAAGTTAATGAGAGACGATTCATGTAGCTGCTGCATGACTGGACGTAATGAATACTAAAATAGGGAAAATCGGTTCACAATTGACATTCAACCAGTTAGGGACGACTATTTCACCGATACAAATAAAGGTAAATGATTTAAAGATTATATGGATCTAAAAGTGGTATGAAGGTTTGAATAGTCGAGTCATTGATATTGTTCTTACTCAGAGTAAAGAGTTAGCATTAGTTATCACTGATCTAGGATGTATCCTATTAGCATCAGATAAACCGACTTCTCAGCAGCTGGTGAATTTACATTTGGAAAAATCTACTCAACGCAAACTTTGGATGATCGGGAAATCGGCATATTTACAAGTTGGAAACTTGCAGTTCTGGGTAGTTGTCTGGTATATCTATGCAAATTCAATGATGGGGACGCAAGTCTTGGTTTGTAAACTTCTCTCTATTTCGTTAACCTGAATAATAGCTGTAATAACCAGACATGTCCATTTTCGTTTATTTCACGTCACTTAATAAAACCTAATCGCATTGCTGCATCTACGTAGGAGGACTGAATTCAATATATGTACATTTGATTGATAAGCCACATTTCAGTGAGTTAATTAACAGTGATAAGAAGAAAGAATGTGAATAACTAACGAGTTTTGAGAAAGTACTTCGTTAGCGAGCCTTTATTGATTATATTATTATTATTATTATTATTATTATTATTATTATTATTATTATTATCATTATTTTCATCGGTGATCCAGCTGTACTAAGTAATCTGATGACACATACCCTATTCTTCTCTGGGCTACTTTAGCAACTACTACCCATATAAGATAAACGTTTTGGGTGTTATCATATGTCTCTACCAGGGCCAACATACGGAAGTTGAAAAGCCCTGATCACTAACCAGTTGTGCACATGGGTTTCAGTATCTTCAGAAAGCATTGTATACAAACCTATCCTTATATTGCTCCACTGCTTTGTGGATTAGACATCTAGCTCAAAGTCTCGAGGAGTGATCCTCTAAAAAGTTTTTGTACTGATTTCGTATTTAATTGCAGTTTAATTTACAATCACTTCAACCTTCAGTTTGTATATGATATTGCCTTACTATGTGATGGTACTCAAGTCATGCAATCCACACTTGACCAGTTAGCAACCAGTGTCCGTATGGCATATGCTTTGCACCTGTGGTGAGGTAGTTATAATAAAATACTGGCAGCATCCTGTGTCTGTACTCGTTCTTGGTAGTGAGCCATTAAAAGTGGTTTGGAAGTTCATGCGTTCAAGTAGCCGTGTAACTGGTGGTGGCGAGTCATGAGGTAGATTTACGTGTAGTGAAAATTAGAGTGGCTTATGTCATTCTGGGCCAACTTTGGCGTCCTCGTGATGTTAGCCTGGCTGTTAAAACTCCACAGTGAGACCAGTTCTCTTTCATACCTATGAAATCTGGCCTTTCGAAGTCGGGGAACTGAAGCAGCTTTCTGCGTTAAATTATTGTTTGTTACAAAAGATTGTTGACCTTAAGTGACAACACCATGTTAGTAATTTGGAGGTTCTGCAAGGTGTCTAGCCAGCGACAATAATCCGTTTACTTTCACCACCTTGAAACACTGACTTCAGTGATGTAGGCGTGCGCTACAAATGTCGTCTCATCGAATTCCATGTCGTACATTATTTGCAGATTGGTTGGAAAAAGTGGAGAGGCGGTCAATTTATGGGGTAATGAAGAGAGTTGTACGAAACTTCCTGGTCGCACTCTTCAATTTAGTGCAACATAATGACGTAAATAAGTTTCTCCTGAATAGATTTTCATCTCACTCATTTACTGTTTGAAAGACATTTTTTGCTTCAAGCGTTTTTCAGCGTTAATGGGCTGATTATTAATTTGTTTTAACCTTCAAATACACTGTCGGTGTTATCGTAATCATATGTTTAACCAGTTATTGCCAGTTTTTTATTAAATTTAACTGTTTGGAATTAGTGTCAAAGTATTTCTTTTCCTAGGAGTATTCCCGAATCACGAGTCAAACACCTCATTACGCTATACTTTAACCAGCTTATTCATGGATGTCGTAATGTAGATTGTCAAAATAGAAACTGCGCATCTTCTGCTAATTTTGTGCATTCGGGTATTACTCCAAATCAAGCGGCTGCACTAGCAATAGAGTTAACAGTCAACCGTGCTGATCTTTGTTTACGTACCAACACGGTCTTATCGTCCACAGGAATGAGCGATGCGTCAAATTCACGTTCTGTGGAACCTGGAAGAAATAGTGACGACAATAGTGGTGAAACATCAAATGAAACCAATGAAGTAAGATATTTTTGGTTTACTATAGCTTTCTTTAGGCTTCTAGTTACCTTTCTCAAGAGCTTTTAAATCCTCAAACGACTTCTAATCCTTCATCACAACAGCTCGCTAATCCAGATACCATAACATCAGGAACTGACGAAAGTTCATTTCATTCTCTAATGACACCTGCAGACGTTACTCGTTTAATCATGTTTCTATTTGATGCTTCAGAAAATGACGAAATAAGTTCTTCTCAGCTAGACGAGCCAGCTTCTGCGATTGTGACAGAGGACTATTCAACGGATCAAGATAACTCTTTAACTTCCGCTTTCCGTAGTCGAAATCCTCTGTTCGGTAGGTTTCTGAAATTTTTCATTTTTCGGTCGTATTTATTATTCCGGTAACTAAAAATCTCTTGAATCTCTAGAAGATCAATATTTCCTAACTGATTTAATCTAAAATGTCTTACTTTGTATAAATTACAGGTACATCTAGGCCATCCAGTTCGAGTTCTGATACTTTGAAAGCCATCAAGGCACCAACAAACCAAACTAACCACACAACCGCATCTTCAAATACATCTGTTGAACGTGAATCTCGTAAAACTGGTTTGTCATTAACCGAGTTACAAAAGTCTATTGAAATTGGGAGAAAAAATGGGGAGTGGTCTTGCATTATAAGTTTGTTAAACTCAGTTTTCAGCTCGTATGAGGCATTATCAAGCAGTTTTTTACATGAGTCTTGTGTGACTAATCCAGAAAGGCAATATGAAAAGGACAAAAAAGCTACTGATATCTCAGATGCATCGCTGTGTAGCACCAGTACCAAAACACTAGAAGATTTGAATGTGATTTCACCAGCGGTAAATAATTCCGATGGCTCGGTTGATAACAGAAAAGAATCTTCTTCTTGGGTCGAAAGCATGACTAATATTTCTTCAACAAGAGATTTTTCGATTTATCAAAATGGTAAGTAACATGTTTTTATTACCTATTTCCTATTCGGATACATCCAGTTGCTTCAAACACAGGCAGTATACTTTCAGTATCATCATATCTTGTAAATTTACAACTGTAAAAATTGCCCTATTATGTTTGTCATATTTTATCATATTTTGTATGGATCTTGTAATATGGATAGCAATGAATTGATTCCTAATTATCATATGCAACTTTAAGGACACTTAAACGTTGAAAGCTATCGAATTCGAATAAACCTGTTATAAATGAAGATGTTCGGATTTGTGATGATAATGTACGTTTGAATTGTTGAGATGATTGTTCCAATCTATTAATGATGCTCAACAATACGATGTACTCAAAAATCTAAATTGTCTACTCAAGTCCAACAGAAAATAGTATGAAAAATAAAAAAACCTGGTTCGGAGTATGGGCTTTTTTCTAGTGCATTTTGATACTAAACATGGAACACAAAATAAATTATTGGTAGTCAGTTGTAGCATAGTCGATTACAAGATACTTGCTTAGTATATGCGTCACTGACAATCCTATGAAATCTAAATCTTACTCAGGTTTTGTTTTTCCTCTATGCATCTAAACTCCAGACTGTAGCTTCTATCTTGCCGTGGTGGTTGGGGATACCTAGAGTGATGACCCAGCCGAGCTATATTGGCTGGGACACATGTTCCTTCATGTCGTACCATGACAGGCAGTCCGATTAAAAGCCAGCTACAACGTAGAACTTCGTACGTACGTACATCAATTCAAGTTGCCATACCACATTAGCACAGAGACGCAATTTCCAATTCAAATCCCATGGTAGTTGTGGTAGTAAACGTATTAGCGGTAATGGAGAAGATTGGGATTCGAAGGTATTATTCAAGAAGTATATTCCACTGAAATAAATTTGAAAGGCAAGATACGAGTGGTGAATTCAGAAGAATACAACTTGAGAGAAGACTAAGCCTGGATGCAGCTGGCCATTTCAAACGGTTTTGAGCCATGTCACTCAGGGTCTCTAACCATTGGTAACTTTCGTCTCTTGGACACAAACCAGGTAGTCGACATCTACTAACATAACTCAATCCACTTGTCAGTGACTTTGTGGATTTCTGCCATGTTTTGGTTTGGTCGCCTCTAACCTTTCTTTCAACCTACTCCTACACCACAAAACAGCTCTTCGAGGCAGTCGGTGGCTAGACATACGCAACACCTGTCCCAACCACCTCAACTGATGAAGTTTCAATATTTCATCTATTGACCTGCCATCGTTACCTATCACCCGTTTCCTAACGACACCATTGCTTACTCGGTTGTCTCAGGATATAGGAGCAATGCTTCGAAGACACTGATGATCGTAAACCAGCAACCTGCGAATACCTTCTACTATGACTGGCCATGTTTCACAGCTATAAAGTAAAACGGAGCTAACTGCTGCTTATTAGACTCGTCTTTTGGTTAGCAAACTTAAGGTTTGAAGGTGAAGTCGTACTGTTGACTGTAGAGGGGTGTGATAGCAGTAAGGTGTTTCCTTTGGACGACCTGCATCTGCAGTGATGCTGCCTTCTAAAAACGGAAGGAATTTGTAAGAAAAGGTAGACCCTAAAAATTTCATACCTCATGTTACTCCACGAATTTCCGTCCTCAGTGGTAAAGTCTTTTGAAGAGCGGAGCTAACACTTCAAAAACGTCCCATAAAATGATTGTACGCTACCGGCCTGAAGCAGTTACCCTTTGGGCTTTTCGATTACGCCTCCAGGTTGCTAAGATCAATGCTAATCTGACTCCCTTTCCCTCAAGAAATTCCCTTTTGCTGTATAGAAGACTTGTAAGTGATATCCGTACTCGTACCGCTCGCAGCAGCACTGCTGTTATTAGGAAACGGGTGCTAGGTAAGGATGGTAGGTCAATCGATGATGTATTGAAACTTCATCAGTTGTGGCTCTTGGGACATGTGTTGCGTATACCTAACCTCTGACAGCCTCGTCGAGCCATATTTTGCCGTGTAGGAATAGGTTGGACGAAAGCCAGGGGCTGCCAGATCAAAACATAACGCAAATTCATGAAGTCACTGACAAGTGGATTCAGTCATGTTGGTAGGTGTCGACTATCTGGTTGGAGCCCGCAAGATGATAGTAATTGATGGTTGAAGACACTGACTGACATGGCTCAAAACCGTTTGCAATGGCGCATGTGCATTCATTTTTTGTGTTCTCTCAAATCCTAACCTTTCGAATTCCTTGTAACCTTTTTTTTTCAAGTTTATTTCACTAGATTCTACTTCTTGAATAATATCTTCGAACCCTAATCTCTCCGATAACTGCTAATACTTTTACTACCTCTACTACTATTGGATTTGAATTGACAATTACATCTGTGCTAATGCTGTATGGCAACTTGAGTTGATGTACGTACGTACGAAGTTCTGCGTTGTAACTGAATGACTGACTGACTCCTAACAGCACACGATATCAAAACTGTCACTCAGTAATTTAGAAACAGTTGTATATTACCCAATAAAGTAACTATGGTAGTGTTGGTGGCCTTTCATAAGACTAGTTTCAATGACCCTTGCTTGTTTTTATCATTTCGGTTGTTTACTTTGTCGCTAGTTGTCCATAAAATGTCTATACCTATATTATAATCAAAAGGGAGACTAATTCTATTTTGTGAATTAACAACTGTAAATAAATCTAATACTATACTTATCGGTTTGTTCCATTTAAACAATCTGTTATAGAAGAACATGACCATATACATAATCTTCAAAAAAAATTTCCACTTCATATATGTATATCATCATAATTTGTGTTGTGTAAATGTTTTTTTTAAGATGTAGAAATGGATGATAATGATAATCAACAAGTGAGCACATTGATGAATTCTAGTGAAAAATCAAAAAACACTATTTATTGGCCAACTGTTAATTTAAATGATTTACGTAAAGCTTGGCATATGATTGTTTCAATACCGGAACGTCAAACTATTGTTGATACATTAATGCGAGCTGTTCGTCGTTTGGTTGTGATAAGTTTACATCAACTTTTAGTGGTTCAAGCACCGGATGGATTAGATGATAGTCAGCCAACACCTGAAATAGCTGTGATTCAACAACGACTAGTGAATTTATTTATTATTCTTTATGAATGTCCATTTGCAACGGATCCTTTACATTTTGAGGTTAGTAAAATAATTATTCATAAGATTGTTATCATATGAAAAGTTTTGTGTTTTCAACTTCATGCATAATTTTTTATCACAAGTTATAGTTTAGTTTTTGAACATTATTCTATACTTGAAGTAACTTTTTTATATCATTAAATAAAAAGAAAAAAAGTCTGTAATTGTGATGATTAATAATTGAATAATTCATGATTGTGTTTACTTCACATTATACTTTAATTAAGGGAAAAAAAGAAATATTTATATATATATATATATATATATATATATATATATATATAATGAACTAGAGTTATATTGCTTGGTCAATAGAGCTGCGAAACATGACTAGTCAGAGTAGAAGGTATTCGTAGGTTTCTGGTTTTCGATCATCAGTGTCTTCGAAGCATTGCTCCTATATCCTGCGACAACCGAGTAAGCAATGGTGTCGTTAGGAAACGGGTGATAGGTAACGATGGCAGGTCAATAGATGAAGTATTGAAACTTCATCAGTTAATGTGGTTGGGACATGTGTTGCGTATGTCTAGCCACCGACTGTCTCGAAGAGCTATGTTTCGTGGTGTAGGAATAGGCTGGAAGAAAGGTTAGAGGCGACCAAACCAAAAGATGGCAGAAACCCATGAAGTCACTGACAAGTGGATTGAGTTATGTTAGTAGATGTCGACTACCTGGTTGGGGTCCACGAGACGATGGTTAGAGACCTTGAATGACATGGCTCAAAACCGTTTGCAATGGCGCAGGTGCTTTCATTCTTTGTGCTCTCTCAAATCCCAAACTTCTGAATTCCTCATCACTTTATCTTTTTCTACTTAAGTTTTTTTCACTAGATTCTACTTCTTGAATAATATCTTCGAACCCTAATCTCTCCGATAACTGCTAATACTTCTATTACATCTATTACTACGGGGTTTGAAGCGGCAATTGCATCTCTGTGCTAATGTGATATGGCACCTTGAACTGATGTACATATGTACCAAGTTCTACGTTTCTGTCGATGATGATGATTGGTCTATACATCAGTAACATCTGGTTTGTCCAAGTTTTCAATTTCAATCCTGTGACCTAGATGATGATACTGTAACTGTTTTAAAGTAGAGAACTGTCGTAATAGCTAATAGATATAACTAATCAAATATAATAAACTTACTTTGAAGCTATAAGATTTTTGTTTCCAAAAATTATACAAAGATTATTACTTAGATTCAAAATTTCAGTGTTTATTAATAATAGGTGTTATTGCTTTTATTCTGATCAGTGTTTTTTTTCCTAATTTATTAAAATATTCACTAAAACATGGAATTTTCAGCATAAATTTCAATTTATTCTTTTCTGATTGATTTTTAGAGTTGTTGTTGAGTATTATTCATCGTTATTGTAGATATGTTTTAATGACATTGATTTACTTACTATATGTATATATAAATAGTTCAAACGAGAAATTACTGGCATTTTCATTAATTCATGTCTTTCGATTTGTAAACCTAAAGTCATCCCTTAAGTTTATCATGTTTTCCAATCTTGTCATATAATAGTTTATGACTGGTTTGTTGCTTTCGACGACCGAAATGGCAGTACTTTTTACTAGAGGTGTTTTATTGATAATAGTAGTACAACTCAACAGTTATATATGTATATAGGTTCGTACGTGTAGTAGATATGATGAAGTTGTGCTTACTGTTTTATGACCTTTCAGCTTAACTCTCAAACGCTTTGAAAAATGGGACACCATTTACACCTTGTGGCTAACTTTGTTGAATCTTCAGTAGTGCCCCGTTGAATAAACCCCTAGCTACAGGAACTATTAAACGACAAAAATTACTGTTTAAACTAAAGCACCATAATATTCGATTGAAATTTCCTATTGAAATTATGTGGTCATAAGTTGAATAGAGATTTGAAAATGACCGTTTCATAAAATCACCCTCCTCATCAGCTGCTCGTACTTATTTTTTCAAACATTTATGCTTTCAAATCTATGGTTTTCAGTTTCCTTTTGTTCATCATATATATTTCGTCTCTGCATTATTTTTACTTACTAAACTTTCATTAGTCCCGTTTATCTTTGCCGACATATTTTTATACACCGTAATTTTTGTTATCATTCAAAAGTTACAACAAACATTTCATTAATTGAAATATTCACCTGACAAAACTAATAACATTAATAAACGATATCATTACTATGTTGTTTAGTAGTAAATAAACAAATAATGCAGGCAAATTGTTGCGGATGTTAGATCCCCAGAACTCGCTTGATAAATATCTTTATTTTGGATTTATTTCATGGACCGATCAGTTGACCTTGAAATCACATTTACACCAGGAAAATCCTTGGCTGTGATTGGGTACTGTGTCATTTTAGTGTGTTATTTTTGTGACTGTCCGAAGTACGTCTCTATGGAGTATAAATAAACGCAATTTGAGTGCTTGGATTGATTATGTGCTTGCCGGGTGTTTCTACGCTATATCAAGACTTCTTGGGTCACGGGATCACAGCAGCCTACCTGGATGGTGGTTCATTGTTTCGTTCTTGTTATTCGACTAAGGTGAACCCGTAACGTCTTAAGCATACCTAGAGACGAGCTTAACACAAATAAAAGGTTGTTTATACCAACATGTAGCATTAGTTTTATGCAAGTCGACACATCATCTTAAAAAAAACTTAGGAGTACACCAAGTTTACCATATTTTATTATTGAAAAATTTCAATAGACGTTAACTGTTGGTTCTGGTAGGGTGATACAATCAATACAAAATCAGTCAAATAAGCTCGTTTATACTGTTTAATTTTTTCATTTATTATTACGTTTTAGTTTATAAAATTTGTTCAAAATTTCATGGGGATTTTGGCATTTTGAGCACTTTTATTAAAAAGTATTGTAATACGAACCAACGACTAGTATTTAAGTTGTAAAGTATTTTTTGTTGTTGTAAAAAGATCAATATTATTCTTATTGCAAAGTGATATAAGTTTTTTTTTCTAATGCACCTTTTAAGAATAGTTTAAAGTGAACAAAATTTACATACTGTTAAACGATGTTATTCATTTGTGAAGATTGTTCAGTTTCTAGCTAACACTATAAATTTGATTTCATCTGGACAAACACTTAAAATCATAAAGAAATATTTCCACTGGAGCTTCCTACAGCCATCCTGGGAGTCAAACTTAAGATCTGTCCTTCTTGTAAACGCATTCGCGAGTAGATAAAATTTAACAACCGAGTATGCACTGCTGTTGTTAGGAAACGAGTACTAGGTAGGGATGGCAGATCAGTAGATGAAGTATTGAAAGTTCATCAGTTGAGGTGGTTGGGACATGTATTACGTATGTCTAACCACCGACTGCTTCGACGAGCTATATTTTGTGGTGTAGGATTAGCTTGGAAGAAAGATAGGGGCAGCCAGACCAGAAGATGGCAGAAATCCATGAAGTCACTGACAAGTGGACTAAGTCATGTTGGTAGATCTCGACTACCTGGTTGGTGTCCTCGAGACGAAAGTCATCAATGGTTAGAGACCCTGAGTGACATGGCGCAGGTGCATCCACTCTTTGTGTTCTCTCAAATCCTAACCTTCAGAATTCCTCATCATCTATATTTTTCTCTTTCTAAATGTACGTACGTATGAAGTTCTACGTTGTAACTGACCGACTGACAACTGTAAAATAATCTTCATCGTAGGTATGCGAAATTCAGTTACTTATTGCCTTTTCACTTCAGAATTTACTGACAGAAGCTTCTAAGATAGCAGTGGGTCTTCGTAAAATTCTCAGTTTCTTTAAATACAAATAATGAGTTGTGCGTTGAAAAATATCAACAAAGTCCATTAGATCACATAGGTAAATGCGAAAAGGTACATTTGTAATTTTGAAAAAAATATTTCCAACGAATATTCAAAATTTTTAACAATTAACACCGATTCAATCGACTTTTTTTTTCTTTCATCATTAAACTAAACTAATGTTACGTGATTTTTCTGTTGAATAGATGTGTATTTTTTATGATCATTTCTTTTGTGTATTATTACATTCTGTACGTGAATTCCACCCACAATTATTTGCTACCAAAGATGATGTCTGTGGATTTTTCCAAACAATTATTGATTTTAGCTGTAAACGGAAAATTTCTCCCATGGTAACGTCAATTTTCTTACATGTAGCTAAAAATAATCTCGTCTATTCTTGATTTTGTGATTTATCATCTTATTATGTATATATTTTTCTGCTTTTTTAGTCAAATATTTCTTTGATCATTGGTACTCTGGTTATTTTCTTGTTATCTTTTCTATGTAAGGTGAAATTTAAAGTTTCTATTGGATTTATTGTAGTTGACTGTTAACTTGTCTTCTTTGTGCATCGGTTATTATTAAGTTAACATGATGATGGTTGATGCAAAAAGCATCTTATATTGATGTATTTGACCATATATTATTTATCAGATGTTCACGAAAATACCATATATTTTTGGTAGGTTTATACGCGATTTTATCGGCATAGATAGATCGCACTATGACAAGATCATAACGACACTATTAGATTATTCCACCGATCAATTACATGTTTAATTGAACTAGACTGATAACATTTCAAGTAGGTAACATGCTCTCAATTTGTGAAAAAAGAGCCATTCAATTTCATATCATCTAATTTATTTCAAATAAACTAATGATGAATTTCAGCTAGTGAAATAATTTTTGCTATAGTTCAGTTAGTCACTTAACAGCGTAGAACTTTGTACGTATGTACATCAGTTCAGGTTGCCATACCATATTAGCACAGAGATGCGATTGTCAATTCAAATCCCATAGTAGTAGAGGTAGTAGAAGAATTAGCAGTTATCTGAGAAATTAGGGTTCGAAGATATTATTCAAGAATTAGAATCAAGTGAAAGAAACTTAAGCAGAAAAAGATAAATGTAATGAGGAACTCTAAAGGTAAAGATTTGAGAGAACACAAATAATGAAAGCACTTACGCCATTGCAAACGGTTTTGAGCCATGTCATTCAAGGTCTCTAACTATCGGTGACCTGATTACAGATTGTCTTTCACGCTAATATAACTTACTTATGTTCAATTGTTTGACCTTTTTTTGTCGATTCTTACAATAATTTTTCTTGCTCATTGTTTTTTTTCCCATGCCTTTTGATTGACTAATCAATGTTCCTTTCATCTTTAATTATAGCTTTTACTGTTAAATATTAATCGTGCAGTTACTTCACTTCCAACTACAGTACAAGTTATGCTATGTAAAGCATGGGCTGATTCTGTACACACACCATTAGCTAATTGTACAGAACCACCAAATCCGGAACAAACTAATTTATGGTGTCTACAAAAAATTCTGCTGCATCATATTACTTTACGTTGTTTAACAACGGATCATGGTTTACCAAATGAAGATAAACAGATTTGTGAAGCAGCACTTGTATTACGTATTGTTTATTATGCTAGTCTATTGGCTGGTCAAATGGATCCACCGGAATTACTAGAAATGGAAGCTGAAGAAAATAAACTATTTGAACAACAAATGCGTTCTCATATTGGACCTGTAAGTTATCCCAATGGTTATTGTTGTGAATGTTAAATGTGGTATTATATTAAAATATATTTATTTATGAAGTAGAAAATATGTGTTGTCTCACCTAAGCCTTTGTTCATACTCTGACTTATATATTGTCTGAAGAATATAACTATGATGTTTTTTTTACACATTTGAAATCATCAATCAATTATTGTTAGACCACCATTAGAAACCTGGAAGCACTGGACGGCCGTTTCGTCCTGGTATAGAACTCATCAGCAGTTCAAACCCCACGAGGTGCAGGAGTCGTGGATGCGCTGAGTGGTAACATCTCAGATCATGAGGTAGGATCATACGAGTTGAAATCTTAAAAAAAGCATCGGTTCTCTCAATGTTACAGGTAGCACCCTTTGGTGACTAGTGGCAAACAGCAAAAAACTTAGGTCCAGGGTTCCTTTTCAACTACGTACAACCGCCTAATACTAGAATAATGTTTATCATCAATGGATTAGCTGTATTTGTGTATATGTTCAGTTATCATCATATCCTGTTTACGTCCTCATTTCTTATACTGTGATTTTTTGTTTACTCAAAAACTGACTGATAATACCTAATGTTTTATTTCTAGACTTACGAAAGACGTTCTCGTGTTAGTTTACCTGAAGATCCATTCGCTAAAGCATTGAATATTTCTCCTAATGATTGTCGTAAACCATTTATTCCAGTTAAAGATTTTGTAAATGAAACACTCAATGATGGACTACAGGTATGTTGCATTAGATAGTTGTTTTTTTTACTAACATTGTTGAGTATGTACATAGTCTTAAAATGTAATTGATGTAATGTCGTTTGCTAATGTAGAGTTAGTACTCATTGAGAACTAATACCAAAACCGTCTAGCTCAAGTGTTCATTGGGGTCTTTCACTGTCCTTCTTTTGGTCTAATTTTCTCATAGTTGTTGTGACTTATGGCCGTTCATCAATATTATTCAGTCGAATCATCAATCAAAATATAGATCTTTATGTTCTTGTCTCCGAGCTAATCAATGATGCATCAACCAGTACTGGTAGCCTTGAGTCACTGCTAAGTTCTTACTGGTACTCCATTCGGTAGCTTCTCTCCATGGCCTGGCTGTTGCGTCCGGAATACAGTAAACAGCTTCTACTATACGAATAATAAATTTCAAGCATACATAGTTTGTATGCAGACATACTCAAACGCATCACATCATAAAATGGAAAATCACAATTATACACAAGCCAGAAAGTAACTTTGAGAAAAGGAAACTGAATGATAAACTAGCAACAGATTAAGAATTGTAAATCACGTAACAGTATATAATGAGTCAATTAGAAGCTTATGATAAAATAAATACATAAACATTGTGATCTACCTGCTTAATAATTATACAATAAGAAGTATTGATACATTAATCCTGACAGTTACCATTCCCTTAGTTTTCCACCCAGAGGTAACTCTTTCCATTATCTTTCCACGGATTAATTTCTTCCAAGAATGTTGACCCATCAACGTGGAGTACGCAGTTAATATTATTTTTTTTGTGAAAACAATGATAAAATTCATAATCTTGTTGTCAGCATGTTGTTTCATAACTAACTAGCCTGTATCGTTACCTAAACTAGTGATAAGAAGTGGAACAGTAGAGAGTGTCTAAACTAAGAGAAAGCATCAGCCAATTAAGTGATTGACTGTTTTCCGGACATGTTGGTGAGTACTGATTACCGCTACTAGTAGTTGGAGACTTTGAATGACAGTTCAGAACCGGTCTCATTGGTGCAGATTCATTCACTCTTCTTCGACACATGCCTATCCACTCTATCTCCTAAAACCATATTATCAATGTCTAGTCTGTCATTATTTACCCCTGTTACACGAGGACACCAACCTGGATTCTCTAAACAAATCTGTCCCAAACTCTCCTTTCCACTTGTTCCCGAGTACTATTCATCCTTTTTATGTATGTCTCCAATTCCCGGCGCAACGTATCCTTTGGTCTTCCCCTTTCCTTTTGACCTTAAGGATTCCATATTAGGGCTTGTCATGTGACGCAGTTGGGTAATATCCACATTGTACATCTTTTCCCAATTTCCTCTTCAGCTGGAAACTATTTTGTTCTCCACTACAGTAGATTGTTACTGGTCGTGTCTGGCCAACGGATCCGAAGTATCTTGTGCAGAGAGCTGTTTATAAATACCCGTATCTTTTGAATGATGATGGCTTTCGTAGTTTTCCAAGTTCCAGCTCCGTAGAACAGAAACGTTTTGACGTTTGTATTTGAAATTCTACATTTAGTGTTGGTTGACAATGTTTTGGGCGCTAGATATCCTACCAGATTATCTTTATCTCTCCGTATATTTTCACTTCATGCTAATCAGATTTGGCAGCTTTAATTAAAAGAGCTGTGTTATGCTCTATGTTAATAATATCTGTTTGCTTGTTAATATATTCTGTTGATTTGATTACAAAGATGCATCGTTTGTTCTTTCCATATGACTTTATTCATTTAGAAGTCGACCCTAAATTACTTAGGACTTTGGAAAGAAAGCTATAGGTCTGATGAAATTGACTAATTTAAAAGCAACTAAATGAAAATAAAAAGGACAATGTTTTCATTTCGATTCACTTCATTTCGCTAATCACTATCTTCGCAACATAATCATGACAATTGATAGGATGGGTGGGTATATGACTTCATCAAACCGATATACAAACTTTTCTTCTCATTATATACAAAAATATGAGAATCTGTCATCACTCGGTCATTTCACTATATTCAACCAGTCATCCAGCGATTCTTAAAAACATGATATAACTTCGTAATTCAGGCAATCATCATGCTTATTTTACAGGCTGTATTTATAAATGTTTGATTATAACATAGCTTCATATTAAATAATAATAATAATAATAATAATAATAATAATAATAATAATAATAATTGTAAATTTTAATTACTAATTGATTTTACCATTTTGCTTTGTTTTTTTTTTTGTTAGCCGAAAAAAGATTATATATACTATCGTTCCAAAGGTATATCAAGTGAATTAAGCTTTATGAAATTACCATTTTTATTACAAACTAGTTCAAAATCTGTTCTATTATATTATGATAATCGTATGCGTATGCTAGATGAACGTCGTGGTGTTTTAATGCATACTTTTTTCATGGATACACCTGAAATGCCATTCTTCAAATTACGTGTTCATCGTGATAGAATTGTTGAAGATGCTTTGTTAATTGTAAGTTATTTCATATAATAATCGACTTTTGTAATTACATTTTCACATGTTAATGTGCTTCGCTATTGTTGTTTTGAAATATCAGTGCTGATGGCCTGGTGACTGACGAAATCTCAGCACGGATACAAAAGAATCGATTGGCTCTTTCCAACTTGCGCCACCTATGGCGCAGGCGATATATCCATTTGTTAACCAAAGGACGATTGTACTGTGCAGAAGTTCGCTCCGTACTACTACATGGATGCGAAACATGGCCGGTGACAATAGAGGACATTCGTAGATTGCTTGTCTTCGATCATAGGTGTCTCCGGAGCATTGCTCATGTATCCTGGGACAACTGAGTAAGCAATGCTGTCGTTAGGAAACGAGTACTAAGTAGGGATAGCAAATCAATAGATGAAGTATTGGAACTCATTAGTTGGGATGGTTGGGACATGTGCTACGTATGCCCAACCACCGACTGACTGGACGAGTAATGTTTTGTGGTGTAGGAGGAGCAGGTTTGAAGAAAACTAGGGGCAGCCTAACCAAAAGATGGCAGAAATCCATAAAGTCACTGAGAAGTGGATTGAGTCATGTTGATAGATGTAGGCTACCTGGTTGGGGTCCGCAAGATGATAGTTATCGATGGTTAGAGACCTTGAATGACATAGCTCAAAATCATTTGCAATGGAGCAGTTGCATCCACTCTGTTTTCTCTCGAATTATAATCCTTAGAATTCGTCATCATCTCTATCTTTCTCTTTCTAAAGTTATCTCACTTAATTGTACTTCTTGAATCATATCTTCAAACCCTAATCTTTTCCATTACCGCTAATACTTCTACTATCTCTACCACTTTTGGATTTGAACTGACAGTTGCATCTTTGTGCTAATGTGTTATGGCAACCTGAACTGATGTACGTATGTAAGAAGTTCTGTGTTGTATCTGTCTCTCTGTCTGTTGTGAAATTTTTTTTCTTATCGCAAGTGAAATTATTCCATTTGTTTTAATATATTTCGTTCTTCTGTACTATTCACTGAAATCAGCCGATAAATTCATCATCATAATCAACAAATGATTTTTTCTTTAATCTACTCACTAGATTAAAAGCCATGAAAATCAAGGGAATTCGACTTTGAAACTCTAAAGAAAAATAATTTTATACAACATATCAATTTTCCATCATTATTATATTAAGGAGTATTCAATGTTTCCTGTAGATTGTGCAGTTTCATAGGAAAATAAAAATCTACTTACTTACACCCGTTGTTACCCACAGTGAAGCATAGGCCGCCGACCAGTATTTTCCAATCTACTCTGTCCTAGGCTTGCCTTTCCAGTTCCATCCAATTTTTGTTCCTCCTTCTCATGTCGGTCTCCATGTTGTCAGGAAGGGTGACGGGCTCGTGACTTCCGAAGGAACTTGGCTTTCATCATGAGACGTCATGATTCTTCTGATAGAAGACCTAACTCCCAGGGCAGAGTTAAAATGGTTTGAATTATATTTTCTGATTAGCGTTTTTTAGCGAGTTAGTTTTTCGTGGGATAGGGTCACCAACCTCACGCCCAACCCTCCTCCTTTGTCCGGGCCTGGGACCGGCAATAGCCCCAGAGGGGCTCCAGGTGGAGTTGAAAAGAAAAATGCTTAATGAATTTATTAATTAGTTTAATCAGTACTAAAAAGTTAAATTATAGAATTTATCACATTAAAATTAGTTGTATATCATCATGGTGGATTTAGGATTCGCTTAAATCTAATGCGATTAAAGATATACAAGAATCTTTCAGGATCATCAATTGACCGTTGACTCTTGTTATCGATTCCATCAAAGCCATAGTCACCACATGCCTCAAGCCAAATCTTCATGTCCTAATGAGAACAGTAACGAAATCTTTCCTTACAAGAGGTTAACTGTATTAAACATCCTTTTTCGTGGTTAGGAGAAAGTATGTTCGAAACAATACGCAGCACCGTTCTGTCACACTTGGACGATCACGGTCATCTAATAAATAGAAATAAGTCGTCTAAAGTAATTTATCATATACCCACTATCTTTCCCTATAGGATTCAATCCTGTCTCCTACAGGTAGGATTCGAACTAACAACCCGAATCTTTGTCTCTATGAAGAATTTGTTATACCCTGATCCCTTCTTTGGTTGAATTAACCTTTTAACAAATAATTTTATTTATCGTCGTTGTTTCCCATACACTTTATTCGCTCATTTTTCTTTACCCCTTTTCCAAGCCATTTGACCTACTTCCTATTATGAAACATAGATTCAAGTCTTAATTATTGTTATCATAAGTAGTACATCTTTTATCGTATTACCAATTTGTACTTTTTACTTATTATGTTTATTTATCTGATCTATTTCACTGTTATCACTGACTCTACAAACTTCTTTAATTAGTTTAATATATTCTCATATCTACTGCATATATTTGTTATGATCGTCACTAGGTATGCTTGAAACTATTACCGGTTCACCTTAGTCGATAAACAAGATCGAGACAATGAATCAGCATCCAGGTAGGCTACTCTGATTAAAACAGCTAACGAGAAGTCTTGATATAGCGTAGAAAGTATATTCTACAAACATCCAGCAAGCACAATGCGATCAAGCACACAAATCTCGTTTATTTATACATCATGGAAATGTCCTTAGGACAGTCAAAAATAGCACTTCAAAATAACACAGTAAGGAATCATAACCACGGATTTCCTTGGTGGTAAATGAAATCTCAAGGTCAACTGATCGACCCATTCTCGGAAACATAAAATCCAAAATTAAGGCATTTATCAAGCAAGTCCTGGGGATCTAACATCCCCAACAATATTACTATATAGTAAAACCTAATGAAAATCTAATTGAAAACAATATTATTCGTTTATATGTGTTAGTCTCATTCATAATTTTCTCTGCACAAACTTCTATTCACATAGGTTAATGAGTCGTCACAAATTGTTATAATTGAATGACATGATTTGCTTATTTATATATTTATGTAGTTAGTTTTGACTTTTTCGTCATTTTATTTTATTTTTTTTTGTATTAAAGTTAGAAATAGCGTGTATGGAAAATCCGGGTGATTTTAAAAAACAACTTCTTATTGAATTTGATGGTGAACAAGGCATTGATGAAGGTGGTCTAAGTAAAGAATTTTTCCAATTGATCATTGAACGAATTTTTAATCCAGACTATGGTTAGTTTTTTTTGATTTCAATATATTTTCGCATTTGAACAAGATAAGCTTTTTAAAATAATTATGTTCAAATTAATTGTTGTTATCATTCTTAACAGTTCAGTAAGTGAATTCAATGGAATGTAATTGTCGCAAGTAGAGTTTACGAAAATTCCTATCATTAGTATTCTTATAACATGGAGATACACAAAGAGGAACGGTTAACTTCATGTTGTCGAATAGTTGGAACCGATCGATGGAAAACTCTTATCCTTGCTTTATTTTCTTCTTGGTGACTGCTACTCACCCATTGACATTAACTAGCTGTCCTAGTCAATGTCAGTATAACTTATTTGCCCAGTTTCCTACTGACTAACGTTGTATTGTCCGATTACTAATTTCGAGTCACTTGTTTCAGTGAACGCGTATTCGAAAAAGAAAACAGTAGCTGAATATTATGACATTAGTTGACAGGTATTAGTCAAATAAATCAGTAGATAGCACAAGTATCAGACTAAGTCATAGTAATAGGGCATTTATAAAACTTCTGCTTACATGTAATGAGAGTTGAATAAAATTAGTGGAACAGTGAGAAATCAAATGATAAGTAATACAATTCGAAAGAGTGTGTGTGATTAAATCAATGTCAGGTTGGAAATGTCAACAGATTGCAATACAGTCTCAAATAAAATCAATCTTCATTGAAATCATGGATCTATCAGTGTCCTAATGGTAGTTTAACAGTGTTCAATTCATGATTTCAATGAAACTCAAACATCTCAGAAATCCTACAATGAAAATCAGTCACCTTTCGTACATATTGTTGATCACTACTAAAGGATTGAATAACCATGACATTAGCTAATACTCAGTAGATAGTTAGTTGTAGATATCTTGGTCATGCAGGAGGTCAGTCTGTGCTTAAATAGCTTATTGGTAAGCCTCCGAATTGTGGAGCTGTCGGATGTCGATTCAAATTGTACAAGAAATATCAGTCTCTTCAAGGTGCGTTAATGTGATATAACAACCTGAACTGATGTACTTACGTACGGAGTTCTACGTTGTAACTGTCTGACTGACTCTCAAATCCTAAACCTTTTAATTCTTCATCACTTTATCCTTATCTTTTTAAGTCTATTTTATTAGATTCTACTTCTTGAATAATAATCTTCTAATCCTAACCTCTCCGACTACTGCTAATACCTCTACTACCTCTACTACTAGTGAATTTGGATTGACAATTATCTCTGTGCTAATGTTGTTTGGCAACCTGAACTGATATACGTACGTACGAAGTTCTACGTTGCTATTAATTGAGTGATTGATTGACTGATTTACTGAGTCTCTACAAGGTCGCTGGCATGCCTTGCAGACGAGTTCTAATCAGCCTAAAATTTCGCCTTCAGGGTTTCCGGTCTACTGCCACCTAAAGTTTGTTGTAAAGTTATCTGATTACATAAAATATAATTTCGTCAAAGGTGATTAATTTTGCCTCACTCTTTATTACAGTACAAACCGTTTTTTCCTTTTTGATATCCTTAAATACTATTGATAATCTCATGTTATAATTTTCCTTTCTTATTTTCCCAATTAAGGTATGTTTGTATTAGATGAAGAAACTCAAAATTATTGGTTTAATCCAGTTCCTCTGGATGATATGGAACGTGAATATTGTTTAATCGGGACTTTATTGGGTTTAGCAATTTATAATGATGTTATATTGGATATTAATTTCCCGTCAGTATTATATCGAAAACTAGTTGGAAAATTGGGCACATTTGAAGATTTGTTTGATGCGTCACCTGTAAGCATTGTTGTAGTATATACATATGTTGGATTTATCATTGTCTGTTTGTGTAAATTTACACTGATGATAGATTGATTTTGAAAATTATATATATTTTGCACTGAATTCTGTATGATTTCTTCAGTTTGTTTGTTTTCATTAGGTTGTAGATTGATTGATGATTCAGCATAAAAGTTACACCTGTTTAGACTTATTTAAATATAGACATAATTTCGTTGTTTTTTGTTATAATACCATAGGTCACCAAATGTCTTGTTACGGCCGAGAGTAAGGATAGTTTCTTCTCCCTCTCAACATACTTTCATATAGCCGCGCATATGTGACCACTTCGAGAGAAATTCTACTCACTGCCTTCTCTCAGCGAGTGTTGTTGTTTACGAAATTGAGAGAACGAAAAACGAATATCCAGTCAAGGCCGAAACTGGGTTTATGAGTTAGAAGGATCGACCTAGAGGAGTTGGAAAACTCTGATTCCAAACCACTAGTGCATATGTTCTTCAGGATTATGCGGAGGCTAATGACATATGAACTTGTTGCTGGTGACGGGTTACCGTGAGACCGAATCTCCTTACGTTGTTCCACTACCTTGTGGATTAGACTTTGAGGTCAAAGGCTCAGTGTGTATGTGGCGCTCTAATGAAGCCATTTGATTGAGTTTGGGTGTTACGGGGGTATCTTAGCTCATTCACAAATTCGTTAGTTTATATTGTGCATAAATATTTAGGTGTCCCTTCGTATTTGTGTTTATGTGTTTTAATAAGTAAATTGAGCCATAATGGTGTTAAGTCTGATATTATTATTATTATTATTATTATCATTTTTGTGTACATCAATTTTACACTGATTTAACTCGAAATTTCAGTATTTTACTAGGAAAAAGCGTGCAACTGTTATCTCATACAACTGTGGTGTTTTTATTGTTTCTGTTAACATCACTTTTGAACATTAACAATTTTTCTTTAACTTCAATGGTTTTCTCGTTGGTATTTTTGTCTTTTTGTGAAAATAATAAAAATCACTCTTCATTAAATTGCCTTTTTTCCTCTTTTCCATCATCTAAAAATTCATGTTCGACATTTCTTCAAAATTATTAATTTCTATTTCTGTTATTACATGTGGATTAAGCTTTTTAGATATCATTTTCTAATGTTTATTTAATTAGACACGGTGATTCACACCAAAATTTCTTTTTAATGGATAACTTATTGATTCTGAGGTTGTGGAGATTGTTAAGTAGTTACTCGTTGAAATCATGAATTGATCAATGTTGGATACCACCATTAGAAACCTGGAAGCAATGGACGGCGTTCACGCTCAAGACTGAAGGTCTTGGGTCCGAATCCTGCCAGGTGCAGGTTTCGTGGATACAATTTATTGATCACAATTATGATAATGATTCTGTTACCACTATTATTATTATCATTACTAGTAGTAGTATATTGTCTTGTTTTTGCCTATTTCCTTATCTCTCATTCATCAAGTCTTACTTTACAGCTATTTCTTTTTCAATCTATCGAATCCATTCAACACACTGTTATTTATCATCTGTATTTTTATTGGATTCTATCTATTTCCTACAGTCAATTACTTCTATATCAGTTCCATTTGTTCATTGTACTACTGCCTATAATACTTCATCAGTTCGCTAGCATATCGTCATAAAATATTGTTTTTCGGATAATCTGTATAAATTTAGAATTTTTTTTGTGAAAAGCTCTACACGAATATTTCGTTTGTCATTTATCTTTTGTTTTGGTTCAAGTTATTTCAAGGTAGATAATAGTGTTCATTGGGTAGAGAGAGAGTTTAATTGATTTGTTGATGAAATTTTGCTTGTCTGCGATCATAGGTGTCTCTGAAGCATTGCTCGTGTATCCTGGGATAGCTGGGTAAGCGATGGTGTCGTTAGGAAGCGAGTACTAGGTAGGGATGGTAGATCGATTGACGAAGTAGTGAAACTCCATCAGGACATGTGTTACGAATGAGCAACCACCAGCTGCCTCGACGAGCTATGTTTTGTGGTGTAGGAGTAGGTTGGACCAAAAGGTGGCAGAAATCCATGAAGTCACTGACAAGTGGACTGAGTCATATTGGTAGATGTCGACTACCTGGTTGGTGTCCGCGTGACGAATGTCACCAATGATTAGAGACTTTGAACGACATGGGTCAAAATCGTTTGCAATGGCGCAAGTGCATCCACTCTTTATGTTCTCTCGAATTCTAATATTCTGTATTTCTCATCATCTCTGTCTTTCTCTTTCTAACTTTATCGCACTAAATTATACCTTACTGTTCTCCATTACTGCTAATTCTTCTACTATCGCTACCACTATTTGGTTTGAATTGACAGTTGAGTCTGTGTGCTGATGCGGTGATGCTGTGTTGTATTTGTCTGTCTGTCTGTTGATGAAACGCAGTTGATGTAATAATGAGCACATATATTCCTCATTTGCTTTATTCATTCATTCTCATTCACCCACTATCGGCATATCTTGTTACTTCTTAGTGTTTTTTTTCACTATCCTTACAGTGCTTTTATTCACTTCTCTCTCTCTGTATTGATTTTAAACTATTGATATAAGGTGTTAAGTCCAATAGAAATTTATCTAACATTTCCAGCACTATGCTCAATCGATAACTGCTCACATGAATTCAAATGCATAATGCATAGTTTCATTTGTCTGTTCTATTTATCTATCTATCTATCTATCTATTTTAATTTTTCACCCATTATTTTAAGCTGTGCTTAATTTACAATACAATGATGTTGTGACTCTCATCATCATCATGATCCTGTGTTTTCAACAGAAATGGTGACAATCTTATTCCTGATTTGTATGATTATATCTAATATCATTGATGAGCGATAATTTTGTTATAATTCGGTCTATATGTATTTATATATTTATTTATAATTATTTCTGACTGTTTTTTTTAGAGTTTAGCACAAGGATTAAAAAGTTTACTAGACTATGAAAATGATGATGTTGAAAAGGTTTTTGGTTGTACATTTACTGTGGATTATTTGGATCCTTTCGGTAATGCTGTGACACATGAATTAAAACCGGATGGAGCTAAAATTCCAGTGACCAAAGAAAATCGTAAAGTAAATTTTTTTTTGAGGCTTTCTTTTAAAAAAATTTTTTTCTAGAAAAAAAAGAAGAAAGCAATGTGTACTTGATATGTATTTTATTTCAATGAATTCATTTGATAATGCTTATATGTTATGATTGAAAATAAGTCAGTCAATTGGCGCGCAAATTGGTTGATGATTTCATGTTGACAATACTATGCTTTTGTTTCATCAAAATATGCATTATATGACTGAAGTAATTTCAAAATCTACATCAATTTCATCGACTACGAGAAAGCATTCGATAGCGTGGATAGGAAAACACTGTGGAGGCTTTTTGACACTACGGTGTGCCTGAGAAAATAGTTAACATCATACGGAATTCTTATGATAGATTCAACTGCAAAATCGTACACGAAGGACAGCTAACAGACTCTTTCGAAGTGGAGACCGTTGTGAGGCAAGTTTGCTTACAGTCACCCTTTCTCTTTCTCCTGGTCATCCATCGACTGGATTATGAGGACGTCGACATCTGGAAGGAAGCACGGTATTCAGTGGACAGCTAGGACGCAGCTTGACGATCTGGACTTCGCAGATGACCTGGCTCTTCTATCGCACACGCAACAACAAATGCAAGAGAAGACGACCAGTGTAGCAGCAGCCTCTGCAGCAATAGGTCTCAACATACATAAAGGAAAAAGCAAAATTCTCAGATGCAACACAACATGCACCAACCAAATCACTCTTGATGCAGATGCCTTGGAGGACGTTAACACCTTTACATATCTGGGCAGCATCATCGACGAGAAAGGTGGATCGGATGCAGATGTGAGGGCGCGGATTGGCAAAGCGAGGGCTACATTTCTACAGTTGAAAAATATCTGGAACTCCAAACAACTTTCAACCAAAACCAAAATCACGATTTTCAATACAAATGTCAAGACAGTTCTACTGTATGGAGCGGAAACTTGGAGAACTACGAAAGGCATCATCCAGAAGATACAAGTGTTTATTAACAGCTGTCTACGCAAAATACTTCGTATTCGTTGGCCAGACACCATCAGCAACAACGAACTGTGGGAGTGAACAAACCAGATTCCAGTGGATGAGGAAATGAGGAAGAAGCGGTGGAAGTGGATAGGACACACACTACGAAAAGCACCTAACTGTGTCACAAGACAAGCTCTCACTTGGAACCCTCAAGGTCAAAGGAAAAGAAGAAGGCCAAGAAACACATTATGCCGAGAAAAAGAGAAAGATATGAGAAGAATGAACAAAAACTGGAAAGAGCTGGAAAGGGAGGCCCAGGACAGAGTTGGTTGGAGAAAACTGGTGGGCGGCCTATACTCGATTGGGGGTAACAGGCGTAAGTAAATAAGTAAGTTATTTCAAAATCATCACTCGAAGTTAGAATAAGATTCAGCAAGGAATGATTCTCTTTTATTCTGTTTTGAATGATTTTATTTTGAAATTTTCTGCAATGACATTTCACAGTTTGTTATTTTTGTTGTGCATAAATTGATTTTGAAATGAAATTCAATAAATTGGACATGAAATCACTTAGTGTGTGTGTGTGTGAGAGAGAGAACATTTTTTGTTAAGTAATGAAATTAAAACTCATGAAAGTGAATTGATAAATTAGTATTAAGTTATCATGTTGAATGATGTAATTACAATGAGAATATATGGGAAAGGAGGGAACTGAAAATGAAACAATCGGATTGTACAGCTTAAGAATTAGAAGCGTGAAGTTCATTCAGCTTAGGGACCCCCTTCTCAATGAGCTTCTCAAGATATATATATATATATTTCATAGACATAATGGTGTAATTTGAGGTTTATTTTAGTAGATAACAATAAAAGATTTTGTGTGTATATGAAAGTTGTGCAATTTTAGTATACTGACGGTTGATTATTATGTAATTGAATTCAGATATTCAAACTATTTTCGTCATATTCACTGAAGGTTAAATAAAATGCAGTAATATCAAAAACGATTATGAATAAACTTAGTGTTTTATGAGAACTTAGTAAGTAGAGGGGATATTTAGGAATACGAAATCAATGAAATAAAAATTAAAATAACTGAACATATAAAGAATGATGATAATAGTGATTCAATGTCACGGTAAATTCAAAGAGAAGCTGTGTTTTGATTGTACACACAGTTCAGGCTTCACTTAGTGAAAGACAGCTACTTCTACTGTTTTTAGGAAACTTATTACGAAGAAGTTTCCGTAGATTTTGATGGGTTCTACAAACAACTTTAGAATCAACATGTTGATCAGTAGAATGATTAGGATCGACCAGATGTTCAGGAACAGAACTCCTAACCAGTTCCCTGTCAGCTTTGTAGAACCATATTGGTAAATGTTGTCATATCTGAGTTGATAGTGAGCTGCAGCTACAGTCAGTGCTCACTGCTCCACAAGAGCGGGCGAACTGGTAGATACTCTTGATGATTATACGTTTTCAAATCTGCCTACCGTTAAACTGTTGAACACTATATTTCTGCTTTACGAGCTATTACTATCGTACCAGCTGCAAAACTTAATAATTCAAGGTTCACTATCTCTTATCGCGTCATGTGCAACATCAACATGACTTACTTTATCAGGCTAAAGAGACTCAAAGCTCATAAAAAATCCAAGTATAAAACTAATATCTATTTATCTGTTTAACTGATCTATATCTGATCAGCTGTATTTAGTTTCTATAACTTCTTCAAGAATGAAAGTAGACAATCGAGTTTTTAAATAGGTATTCCATGTAGTCAAATGTCGAAGTTACAACAGTGGTTATTCATTAGAAAGACTGTGCATGATTTAGATTGTATTAAGCTGAAAAGGTTTTTGTTAATAGTATCTTCTAGTTGACTATTCATCTTAAATACGAGAGCGTCTATACTGTGTTTTTAGTCACCACACCTAACTTTTTCACTTGCCATTAATAAAATGGTATTTTATCTTGGTAAGTTTATCTCATGTTGATGATATGTCATGGTGGTAACTTGAATTGATTTACATATTCTAGATTGTATTCGATTCACTGAATAAGAATTACAAATTTTTGGTCTAACCCAAATACTTTTATGATGACATTACATTGTCCTGTTAAGATTTTATACACAGTTAAAGAGCAATCGTTATCATTCTATTTATGATCATTATTATTATCTGTTAATGATAATTTGTTCTTGTTTTGAAAAAGTATTTTTCTCTTTTTGTTTCATTTTTTTAAAAATATTAAACCTAAGGAATATGTAGATTTGTATGCTGGTTTTCTGTTGAATGATTCTGTTAAAAAACAATTCAATGCTTTCAGAAGAGGTTTTCAAATGGTTGTCGACGAGAGTCCATTAACATTTTTATTTCGTCCAGATGAATTAGAACTACTTATTCGTGGTAGCCCAGTAAGCATTATAATTTGTATGAAACATTTGATGGTATATATATATATATATATATTTATATATATATATATTGGGCATTTGCAATACATGTCCCAACCACCTCAACTGATGAAGTTTCAATACTTCATCAATTGATCTGCCATCCTAAAAAAGAAGCGTTTTAATACATTATATCAAAACTATCATACAACAACCAGTTTATTAGTAATCATTGATTATATAATAAACTCGAGGTTTGTTATTAAGTATTGCATGTATAACAGAAATTCACAACCATTGAAATCTATCGATATTGTTGATTGAATTTAAGTTAGTTAGAATGCTTTATCTACTTATGATTGCCTTGGTCTGTAGATATTGATTATTGCTACGTTTGTCCCGTTTTTTTAAGTGCTTATCAAAGTCTGTTGATAAGTCTGTGATCATTAGTTACTTACTCATTTACTCCTGGTTCCCCCAATGGATTATAGTCCGCCTACCAGTTTTCCCTAACCAACTCTGTCCTGGGCTTCCCGTTCCAGTTTTGTCCAGTTTAGAAGACCTTCTAACTCCCAGGGTAGAGTTAAAATGGTTTTAATCATGTTTTCTGGTTAACGTTTTATTAGCGAATTAGTTTTTTGTGGGATGGAGTCTCCAACCCTATGCCCAACCCTCATCCTTTGTCCGGGCTTGGGACCGGCAGTAGCCCCAGAGGGGCTCCTGGAGGAGTTTCTGTGATTATTAGTCTAAAGCGATTGACATCAATAGTTCAACTACCGTATGAAACATCAGCTCTGTTAAGGTAGCAGATAATTCTTGTTAAAGAGTATCAATTAACACAAAACCTAGTCCCAGGATTTACTTCCAACTACCTGCAACTGCGTAACACCTTTGAATTAGTTTTAATCTTTTTTTAAAAATCTACTTGCTATTATCATTTTGTAATACTTTCTTATTAAATATCATGTCATGAAACAATGCACCTAACTGAAATTCTGTTTTGTATTCTACTTTTGCTTTTATGCCTCTTGTCATTTTGTAAAGCGAGCGATTCACTTTCATTCCTATTTCACAGGTATATGATTTCACCGAATTAGAAAGAGTCACCACTTATGAAGAATATACAGCCGATTCATCTGTGATTAAAAATTTCTGGTCTGTAGTACATTCAATGACTAAAGAACAACAAAAACAATTATTACAATTTTCCACTGGTTCCGATCGTGTACCAGTTGGTGGTATGTCAAAAATGAAATTTACTATAGCACGTCAAGGAGCTGATACTAATAGGTAATTTTGATATATTAGAAAAACTATACTTTGTTTTTCCTGTTAGTAAGATGATTACATTTTAATAGGTAATTTTTAAATAGTTAGTGGTTGAAGTGATCACAAAGTTATGCAAATATCAGATTAGAATGATTGACATAGAAATTCTAATCGGCCTAGTCGCAGCTGCTACCTTGACACGTTATGGTTAAGCTTGGCTATCATGATAATTTACTTGAATTATATTGACCGGAATGTTAGGATATTCATCAAATATCCTAAAAGAACTATTTTTGGAAGTCCAGTCCTATTGGTCGATTCTTATTGGTTAATATTATGGTCGTCCATTTTATTAACGTCACACACTGCAATGTTGTCTTCTATTGGTCGTACTAACTGTCAGTATCACTTCAAATGATGTTTCCGATTGGACACTCTACCTATCAATTTCACAGACTTCCATGTTGTTTATTATTCGATCTAAATGTATAAATACGCATTATCTGCAACTTTTGATGACCCGGACCAGGACCCGGACGCCTAGTCCAAGCATATCAAAATAACATGTTTACGCACATGCGTAACACAGAATACCCGTTCTTTTAGATCACAGCATACCAGGCAGGTCGATTAAAAAGCAACAAGTCCACGGCTCGATAGTGGAATTGTTTTGCCGACTATACGAGCTTGTGACAGTCTATTTATCTAGTGATGCTATTTGAAGGGGGGCTTAGAAACAATCGACTCTGAATTAGTGCACCTAACTTTGCCTCGAAAATTCCCACCGCTAGCTTTTAGATAGGGTCTCATGTGTGCCGTGTTCTGGTTTGGCCACCCCTAACTTTATTCCAACCTACTCCTACACCATAAAACAAAGCTCGTCGAGGCAGTCGGTGGTTGGGCATTCGTAACACATGTCCCAACCACCTCAACTGATTAAGTTTCAATACTTCATCTATTTATTTGCCATCCTTACCTAGAACTCGTTTCCTAACGACAGCATTGTTTACTCATATGTCCCAGGGTATACGAGCAATGCTTTGAAGACATCTATAACAGAATTCTGATAACCTACGAATGTCTTCTACTCTTACTGGCAATATTTCGCAGCCACAAATTAGGACAGAGCGAACTGCTGTACAGTGCACTCATCCTTTAGTCAGCAGGCGAATATCTCGCCTACGCCCTCAGTGACGTAAGTTGGTAAAAGTCAACCGAGCCTTCTGTATCACTGCTGAGTAGAGTTCGCGCTCTCGAAACACTCTTATGGTTACGCATATGTAACCATTTTGAAAGAAATCCTATTCATTGCCTTCTATTAGTGCAAGCGTTGCTTATGAAATCTCTCACTAATTGCTTACTCCAGTGTTACACTTGTTGACGCTTATTAAAATAGGATAAATGACATCAGCCTTCTCAAAATTGTTCATACACACACATACCCCCACACACACTATCCTCATTGTTTACCAGGTAAAACGAAATGTGTCTATCGATTGTTACCCACAATCTAACGTCAAATCCAAATTTCTGCATGGAAGTTTTTGATGCAGAAAAATGATTTCAGCTGAACAGTAGTATTTGAACAAGTTTCATAGAATAGCAGCATAACGTTTATCGTATATAATGATAACTTTCTCTCTTTTGAATTTATTCAGTAATGCATTTATTTTAAGCAATAAAATTAGTTATATTTCAGTAAATATTATCTGTTTCTATGTGTTCATCACTTTTATTGATTGTATTATATATATATTTATATTGTCGTTTCAGGTTACCATCTGCTCATACATGTTTCAACATACTTTTATTACCGGAATATGAAAGTTTAGAGAAATTACAACAATCATTGTTATTGGCGATAACACATTGTAAAGGATTCGGAATGTCGTAGTTAACACATTCACTTTGTATTCTTCGCCATCTTTCTTTATTCTGCTTCTTTCTTTTATTTACACATTTTTTCATTTTCTTATCGGTTGGCTACTTTTACTTTTTTCTTTTCATTGTTTGATTAGTTGTGAGAGTTTCGGTTTTTTATATGTTGGACAGAAATAAAAAGCCAAAATCATCAATCAAATCTTTGTGTTGTTTGTAAGTCTCTTTTCAAATTTGTTCACTGTGTGTGTGTTTATCATTCTTTGTTGAGATCAAAAATTTTGTAGCGTGAACTGTGTTTGTTGGATTGTCATTAGTTTCTATGATTGAAACGTATATTATACCTGCTTTTAAACATAACTTCGTATTCTGTCCACACCTACGTACATACATACTATAACTACTGGCAGCAGAAAACAATTACAGCCTTTTTTTAAAAAAAAATGAAATCTGCTCAAATAACGAAAGTGTTCTATTTAAACCGAATTTAGTAGTACATCAATGTTAGGTGTGCGTTTTAAAAAATAACAGACAAAAAACAACAGAATATCAACATTATTCTTGTAACGTTTACAATAATATGATGTGTATTCACATTCTATTTGTAAAATAATGTAAACGTACTTGTTCTACGTATTCTCTCTCAATAATTAATTGGCCAAATAAACTAGTCAGCTGATCAAATCAAATAATGAACTTGTCTGTTTGTTTACAAGCATACATGTCTTTCTTATTGAAAAATGTCCGGTACATGAAGACAGCACACATTGGAAGTATTATTGAATTGATGCTTATTGGTGGTCACATTGTACATCATTTATTCCACAGAGACGATAACACTGTGACATTGAGTTATATCTCAGTGTTTTGCTTTTTTTTCTTCAAACAAAAAAAGTATCAATCTATCTGGAAAATAAATTCAATTTTCTCACCAATGAATTTTTCAACTGTAGTTTTCTTTTCTCTGTGTGTGTGTCTGTGTGTTCGTTCTTTTTCCATGAAACTGCTTATGTATTTGCAATGTTTTTAGAGAGAGAGAGAGAAAAAACAAAAGAAATTATTCTCATCTTGCAATGATGAACAATGCGGAAAAATAGATTGAAATCAAATTTATATTATGTGAATTTTATCCTTCTTTTTTCCAGCGTCTCTTCTGTCCTTTTTTTTCTATTATTATCATTATTTCACTCTGTTTATCTTTAAATGATTCAAATGTTACTTACCTACTTACTTACTTACTGACTACTACTACTAATACTACTACTACTACTACTACTTCTACTACTACTACTACTACTAGTACATTTATTTATCGTGATGTGGTTTTACTAATGGTGTTATAATTCTTATCCAATAGTAGTAGTAGTTGCAGTAGTAGTATATGATACATACACACACACATACATATATATATATATATATATATATATTGAAAGTAAATTACGATTGCGAAAAAAATAAATTAAAAAATAAATAAATAAACGTTGTTTACAATTTGTCAATGTTGTTTGTCTTTTTCATTGTGTTGATTTGTATTTTCAAAGTCAATGAACTAATTCTAAGGTGTTTGTTTGATTGTGCGCTTGTACTGTCCGTTTTTTGAATTTTATTGATATATCTACTCGTATATATATATATATATATATATATATATATATATATATATATATATATATATATATATACTCCTCTCTCCTGAGACTCCACTGAATTTTAGTTATTGCTAGAAATGTTATTTTCCAGTTTCTTGTTGATTTCAATGAACATCTAACTCGACTGTCTGTCATGTTCACTAACACCTATGAGCTTGCTAATGTTTCTTCCCGCATTCAGTATATGACTATGTGAATATTATGTGTATTGCTCTTTAAATGACATCATTTTGTCTGATCAGTTGGTAATAATGTATTTTTAATGAATACCAGTAATTTTGTTGATAAAAATGTATCAAGATAGATATCCATGGTAGAAGCAAATTATTCTTCTGGAATATAGTGATTCAGTTAAAAAACGAGTTCACAAATTTGTTATTAGTTTTTATTGACCTGTCCAGATTAGATTGATTCTTAACCGACTCATAGTTTTTCTTCAACTGGAGTTGTCGAGGCACTAATTTCAACACCAGATTGAATGATCATGCGTTTGAATAATAAATCTTTAATGACACACAGCCGTTATGGCATTGCACTGTGAGCTACCAAGTCATGGGTTCGAATCTCGTCTTGATCTGGGTAGTTTAACTAGCTTTCACTCTTAATACCCAGCTTGAAGTCATACATATGAATTGCTAACTCATAAATGAGCTAAGAACGTACTATAGATTTATCATTTCTTGTTTCGCTGGACTAATAATATTGTTTAAATTTTATGTTAGAATGTAGTCTTTCGAAATCTTAAGTCAAGTTTTCACCTGTTGTGCTGCTCATCAGTCATCCAATAGTTTACACAAAATATACTTCATTCACGCGTCTGTTTCAAACTTTTCTATGTTTCTTTATGATTTGTTAATGAGTACTCTAATGGATACACAATAATTTTAGTGAATTAGTTTGTCATAATTTACGTGTCTTGTCTGTCAATATTATATAACCTTAATTGAAATACTGGCAATCATAGAAAGCCTTAAAATCTAAGTGGTTTGACACTGCTAAATATATCTTGATAAATGATAAAATATTGAATTGGATTGCGTTCCTGGTCATGAACATGAAGTTTATATACTTGTGTTTTAACAAAGGTATAATATACACATACTGTGGTGCGAGCTACTTATAAGAAGTATATGACGTGAGTGTCAACGTAATGTCTGGCAGCAGAAGATGAGGGAAAATCAAGAAAGGAAGAGTTAGAACACAATGGAATTTGTATGAAACGCATGAATAGTGACAATGGATTGATGTTTTGCAACAGGAACAGTCCAGTTCGATATGATGGACTGATATTTTGAAAATTAACGATTTACGATATGGTTTTCCTATTTTACTGAGTAACTCTGTAATTTTCGTTTAATACAATCCGGTCGCCCCACCTGTGTTCTCGTTCACTACAATACTATCTATCTATCCAATCAGTATGACTGAAATCAATCACACTAGGAAATAAATTTATTTAAAAGAAAAAATGCTTGATTTTGGTCATTTTCATTGTGTTAGTTACATTTTGAAATTAGCAAATATACACCAAAATCGGCTGCTTTTCAGGTGATCTAAATTTAAAAAACTTTTTGAAAGTTTTATTAATGAATGTGAGATGAACTTACATATATTTTTTTTTTGTGAAACAAATATTGTCATTATCGATTTGATATCTGGCATTTTAATCCTATGGAAGATAACTGTCTATTAAATTACGCAATAAGCGATCGTTTATGTATGTGTGGGTTATAGGTAACATCCAACTCTATCCAAGGAGTGGATACGGAATAATCTATGACATTCTGGTTCTTATAATCATTGTTGATGAAATGCGAGTGTTCGTTAATTTTCATAGTACCTTATGACAATCTTTCGTTGTAAGGTCAGCCTTTGGATAGTCCATGGAGTTGATTTCGTGAAGAGCGCATTCGAAGCCACTGAGTTATCCGTAATGTCAAACGCAGATACAGATAACGATTTCCGACTAAGCATAAGTTTTATTTAGTTTGAATACAAGTACTGCTCGTACATGCCAACAACTATCTAATTCTGACTTACATGTATGTGGCAGAAGACCTATGCTATACGAACTCGGATGTGATAGCTTTAATACGATAATTAGAATGGATTTTTACTGACAATATAGGAATCGATAATAAATATGATTCTGACCGTCTCCCAGAACCTTATATCTCATTAGGCTACCGGTTTGCAGGAAAATGAAGTCTAACTTGTAAATGCAGATAATCAATGTTTACAAAAAATAACTTTATATACATTTTGAAGCAAAATAAAAGAATAGTGGTTAAGTGAATACAAGGTCTATGATGATTGGTTGAGCAACAAAATCTTTTATCTAACTGGATTACTCGAACTGTAGGGCAGAACAAATCGAAATATGAATTTGGGAATATTGTACTAAAATTGTGAAATAAGGACTAGTTTAGGTCAAGAATCCAAATGTGGGGTTTTTTTTACAAAATGTATGCAATTACAACGTAGAACTTGGTATACACGTACTTCTTCTCAAGTTGGCACACACTTCGTTAGCCTCAAGAGATCAAATTGTTAGGCCGAATCCCCAAGTAACCGGTGTAGTAACAGTATTAGCGGCAGTGTAAGAGATTAGGAATCGAGAAGATATGATTGAAGAAAATATAAATCAGTGAAATAAAAAACTGGCCAAATTCAAAAATCACCTATAATAATGAGCAGTAAGAATACAGCTTTTTTATGCAGCTCAAAATGTTTTAAGTGATAGCGAGAAATTATTATTTTTCCACTATAGAGTAAAGATGGACAGTGTTACGCGTATCGTATGGTGTATTCTTGCTTCGTAGATTGTGTATAACGGACAAATTAACAATAGCCGTAAATTATAACTGTAAACCTTTAATGTCAATGATGTTCTGTTTTATGGACATACTAACCAGATTGCACCTCTTGCAATTCAACGCAATAATCGTTCATCTGTAGGCCAACAGCACATTAGTGCATTATAGCTGACATCATTTCGTGATACAAACCCAAACTCCAACCATGAACAATCTGGGGAGTTTCAAAAATCGATTTGCGTCCTGTCAAAAGTTCTAGAACAAGGATCACCTATATGAAGTATGAAGTTATATATCGTTATGTTTTGTATTTATGGACTGAGAAACTTGCCAAGAAATGTGAATAAGTCTATTAATTATGTAGAGTTTGTTTAGAGTTTCTGATATTATTGTGTTCTTTTGCCCAAGCTATCTATATATAGGAACTCTGCTTTAAGATTAGGCTAAAAGCCAATTGAAATCTCATCATAGTTCTTTTAAGCTAGTCCTTTTACTATCTCTATCCATTCACAGGAAGATTTCTACCTTACTAAATGAGCGATGGCCTAGATTGTTGATACCTTACTTCACTAACCTTCCTTTATTATCAATATACCACCACTCAGTCATATGAGTAGTGTTGTAAGTCATGTGATAACGTATGATATTTAATAGATTGTATCATCTAAATCGAAAGCATCATTCAATATCGTAAACTTTGTGTGTAGGTAGCTAAGGAATCTGATACATATATATATAGTGTTGTTTTAGTTTGCAAAATATTATGGATACATGTTTGATTTATCTAATGAATTCATTTATTTTCATGTAGACCAAATTATATTGCCTGATTTCTGTCCTCTCTCTCTCTATATATATATACTACTGATATCATCTTATGCTGTCTATTATACTTATGCCATTACGTACTACTATTACGTTCCTATGTCTAATCTAAACTATAATCATTCACAAACATTTGTTTTTTTTCTCTTTTGAGGTGTATTATAAGTCACATTTTGTTGTACATTCAGTGTTTATATTTTCAACTTCATATGAATAATAATAGTAATAATAATAATGATTATTTTTATTTATTTTGAATAAGACCTAATCATATTCATTGTAATTTCATTGTTATAACCGTCACTGAACAATATTATACTGTTGAATTTCACTGTGAATTGATTGAAGTTAGACATTAACACTGCTAGATACCGGCTCAGTGGTTTAAAGGTTAGGCGTTAGCGCGCAAGACCAAAGGTCCTGGGTTCAAATCCTGCGATGTGCAGGAGTCGTGGATGCGCACTGCTGATGAGTCATTCCCATACCAGGACGAAACGGCCGTCTTTCATTACTTGCAGGTTTCTTCTAATGATGGTCTAACTTTGATCGGTTCATGATTTCAAATGTGTAACTTAACAATCTTCACAAACCCGTAATGCAATATAATGCAAAGTTGACTTAATCCTATTCAATAATGGTATTCAACATCGCTCTATCTATCTATTCTCAATTCAACTTATTAATCTTTCTTCATTGTGATTGATATCAATAAGAAGAAAATATATTAATTTTAACAATTGGCACAAATACTTTTATAGAATTAGTGTTCACAATATATATATGTATAGCTTTGCGTATCATTTGAAAAGACAAAAAAAATTCAATATTTCGAAGTGTACATTCTATTTATAGACGACAGATCAATTAATGTTTACATCTACTGTGCATTAGTTACACTGAATTCCATCGAATTAACTAATTGTCTAAGATGATGGTATTCTTGTTCCATACAAACACAACTAACTTGTTAAATTGATGCCAATATTTCTAATGTACGTGTAGTTTGAAAGCAAATAATTAGTCTCTTTTTTGATTTTGATTTTATTTTGAAAATGATTTATCTCACATTAAAAAAGAAAACACCTTAAATTATTCTCTCTATTTTGACTTGTAATTACATTGAACAAAGTATTCATTGAAGTTTTTTGGGAACGTACATGCATACATACATAGATATATATGTGTAATCTATGTTGTCATTCATTTAATTTATATATATAATACACATGAATAGTAAAGATTTTCATAAAAATTAAAATACAATAACTTTGAGATCTGATGTAGAACGGCTAGGTACAACCTACAGATTGACCGATTTCTTTTTGGTTATAACCAGGTGTACTGTTACGGGTATGAAGGCGATTGTCACTTCCCGGCTGCCCATACCCTGCAACGTTGTTTCTTGAGGGGCCTGAAAAGGAAGACAGATTAGTGTTGGTCTTAATGACCTGAGAGCGTGACCGCAGAGCCCAACGGACAACTGCTTCAGCCCGGTCACGCACGGCCTTTTTATGAAAGGTTTTTTGAGTATTAGCTCCGCTCTTGAAAGCACTTAGTGGGCACCGTTACCGACGGAGACGGAAATCCGTGAGGTAGAGTGAGGTGTGACACTTTTAGGGTCGACCTTTTCTAACCCCTCCTTCCTTGTGAGAAGGTAGCATCGCTGCAGATGCTGGTTGTCCGAGGGAAACACCTTACTGCTGTCACACCCCTCTGCAGTCAGTCAGCAGTACGACTTCGCCCTCAGACCTTGGGTAGCTGCTTTTAGTCTCATCGTTCTCCAATTGACCTGCCTGGCATAGTAGAACATTCAGGAACATATGTTCCAGCTAATATAGCTCGATCGGGTCATCACGATAGTCAAGCTCGACCACCACATCAAGGTAGCAGCTTCGGTCGGGTATAACCAGGTAATTCGTCTAGTTTACGTGTAGAAGTGAAATAGTTCATAGTACCTGAATTATATAATATTGATGAATAAGTAACTTGAGTGTGTTTCTTCTGTTCAAAAAAATTATCATTAACTTGATATTATTTTTCAATTATTTAATACAGATGGATTTCAAATCAATCAATGAAATACCAGAATCAACCTATGCTGAATATAATTGTCTTGATGTTTTACGTTTAGCAACAGTACGTGGAGCTGAATTAGCAGCTTTCGAGTCTAGTGTTAATGTTTTAACTAGTTCAGCACTAACTGGACTTCAACGATTACCTGTACGTTTAAGACGGCGTGCTGCTAGTCATCGTATCAATAGATTACCGCATCGTTTTCATAGACATCATCATCTTACAAATCCTAATGAGAATGGTTCAAAGTCTGGGGTAAGAAGTTGTTTTTAATTGTTGCGTTTCTTTACTGTCACAGATTATTGAGTGTTTAATAATTACTGTTAATTTTCCTCGAAATAATAATGACTGTGTGTACAGTTTTTAATTCATATTTTAACATAATCTTTGCTATTGCCTGATTGGTTGTTACCAGTATTAGTTTTGCTGATTTCTTTCTGTATCTTTAGGTCATGTTTTATCATTAGACAATATAGGATTGCCCCATATTCATTTAGTTATTATTAAATATCAAGTTTTCTCTACTGCATAATTGTTTTCTCCTAAAGCTTGATAACACAAATCTCAATCGTTCGTATTTAGCACTAACTGTACGTAAGTGTGCTTTGTGGGTATGAGGGCGGATTTTACTTCCCAGCTGCCCACACCGTGGAAGACAAACGAATGAAGTGAGTAGTTGTGGAAAGTGTGTTGTGCACAGGTGATACACTATGTCATGCCTCGAACAATAGTGGGCCGGCACTTTCATATACGGTGTCTGACAAGGTAGCACGCGGACGCCTGCACCATTACGCCACGTGGACACCATAAATGTTTTTAAACTATGAAATTATTGTTCAACCATTGTTAGACCACCGTTAGAAACCTGGAAGCAATGAACGGCCATTTCGTCGTGGTATGTTACTCTTCAGCAGTGCACAGTACTCGAACCCGGGACATTCGATCTTGCGCGCGAACGCCTAACCATCGAACCACTGGGCCGGCATTCAACGGTGTTAATGTCTAACTCTTACTGTCTATTAAATCGACTCCTAACTGCTGAAAGCAATGAAAGGAGAATATAAAATGTACCACTAAATAATATTTACATTAACCAGATTTACACAAACCGCATCCATTATTGAACGAACAGTTAATCTGTTCCATTTCGACAGCAAACACTTTTTTTCGCCTATTTGATGATTAATCAATTATGATAAATAATCTGGTTAAAATAAAAATCTGTTATTCACAATATGTTTGTGAATTACTTACTTTAACTACGAATTACATTTTTGCAAACAAAATAACATGTAAACATTTAGTCTGGAGATAATAATAACTACATTCAAAACAATTTGCAATTTTCATAATTTTTTTATTATTATTGTTGTTGTTGTAGTTGTGGAGAAATTCATCATCTTCAAGTGTATATCTTTTCTGTTCTAATTTGATTAGAATTTATATTTCGGAACATTTATGTCTTTTATAATTGTATAATTATTTCTAGGTTATTATGTTGTGCATAAAAGTCAAACTTTCTGTAGTCCTATTGCTTTATACTTGTTCAAATTTTCGAATAATTGGAGAGTTTTGGCACCTTGAATGTATTGTAATCGTTTAGTGTCAGGGTATACTACTAATAATAATTCCACTGAAAACTAAACTTAACTATTTGTTTGAAGATATTCTTCACTGACTGCTAACTGTGAACAACTCAAACAAACCTAAACGTTCAATATTCTCGAAATTTAATTGATTTTGATTGATGACTGTGTTTGATGGGCTTGCATAGTCTTTTATCTTGTCTTATTCAGTCAGTCAACAAAAACATAGAACTTAGTACGTACGTATATCAGTTCAAGTTGCCATACCACATTAGCACAGAGATGTAATTGTCACTTCAAATCCCATATTAGTAGAGGTAGTAGAAGAATTAGCAGTAATCGAAGAGATTTGGGTTCGAAGTTGTTATTCTGGAAGTACAATCTAGTGAAATAAACTTAAAAAGATAAAGGTGATGAGAAACTCTAAAGGTTAGGATTTGAGGTAACACAAAAAATGAAAGCACCTGCGCCATCACAAACGATTTTAAGCCATGTCGTTCAAGTTCTTTAACCATTGGTGACTTTTGCCTCGCAGACCCCAACCAGGTAGCCTACATCTACCAACATGACTCAGTCCACTTGTCAGTGACTTCATGGATTTGTGTCATGGTTTGGTTTGACCTCCCGTAGCTTTCTTCCTACATAGCAAAACATATCTGGACGAAGCAGTCGATGGTTAGGCATACACAACACATGTTCCAACCACCTCAACTGATGAAGTTTCAATACTTCATCTATTGATCTGCCACCCTTTCCTAGCAACCGTTTCCTAACGACAGCATTGCTTACTCAGTTGTTCCAGGATACACGAGCAATGCTTTGGCGGCACCTATGATCGAAAACCAGTAACCTACGAATATCTTCTACTCTGACTGGCCATGTTTCACAACCATTATGTAGGACGGAGAAAACTATTGCACAGTCCACTCGTCCTTTGGTTATCCATCCTTCTTTGTCTTATTCATCATTTAGTACATACTTTGTGTAATCATTCATATAGAACATCGTACAAGTATGTGTTAATCAGCTTTCAATTTATTACAACTTATTCAATCGGCTTAATGGTTATAATGCTTTTCTGTATTTTATATATAGTAGTCTAATCAGATTAATAAACTTTCTAGTTGTTAACTTGATCGAATAGTAATAATTGACAATTCTTTCCTTATTCTGTTGTTCTGTTCTTATATTCGTTTAGAAAATAAATTTTTTAAAACAACAATCTATTGATCAAGAATTTCATAAAATCAATATGTTGTTGTATTCAGTTTCACTGAAAAGTACACTTAATCACAAAAAATAGATCCATTTTTTAGAATGGATCAGCTAACGAATGTTGTCTAGATATTTGGACACTGTAAAAATAAACTAGAAAAGTAGCTAGTAAAATGTAATAGAAGTTTTTTTTTCTGAATAGATTTCATTCTTACACTCATTGTATTTGTTGACTTGTGTAAAATGATATTTGTTTTAATGTACGGATGTTCAGGATGTAAATGTGTGTTACGAATGCACGTGACCACGTCAAATTGATATGCTTGAACTATTACGAGTTCGTCTTAGTTGGTGCACAAGGATCGACGATCCGGTGACACATCAGGCTACTCTAATGCCAGCGTCCCAAACCCTCATTGAGTAGAAAAAGAAGACTTGATATGAAATAGAACATGTATTCTACCAGCATCCAGAAACTACGAGGTCCGAATCCAGAAGAGGATAAGGATCAGGGTCATAAAACGTTACAGATAATCCATATTTATACAGTTAGGTTGAATAGGAAACAACATTGAAGTATGTGACAACGTGATACGTACCTGAACCAGAAAACAAAAGTGGAAAAGAAAGTCTATTTAGCTACCGAATAATATACGTAAATACTCATTGATATATACATCTAACCTCCTTAGAAAATGAATCCATTTCTTGGCCAACGATATGCATCTATCCTATTTGGTGGTCACCAAATGACGTTCCCTTTCGACTACTTCTGACCGGCTCTCTATATTAACATTGAACTGATTATTTTTTCTTCATAAATTGCAATACAAACTGTTGAATTTCTTTAGAAATCTTTCAAACTGTATAACAAAATCACAATCATGATTGTTATTTTTATAGACAACCTTCTTGCTTGATTGACATAAACCAATCAGAGGTACTGGATACCTTTTCAAATCCTTTATGCCATTCTGGTTTAAATTTCCTGATGGCTCTTAATTCTTAACAAAAAAAGAAGATTTTCTAGTTGATTTCAATTGTTGATGTAAACTTTCTACATTATCCTTCTCTGTTGTTTTCTTTTCTACAATTAAAGACATTCAGCGCTAAAAATAAATTAAAATCTCGTCGATATCGTCGGCGTACACTACGTCTTCTAGCTGTACATGCACGTTTCATACTAACAAATAAACATAATAATCAGTTAAAAAAAACCAAAAAACCATTTTGGTTACCAACGCATATATGGCATGCTAAACGATTTCATATGACTACAAAATGGGGTTGGCGTTTACCGTATGCACCAACAAATAAAATATTCAAAGCATGTCATAAAGCATCTCATAAGTAAGTTTTTTTTTGTCTTTGTTTAATTTTATGTTCACTTATAACATTTTTCAATATTTATTTGAATTTATACTTAGATAGTGAATATGTTATTTGAGAAATTACTTTGATATATAGTGTGTAACATCATATAAACATGTAAATTAAGAAAGTACTCTAAAATGTATTTTACCAATGAGATTATCCATGGTCGTACTGCTGACTGCAGAGGGGTGTGACAGTAGTAAGGTGTTTCCGTCGGACAAACAGCATCTGCAGCGATGCTGCCTTCTCACAAGGAAGGAAGGGTTAAAAAACTTACTTACTTACTCCTGTTACCCCCAATGGAGCATAGGCCACCCACCAGTTTTCTCCAACCAACTCTGTCCTGGGCTTCGCTTTTCCAGTTCTGTCCAATGTTTGTTCATTCCGCTCATATCTTTCTCTATTTCTCGGCGTAATGTGTTCCTTGGTGTTTCTCTCTTCCTTTTGCCTTGAGGATTCCACGTGAGGGCTTGTCTTGTGACACAGTTTGGTCGTTTTCGCAGTGGGTGTCCTGTCCACTTCCACCACTTCTTCCTGATTTCCTCTTCCACTGGAATCTGGTTTGTTCTCTCCCACAGTACGTTGTTGCTGATCGTGTCTGCCCAACGAATCCGAAGTATTTTGCGTAGAAAACTGCTAGAAACACTTGTATCTTGTGGATGACGGCTTTGGTAGTTCTCCAAGTTTCCGCTCCATACAGTAGAACTGTCTTGACATTTGTATTGAAAATCCTGATTTTGGTTTTGGTTGAAAGTTGTTTGAAGGGTTAGAAAAGGTCGAACCTAAAAATGTCACCCCTCACCCTACCTCACGGATTTCCTTCTCTGGTGGTAAGGGTACCCATTAAGGGATTTTAAGAGCGGAGCTAATACTCAAAAAACTTCTCATAAAAAGGCCGTGCATGACTGGCCTCAAGCATTGTCCGTTGGACTCTGCGGTCACGCAACCAGGTCTCTAAGACCAACACTAATCTATCTTGCTTTTCAGGTCCCTCAAGAAGCAACCTTCCAGGGTGTAGTTAACCGGGAAGTGACAATCGTCCTCCTACCCGTAACAGCATGCGAGACCAAATTGGTCAAATCGAACTCAGATTCTGTTGTATATTCCGTTCACATTCCTTTCGATTCTGTTTATTTATCATCATATTTTCACATTTTTTTCGTCTATTTCCTTATTGTTACTGCTATATTTTTTCAACTTCTTTTCTGTTCATCTTATAAATACATCTAGTTGTGCTATAATGTTGTAGGACGACTTAGGCTAACGAACATTTGTCTGAGTCTTAGCACTGAGTGAACAAAATATCTCGAAAAATAATTTCAGTCAGTTACAACGCAGAACTTCGTACGTAAGTACATCAGTTCAGGTTGCCATACCACATTAGCACAGAGATGTAATTGTCAATTCAAATCCCATAAGTGGTAGAGATAGTAGAAGTATTAGTAGTAATAATGGAGAAGATTAGGATTTGAAGATAATATGCAAGAAGTATGGTTCAGTGAGATAAGTTTAGAAAGACAAAGGTAGATGCTTCTAAAATAATTTAGAAACTTGGAATCTAAGAGAAAATAAAAATGTTAACGATTTTGAGCCATATCACTCATCGTCTGAAACTATTGGGTTACAACAGTATATACACTTACACCAACTAGATAGTTTTTCACTCATCTACTTGTTACTTTTTTGTCAACTAACTAACTAATTAACTTCCGCGTCTTTTTATTTTGTTTTGTTTACTTGTCTTTTTCTTATAATTTTAGTGGTTGTTTATTATTTGACTATAGTTATCTTCATTGCTTTCAATTATATGGAATTGAGAATATGTTAACCAGATGTTTAAATAGCATATTTCGATTAGATTGTCAATTGGATTCTTACCTTCCTAAATTATCATCCAATATGAAAACTCCACTATGGTCATGTGAACAGACTGGAATTTTATATGCAACTAATAAACATGTGAATGATATTTCACGTCCAGTACTTGGACCTGTTCGTATTTTATGGGGTGCATTAAATTCTGTAAGTTTATCGTTATACTTTCAAGAGAGAGATATTTATTGTTTATCTGCTTATTACAAATATCGAGGATATTTTTTTTTTGAGATTTTCATTTTTATTTATAATCATTGTGTATTTTTTACAATTTGTCTATTGTATTAGTAGTAGTTGATAGATTGGTTTCGATTGTTGTTACAAACGCATACCTCACCACGTCAATTGATATGCTTGAACTATTACGAGTTCACCTTAATCGGTAACGAGAGCTAAGAAAAGTGATCGATCCATTGACACGATAGGCTACTCTAGTCCGAGCGTCACAAGCCCCAACTAACGGTATGAAAATGTTTTGATATTGCGTAGAAAGTGTATTCTACAAGCACCCAGAAAATATGAGGTTTTGTACAGAAGAGTAAGAGGAGCATAAAACTTTACAGACAATGCATATTTATACAGTTAGGTCGACCGTGAACACTAACCAATAGGAAGCAGCACTCACAGGTATGCGAACTTGCTAGTTTAGGATGACCTTGAATATTGACCAATAGAATTAGACTCAAAATAATTTCTTTAGGATATTTGATGAATATCCTAACAATTGTCTTAACTATTTCTCATTAACATTTAACTGAATCGAATTTTAAACAGTCATATATATTTTGTTATATTTCAATAAATAATCATGTTGACTTTTTAACGCTTTTGTTGTATAGCGATTGATCACTGAAATGGAATATTTGATGACTTTTAATGTTATCTGATGTTAGTCTATCAACTTTATTATCACATTCTGAAATATCTGTTGACAATTTAAGGTTTAAATAGTATTATTTTAATTAATTAGTCAATGTTTGATTTATAATTCTGATACTTTTCAAATCACGCTCTTCTACCGCATTTTTTTTAATATTTGATATTCTTCATTGATTTAAGGACGTTGAGTTACTAAGTCGGTCTTGTACGTAGTTACTTTATCGTATTATAGCAGGTTATTAATCGATCGATATTTAGATCTTTTATCTCTAAAGGTCATTTGTCTCGGTATACTTTTGTTGCATATAATCTTTTCATCAAATCTCCATCATTTGAAATTGTTTGCTGATCAACTTTTAATTACTCCCTGTCCAAGCCAATTTGTATATTCATTAGTCAATTTTCATTACATTGTCAATTTTCGCATAAGTTTAAATCATCATAATTTCATAGAAGACATTATTTTGTTTTAAATATAGTCATCCTCTTCTCAGTTTCACAACTATTACTTCAATTTCTTTCAGTTGTTGATATCTTTTATTTGGAACTTATTGGGATATTCATAAAAGTATCCCAAGAATTATTTTGTAAGTCTAACTCTATCATTGGGCAAGAAGTCGTATGTTTTCACATATTTCCAGACTCGTCACATATGTCACATGACGTTTTCCTATTGGTCAATACTTACGGTCGTCCTAACTGTATAAATATGCATTGTCTGTAAAGTTTTATTATTCTCCTGTACTCGGACTCCATAAACGACGTTCATCTAACAGTGTTGTGTTCTGATGTATTGGAGATTTGGAGAACAGTATTTAGGGGGTCGTATTAGAATATCTGAATTTGGTCAATCGGTAGAATTTCGAATAGTCACATCGCAGCTTATAATATTTGGCGAAGCATTATATTAGAACTTCCGGCTATCTTGGAATAATTTGACATCGTTTCATTGTTCCTCAACTAATAAAAACTTTAGCCGCTATATCTTTTCGTTTTTTCTTTATCTAAATTGATGATTATGTAAACATAGTCATTTAGTCTATGAAATTACTGTAAACAAAATAGAGTTTGTCTCTTTGCTTTCATATGCGTTGTTGTCATGGTGTTTTGATCGATGATTATTTTTCTCTATAATTTCAATAATTCTATAATATAAACTGACATAAATCAATCTCTTATGTAAAGCAAGAATCTTAATGAAATGAATGACCTCACCTCATATAAAAATTGTCTATGTATTTATTGTTTATTGTGAGTTAGTGAGTGAGTGAGTAAGTGAGTGGTTCTATTTCTTGTATACCAAAAATAGTTTATTAACAAATGATTTGATGTTGAAGAAGAAAAAAAAAGATACACTTTTCTTTACTAATAATAAATAAAATCAGCTGATGGAGACAGTTTTGTGCATTTTTGAAACCATGAATCGATCAATGTTAGACCACCATCAGAAGAAACCTGGAAGCACTGAAAGACGGCCGTTTCGTCCTGTTATGGGACTCCTCAGTGGCAGTGCTCATCCACGACTCCTGCTCTTCGCAGGATTCGAACCCAGGACCTTCGGTATTGTGCGCGAACACCTAACCATCGGACCACTGAGCCGGTATCTAACGGTGTTAATGTCTAACTTCATCAATTCACTTGCTAAATGTCAATTATTTTTTACTACAAGTTAATTGACTGCCTTGCCATTTAATAAATAGCTTTTCGTGACTTGAAGAGTAGTCCTTATAACGGATTTCGTCAGTACTGGGTTTATTCTTCAATGAAAGATAAATAGATATTATTTATTTCTTGTCAATTAGATTTTCTATTTTTAATCAAATTCCGTATATGCTGATTTCAATTGGATTTGTGGAACAATTTATTGATTAGTAGTATATTAGGATAGTGACTTTTTGGAGAGAATAGAAGCTGCAAAGTTTAAATCACAAACTTATCTTAGTTAGACCATTTTTGAAAAGCTCGAATTACTAGATGGCTGTTTCATCCTAATATGAAACTCCTTAACAGGATGTATTCACGACTCCCCAACTTGTGATTTGAAATTTGATTGGTTGATAAATGTAAATATATCAAGCAGAACTATTAGAGCTAATAACAACAAATATTGTTGACGGTTGAAGTGTTGTTTACTTCTACTTCAAGAATTTTACATTTCTACATATGTTAAAATAGTTGCAATGGCTTTAGATAACAGAATATTGTTTTACTTGATGTTTACGCGGAATTTATAACCAACTGAATGTTATCTCATATCTTGTTATACTGGTTAGTAGAAATAACATTGTATAATTCTCAGGGCGTTAAGAATAACGAACTATTAGATTTTTCCACCATAGTCTAAAGGACTACTTCTATCTGCTCCAAACACTTCATTCTCTGTACATAGAACGTACATAACATTCAACTTAACTCTGACCCTAAATCTATAATTTTTACACTTAGCCCCCTGATCCTAGCTGTTAATCTTTAATCCTCAACGGCAGCGGTTCAGAAACTTTGAAATCTTTAAGTCCTTGTGATTGTGCGAGACGAAAGTTGTTCTGTATCCATCTGATTGAATTTCTATAGCTTTATTTTTCTCAATTTATTAATTGAAAAAAAAACATTTAAAAGCTTTCAGTAGATTCATTATTTATGTGAGATTCGGTTTATACTTAATAATGATATCATTGGTTTTTTTCCTTAAACTATACTCATGTACAAAAAACTTTTCCAATCAGCTCTGAACTGACTGAAAATTCATCTTGGTTGTTTTGACATCCTATCTATAATGTTTACAAATCAATCTTCTGACTTCTTCTTAGGCTTTTTGAAGAATTTTCATTCAGTTAATTTTTCCTCTAGTTAGATTGATTTCAACAAACTTAAACAATTTAAACAAACAAATTGATTAAAATACGAAATCGCCTCTAACAATTACCGTTAAAAAATTATTATTCGAAATGATAAACTAAAATCAACAGTGAAGTGCTGGACGTGCGTTCCACTTCATTTATCACTTAAATATATCTTCATCTTAAGGTTGGTATTCACACCCTACACTGAACCGAGTTCTTTCCAATGCGAAAATCACGTTATCTACTGAGTTAAAAGGTTCAGTTAGCTGCTGACGTGTTCAATGAGTTTGGTTTTAATATCAATCAGTCAGTCACTTACAACGTAGAACTTCGTAGGTACATTCATCAGTTCAGGTTGCCATACCACATAAGAGTTTTAATATCATTCAGTATTAATAACCGAAATGGTCCGTACAGACAAGACACTCGTAAGCTAACAATGACTGATCAAAATTCAGTCAAGAATATTATTATAGACGGAATAATTCTAATGTTTACAGTAATGCTGTTTAGATATTTTTTGTCAATTTGTGTTGTTTATCTATAATAATTCTTTTATTCATACTACTTGCTATTAGTATTTTTTGATAATTCTTTTTTTTTTCAAAAAAACATATTCAAAGTTAAACGAAAGTTTTCGTCATCTCTGGTTATGGCTTCATCCATCAATGTCGGAATCAGCTTGGGAATTATTACAAACTGTTATTGATGAAATAAACTCTTCAAATGATACACAATGTTGTACAACACTTCTTCAATTAGATGATGTAACTGGTTACTTTTGTCGTCTTCGTTTAATTGGTCGACAATCACATGGTTTAATCAGTGATATTATTCAATTAAAAAATGGACATACTGTTGATGAAAATTGGACATGTTGGAATTATCTGTCGACAAATATACGTGAAGCTGTTTGTATTCCACCGGGATTTGTTATCAGTTTGCAAGATTGTGAAAATTTTCGTTCTAATAGGTGAGTAAAATATTTTGAAAGCAAAACAAAAAGATTTTTTCTCAGTTTGGACTTTTATGCGTTACACATTGATCTCTGATAATGAGAAGCAGATATCACAAAGATATAACTCAATCAGAAATATGATTATCCAATTTAGTGTCTGCTTCCTGATTATCAGATATTATTATTATTATTATTATTATTATTATTTTACCAGGTGATATATCCATTTGCTAACCAAAGGACGAGTGTACTGCACAGCAGTTCGCCCCGTCCTACTATACGGATGTGAAACATGGGCGGTGAGAGTAGAGGACATTCGTAGGCTACTGGTTTTCGATCATAGGTGTCTCCGAAGCAATCTTCATTTATCTTGGGACTATCGAGTAAGCAACGCTGTTGTTAGGAATCGGGTACTAGGTAGGGATAGCAAATCAATAGAAGAAGTATTGAAACTTCATCAGTTAGGGTGTTTGAGATATGTTTTACGTGTGCCCAACCACAGACTGCCTCGTCGAGCTATGTTTTGTGGTGTAGGGGTAGGTTGGAAGAAAGCTAGAGGCGGCCAAACAAAGCATGACACAAATTCATGAAGTCACTGACAAGTGGACTGAGTCATGTTGGTAGATGTAGGCTACCTGGTTGGGGTCCGCGAGATGAAAGTCACTGTAGACAGATTTCGAAAGACTTCAAACTCATCTGGTATTATAGATAGATGAACAACTGAATTCAATCAGGTGTTCATAATAGAAATAATCTGTTTGATTGAAATTCAAATTATTTCAATATTTCATCCAGCATATGTGTCTGAACTTTCTCAGGATGATAAACAAGTTATTCAGAAGTATATAGCGTTTAACAGAGAAATCTCTACTGAAAGCTTATCCAATCATATTCAGATATTGATTAATTGTTGATTAGGGAGAATATGAGTCAGTAATCTCTGAACAATACGACCAAGTATGGATGCGTGTGTATGTGTACATTTATGTCATCAATGACCCATAGATAAATGTAGTTTATGTTTACTATTAACGATGTGGTATTCCTTTTATTTGTTTAAAAATAAAACAATGATGATTGATTAATGATTTCAAATGTGTAAAAACGCAAACCTCCAAAACTGTGCCCCAATATAATGTAACAGTGCTCACTAGTGACTAGCTTCGTGAGGAAATTCTCGGAGTTCTAGTTGAGAAGACGTGACGGTCGCGCAAAATCCCTAGATCAATCAGAGTTAGACATTAACACCGTTGGATGCCGGCCCAGTGGTCCGATGGTAAGGCGTTCGCCTACAATGCCAAAGGTCCCGGGTTCGAATCCTGCGAGGGGCAGGAGTCGTGGATGCGCACTGCTGAGGAGTCCCATACTAGGACGAAACGGCCGTCCAGTGCTTCCAGGTTTCTAATGGTGGTCTAACAATGATGATTGATTAATGATTTCAAATGTGTAAAAACGCAAACCTCCAAAACTGTGCCCCAATAAAAATAAAACAGTTTATTTAAACGAACGATCGTTTACCGTGCGTGGCATCTTCATCACGTTCTACACAACTACAATTGTTAATAACGTAAAAGTACACATACATTACTCACTCACACATCCATATTTGCTCATATTGTTCACAGCTTACTGACTCATATTTTCCCTAATCAACAATTAATCAATATCAGAATATGATTGGATAAACTTTCAGTAGAGATTTCTCTGTTAAACGTTATCTACTCTTGAAATTCAGGCGTGTTTATTGGATGAAACATTATAATTCTTTAAATTTCAATCAAACCGATTATTTGTGTGTGTGAAAATGATATATGTGGTTGATTATTATAGACATGACTTTTGAAAAGCGCCAGTATAATTGAATGAACACTGATGAAAGTTATTATTTAAAGTTTGAATCCAGCTTTGATGTTGTTAGTAAATTGGTGTGACAGGAAGATTTAAACAAAGTACTTGTTGGCCCATTTTGTTATGCATAAAATATTAGCCAACTATTTCTTGACGAATTATTATTTCAGACTGCTTATCGTCATTTACACTTGTTCACAACTAACAAAAATTACATCAAAATAGAGGGCAGTGTATTTATTTTAAATTTTTTGGGTGTATTCAAATGAATTAATATTGTTTATTGTGTGTGTGTTTGACATCAATCACTTGAACAGACCCAATTACTAACTCAAAGCCCCAACCCTTCAGTTACAATCTATCAAACTATATAGACGGTTGTGGAGATTGTTGAAAGTTTCACTGAAATCATGAACCGAACAATGTTAGACGACAACCACCGAAAATCCGGAAGCGCACAAGCGAGGTGTCTCATACTGAAATGAAACGGCCAGCCATTGCTTTCAAGTTTTCAATGACAGTCTAACATTGATCATTTGATGATTTTAATGATACTCAACAATCTCCATAATCGTATAAATGAAAATATATCATATTTGTTTATTGTCTGAAACACTAATGAGATGCTGGTATTGCTTTTTTTCGTTGCCTAAAACTAAAAAAAGCTGAATAGTTCTATTGTTGATACGATTGACTTACACCTTTATATTAGTACACAGCCAATGACTAATCGACCATCAGATCAATTCATAATCAAAAAACACGTTTCCCTTTTTGGTTAGCGTGTATCAATCAATCAATCAATTAGTCAGTTACAACGTAGAACTTTGTACATAAGTACATACGTTCAGGATGGCATACCGCATTAGCATAGAGACGCAACTGTCAGTTCAAATCTCATAGTGGTAGAGATAGTGGAAGTATTTGCAGTAGTGGAGAAGATTAAGGCTTAAAGATATAATTCGAGAAGTATAATTCAGTGAGATAACTTTAGAAAAAGAAAGATAGAGATAGATAATTAGCAATTCAGGTATCGATCAACTTTTAACTGATGATTATCTATGATGTCGTCTGTCTGTACACAACAATCAATTAGCTTTAAGTTTCACTTACATCAAGTAGTTATTTAGCTTAGTAAGTTAAGATATTTTAACATGCACTGTTTACAGTGTATAAAAATATACAGATCAAGTGATCAATTACTATTATTGTTTGTATCATTTATGTTTCATTGTTGCTCTCTGTAATTTATTTATAATAATCTTGATGTGATATATAAAGAAATAAATGTGATACGAATACAGTTGTGTCACGTGTTTCTTTTTTTGTATGTTGTTGAAATTTGTATTTAGATAGGAAAATGATTACATTTATCCAACGGGTTGTTTAAAACAATTTGAAAATCTTATTTGTTAATTGTTTTATTGTTGAGAAATCAGTATGTTGCTTTCAACTACGTAAGTAATTAGATTAAGGCTGGAAGAATAGTCAGTGTTTTGCAGAAACTATTTTGTAAAAATAGTATATATATGTATATAATAAGTTTTTTCTATGGAATCCAAGATGCACGTTTTGCCTTATTTCGGACTTCTCCGTAGGACGTGTCTATCATTTCAAATTAGATTTTATAAATAATTCTGTTGTAATTTTCAACTGTTTGGGACGTTAGATCCTCAGAACTAGCTTGCTAAAGGTCTTAATTTTGGATTCTATTCATGGACCGATCGGTTGACCTTGAGATCATATTTCCCACTAAGAAAATTCTTGGCTGCGATTGGTTACTGTGTTATTGTAGTGTGCTATTTTTGTGACTATCCCAAGGACATCTCTATAGAGTATAAATAAACACAATTTGACTGCTTATGTTTCATTGTGTGCTGGCTGAATGTTTATAGAATACAATTTATACGCTATATCAAGACTTCTTCGTTAGTTCCTTTGGGTCAATGGATTAGAGTAGCCTACACGGACACTAGTTCATTGTCTCGTTCTCGTTTATTGACTAAGGTGAACCGGTGATAGTTTCAAGCATATCAAGTGACGAGTATAACATGATGTCAAATGACAGTTTATACTTTTTTTTCTATTTGAAAATCAATGATTAAATGTCAAATTTATTTAATAGGTCAATTGATTTTGTTAAAAATATCTTTGACATTTTAATACTAATTATAATGATTATAGTCTTATGAATGAATATAATTTTCATGATTTTTCCTATTTTTAATGTACGTTCTTCACCTAATAAACATTTGTTTTTTTTATTTGTAAAACTATAATGTAATGAGAATACTTTAATTCGATTTCATGTTTTTTCTCTCTCTCTCTCTGTATTCCACTATTACAACTGTAATTATTTCTATTTTTGCTTGCTTCTCTATGAATCATAGTGTGATAATATGAATGATGCTTTAATGTAATGGAATGTTTTCTGTTTGTATGGACATGTTCTTTTTTTTTATTGGATTACAACAAAAAATCAATAATGTTTTGTAAACCAATTTTAAAAGTATTCAACATTGATTTTAGGAAATATTAGCATTAAGCAATCTCTTAAAGTATTTATTCATTTCAGCAGATTGATATTTATGTGCCTTGAAACAGTGACTCGTTGGTATTTGTAGAATAATGAGTTTATAAATTCTGAGTCACAACAACCTTTACTATATTTTTTAATTGTTGAGTCTCCAGTGCAGCGAATTACATACTTACATGTTAAACACTATCATTATACATGTATACACGTTTCTTAAAGATGTAATTGCTTTCAAACTATGCAGTCAGTCAGTTGCAACGTAGAACTTCGTACGTATGTACATAAGTTCATGTTGCCATACAACAGATGCAATTGTCAATTCAAATCCCATAGTGATAAAGATAGTAGAGGTATTAATGGTAATGAAGAAGACTAGGGTTTGGAGATATCATTCAAGAAGTATAATTTAGTGAGATAAGGTTAGAAAGACAAAGGTAGAGGTGCTGACGATTCCAGAAGTTTAGGATGATAATGTTGGTAGGTGTAAACTTACCTGGTTGGGGCCCACCAGATGTTAGTAATCGATGGTTAGAGACCTTGAATGACATGGCTCAAAATCGTTCGCAGTGGCGCAGGTTCAGTCATTCTTTGTGTTCTCTCAAATCCTAACCTTCTGAATTCCTCATCACTTTTATCTTTTTGTTTTTAAGTTTATTTCACTTGATTCTACTTCTTGAATAATATCATCGAACCCAAATCTCTCCGATTACTTCTGATACTTCTACTACGTCTACTACTATGTTATTTGAATTGACAATTACATCTCTGTGTGCTAATATGGTATGGCAACTTGAACTGATGTACGCACGTACGTAAGAAGTTCTATGTTGTTGACTGATTGACTAAATAATAATTTACTGCATTAAATTTCTATTTTATCTTTTGTAGACCACGTTTAAAAATTCGTAATCGAAATTGGTCTATCATGCCAATCAAATTAAAAAATGGTAACCATGCTCAACAACAACAGCAACATCAATTTGAAACAATTGAATCGTTAGAAAACAAATCTGGTTTTGTTCTACCTTCTGGTGAACAATTATCGTGGTTAGATATTGAAAAATTCTATACAAATTACAATAATTCACCTGATCAATTATTATCAACAAAATCTAATCTGGTATTTATTTTCTGTTTTTCTAATTTAAATAAGTTCTGTTGTTTTAATTTGACTTAGCATTGTATTGAATTGATAAGTTTATGATGACAGGAATTTTGTTATTATCATATTTTACAGAAAATGTAACAGTAAATATTTCATGACTTGCTTTAAACAAGGTAAATTGAGATAGATAGATATTATTTCTTATGGATTTTCAAAGTTAGTTTTTTCTCGCCCGTTGTTGTGTTTGTGTTACGCTCGTCTCTAGGTATGCTTAAACTATTACGAGAACAAAACAATGAACCAACATCCAGGTAGGCTACTGTGATCCGATTGTCCCAATTGTACCAGCAAGAAGTCTTGATATAGCGTAGAAAGTGTATTCTATAAACACCCAGCCAGCACATAAAGGAATCCAAGCACTGAAATCGCGTTTATTTATACTCTATAGAGATGTCCTTGGGACAGTCACAAAAATAGCACACTAAAATAACACAGTAACCAATCACAGCCAAGGATTTTCCTTGTGTGAAATGTGATCTCAAGGTCAACTGATTAGTACATGAAATAAATCCAAAATACAGATATTTATCGAGCGAGTTCTGGGGATCTAATATCTCCAACAGTTTGAGATACATTTGAACCCCCTTAAACGCAGTCCATTAGACAGGCTTCTTATTTCATTTGCACATGACCTCCTAGCTCTTTCCATTTTGTTTAGTACGACATCGAAATCTGAGGAAACAATGGTCTGTTTGTCTTTTTTTTGATGACCATTTTTCCATGTTGTTCCAAAACAGCATCACAAGAAAAGAAGTAATGCTTTCTTGTAACTATTAAATTTAATTTTATTGGTCGGGTGCTAGTAATCGTCACATGTTTACAATTTAAATCCAATTTTAATCATGTTGTTGGTCATAGTTTTAGTTTTCATGAGGGGAGAAAATATTCTCTACATAAGTTTTGTTTTCATTTTAAAAGAAATAGTCAGTTACAACGTAGAACTTCGTACATGAGTACATAAGTCCAGGTTGCCATACCACATTAGCACAGTAACGCAATCGTCAGTTCATGTCGCATAGTCGTAATGATAGTAGAAGTATTATTGGCAATGGAGAAGATTAGGGTTCGAAGATATAATTCAAGAAGTATAATTCCGTGAGATCACTTTAAAACAGAAAGCATAGAAGTGATGAAGAATTTAGAAGATTAGAATTTCAAAGAGTACAAAGAAAACATAAAGAAATAATTTAAGATTTCGAAGGATTAAATAAATTGAATAAATTTCATGAAATTTTTACATGCCAATGAATCTAATTATTTCCACTGACCAAACAAGAGAGAGAGATCATAATGATATCGTGACCTTTGTATACAAACTACTTATATTTAAATAGTAATATCATTACAAATAAATATAACGATATAATCTCTTACTTTATTCTTGTCTTAATTATTACCCCAATTAAGGAAACGAAAGAAAACAGTGTAGATATTGTTTTAGTCCAAAATAGTACACCATCATTGATTCGTTTATCGCCGGAAACTATCGGTTGGGATATTATTATACGACGAAATTTTCCACAGTCAACAAATGAACTATTACTTCGTGGTTCTTTAGCTGCACGTGATTTTCTCATAGCATGTGTTTATCGAGGCGCTGAAGTTGGTGGTCTACGTGATTTACATTATTGGGCTGGACTTGGAACACGTGCAGGTGGACATTTTGATGCATTTCCAGATACATTATGGCCTGATACTTTAGCTGGTCAAAAATCAGCAGAGAATTTAACTCAGGAGCGTTTAAATAAATTTCTGTAAGTTTACAGTGTATTATTATTATTATCTAGTGTACATTTATACAATGAGAACCCTTTTTCAAATTGATGAAGAATAGCGTTTTACTTCTTTAATGTTTTCAAGTAAAACTGTTAAATATTAGTTCATCTTTTAAACATCAACTTACAAAACGATTAACTTTTGTAGAAAATGAAAATCCAACTATAATTGCATATTTTTTTAGAATTCAATGATTAAAAAGTATTCATAATCTTCAGATAAAAATGTTATTTACTTTATATACATCAAAATATTTTGGAATCTTTGAATGTAGGATTTTTGTCTTAAATACGATTGAGACCAAGGTCTTTAAATCTAGAGACACATATTATTTTCTCAATTAGAGTTATGGAGATTAGTGCATTTACACATTGAAATGATCAATCAATGATTGTTAGACCACCATTAAAATCCTGGAAGCACTGGACGACCGTTTCATCCTGGTATGGGACTTATCAGCAGTGCGCATCCACGACTCCTGCACCTCGCAGAATTCGAACCCAGGGCCTTCGGTCTTGCGCGCGAATGCCTAACCTCTGGGTCACTGAGTCGATATCTAACGGTGTTAGTGTCTAACTCTGATCAATCTGGAGATTTCGCGTGACCTCACATATTTGTCTTTGGTAGTTACTGCTTACACCCGACAGGGTTGAACTCCACTGGTCACATCTTCTCACTAGAAATCCGAGAATTCCCTCACGAAGCTAGTCACTATTGAGCACATTTTACGATTTTAGGTTAGGAATTCGCGTGCAGATTCGAGGGTCCTGGGTTCGAATCCTGCCAGGTGGAGTTGTGGCTGCGCACTGCTGATGAGTCCCATATCAGGACGAGACGGCTGTCCAGTGCTTCCAGACTTATACTATTATTCAGTTATTCACTTGTAATATAATTGTTCAGACTTAGTTGATTCATAAAATACCATGTATCTGTGAAGTTTGATTATGATAAAATAAATTAATATGTACATAAACTAAGCATGTAGGATAATCATCAATCTGTTCCATTCACATTGATAATGTTTTATTGATTCGAAATTTCTTATTAGCTTTTATTGTAAACTGTGTGCATTTTTCTTTTTAGTCATCTTCCAAGTAATTTACGTCCTGATTTTACTAAATTCGGTATTACACGTCCGTTTGTTTATCCATGGTCTGAATTGATTATGCAACATTCCAAAAGTATTTTAAAAACTACTGATTCAATTATTTCTAACAACAATAATAATGATACATTGACAACAAATTCAAATGATAACAACAAATGGTTTGTTCTACGTGAACCAGGATTACTTCGTTTAGTTGTTCATCGGATGATAGTTGGAGAAAATCGTGCTAAATTAACATTAGAACAGCTGTACAATTATAATCCATTACTTTTAAATGCAATTATTCTAGTAAGTAAAACTTATATTTTTGGGTAGTCAATAGAATTTTATTAAATTTTTTTTAAATTATATTATAATCAATGAATGTTTATAGAATTGGGTGTATTCAGAATGTGTCTAAGTTTTTCAGCCATAATAGTGTTTCGTATTAATTGATTAGTTTTTTTTATTGCTCTTTAAATTTTTTCCGCTTCTTTTTCTAACTGTATTGTTCAATGTCTAATCTTTTGGTACGATCATTGACACTAATACTGTTTGTTGACTTAGAATATGCCGATGACATAGTTCTGCTAGGTGAAGACTCTGACAAAATGCAGGGTATTCTGACTATCCTGAGCAACAATGCAAGCATGTTCAGGATTCGATTCTCCTCGTCGAAATGCAAAATGTTGCTCCTTGACTGACTTTCGCCGGCACCTGAACTAAAGATAGGCAGTGAAGTAATTGGGCTTGTTGACTGCTTCACTTATACTTATCTCGGGAGTCTCACCAATACTGATGGCCTGGTGACTGACGAAATCTCAGCACGAATACAGAAAGCTCGATTGGCTTTTGCCAATTTGCGTCACTTATGGCGTAGGCGAGATATCCACCCGCAAACCAAAAGACCAGCGTACTGCACAACAGTTAACACGGTTCTACTTTATGGATGTGAAACATGGCCAGTGAGAGTAGCAGATATTCGTTGGTTACTTGTTTCCGATCATAGGTGTCTGCGAAGCATTGCTCGTGTACCCTAGGACAACCGTATAAGCAATGCTGTCGTTAGGAAACGAGTTCTAGGTAGGGATGGCAGATCAACTGACGAAGTAGTGAGTCTTCAACAGTTGAGGCGGTTGGGACGCCAACTGCCTCGTCGAGCTTTGTTTTCCGACGTAGGAAAACGTTGGAAGAAAGCTAGGGGTCGCCAAATTAAAACATGGCACAAATCCATGGAGTCACTGACAAGTAGACTGACTCATGTTATTAGGTGTTGACTGTCTGGTTGGGGTCCTCGAGATGATAATAATCGACGCTTAGAAACCTTGAATGACATGGATCGAAACCGTTCACAGTGGCGCAGATGCATCCGTTCTTTGTGTTCTTGAAAATTCATCTATTTGATTTCTGCTAATACGTCTGTTACCTCTACTACTATGGAATTTGAAGTGACGATTGCGTCTCGGTGCTAATAGTATACGGCAGCTGGAATTGATGTACATATGTACGAAGTTCTTCGTTCTAACTAACTGACTGGCTAATGCTGGTTCAATTACTCAATCATTCATTTCATGTTATGGCGTTAAAATGCTATGCAGAATTAGGGTTAATAAATAATTGTAACTGCTCCTATGTTGGTTATAATCGACTGAGATATTTGAATAAGAAGCTTATTTATGAGAATGATATATGCAGTTTACGGTGTATAGAATCAATGATTTTATCTTCTTCTAGTTTATTGAAATTGTAATCATATATGCTTGAGACCTTGCTTGGAATTTCAAACTTTAGTTTTCAACTTTCAACATTGTAGAATATAATATATTCTCTATTACAACAAACTGGTAAACATACCTTAACTTCACCTGGCTGCTGTAATCGAACGAACCATCTTGATTCACTTTTTTATGACTATCTAATGTAAACCGACAGTGATCGTTTATATTCTTGGAGTTGTTTGTATAGCAGTGATTTTAAAATCCGATCGACCACTTCTACAGTCCATTCTATTGATCAGCGTAATTTGTTTGTTTGCATAAAATCCGTGCAAAATAAGGTGTTGGACAAACCAATTGAAGATGGTCGTATAGTATTATCCCGGGTTGGTTGAAGTTAAACTTGTATGCCATTGAATACTGACTCAATGATCTAGAAGTCAGGCTACGCACCGCTAAAGAGTCCCGTACTAAGTTGGAATGGTCGTTTTAGTTCTTTCAGGTTACCTCAGGATCAAAGTACTAACGTATTATTACTTGATACTATCTTTCCAAAAAGCTTTCTATTCATTTGTCATCATAGTTGTTGGTTTGAATCTTGAGGCAACAACCTAAAACTAAGCATAAATGCATTTAAATGATGGTTCTTTGCATTTTGGTCTAGAGAATAGATAAAGATGTGTATACTAAAACGCTTCTCTGTAAAGGCTTATTTGTTGCAAGCATGAACCTATTACGTAAGGAGAGATACTGTTTCATATAACCACTACAGACATAAATTAATGCAGACTGATCATCTCGCCATCCATTTTTAGAACAGAACGTACTTCGAACGCATGTATTTCTGCACAATGAATAATACGTGGCACATAAAAACAGTATATTGCCAAACTAATTCATGATCAAGTTGACTTAAACTTGGTACAAATGTACAACTCTGAACTTTCATTTCGGAGATTCTTGTTGAACGTACACATTTCACAGTAAACATATTTCATACAGTTCTCATTTCATGACTGAATACTTAAAATTCTTTAAAAACAATATTTTGTTTAAAGTTTTCTATCTCTTATTCAATTGTCAATGTGTACATTGAAAAATAAGATTTATTTGTTTTTTTTAATTTTTTTTTGATGAAGGTTTATCTGAAAACAGAACATCGTGGTGTACCACAAGCATATGCACGTATTTATGCATTTTATCCTAATCAATCTAGCAAACACAATTCAAGAAAAGATAATAATAATAATAATAATAAACTTGTCATCAATTCAACTGATGGCAAGCCCTCTTCACATGATCATCATCAACTTTTAATTGGTTATGTTCAAGATGGTGGTTATGGTCAAACAGTAGGTCGTGGAATTGGACTGGGTTTTATCAGTTTGAGTGCTTTATCAAATGCGTTAAATATGATTCATACTCAAAAAAGAATAAAATATTGTATTCAAAATCCAACATCTCATCAAACTTATGTTGTTCGACTGTCTGTAGTGATTTGAGTACAAGATACTTCTTGATTACTATATATATATATATATCTTGTATATATTGTAATAAGCAATGCAATTTATACATAAAGTACAGAAATAAAATCAATTTGTACATAGTATATGATTTTTTTTGTTTGTTCAGTGTTTTATCATTTTTTTTCCCAATACAAACAATGAAGATTATTTTACTAGCTTTAAACAATCAGTCGACATTTTTTTCAATGGTGTTCAATATTTGAAAGTAAGAAGTCATTGACACAATGAATTGCTTAGTAAAGCTGCTGTGAATTGCTTTTTATCCTCGTCTTAATTACTAACCTATTTCTCAACAAGTGTGTATACATTTGAGGCTTTCCACTTAGACTGAACAAGGAGTTCTTTCAATATAACGGAAATGAATCATCAGAAACACAACATAATCATCTGGATTATTAGAGCCTTAGAAAAAAACATATCGAGTTTGTGTCCTGGTAAATTCACTAGTATGCCTTCTATTACGATATGAAAATAAATTTAATTGTTTGCAAGAGAATATCTGTTAAGAAACTTTAAGTGGCGTAGACGAGATATCCGTTTGCTGACTAATGGATGAGTGTACTGCACAGTGGTTCTGTCCGTCCTAATTAATGGCTGTGAAACATGGTCAGTCAGAGTAGAAGATATTCATAGGTTACTGGTCTTCGATCATAGGTTTCTCTGAAGCATTGCTCGTGTATCATGGGACAACGGAGTAAGCAATGCTGTTGTTAGGAATCGGGTGCTAGATAAGGATGTGAAACTTCATCAGTTGAGGTGGTTGGGATATGTATTACAAATGCCTAACCACCGACTGCCTCGATGAGCTATGTTTAGTGCTGTAGAAGTAGGTTGGAAGAAAGTTAGGGGCGGCCAAACCAAAACATGGCAGAAATCCATGAAGTAATTGACAGTTGGATTGAGTCATGTTGGTAGGTGTCGACTACCGGGTTGGGGTCCACGAGATGATAGTAATCGATGGTTAGAGACCCTGAATTACATGGCTCAAAACCGTTTGCGACGGTCCAGGTGCATTCATTCTTTGTGTTCTCTCAAATCCTAACCTGAATTCCTCATCACCTTTTATCGCTTTAAGTTTATTTCACTAGATTCTACTTCTTGAATAATATCGTCCAACCCTATTCTCTCCAATTACTGATAATACTTCTCCTACCTCTACAATTATGGGATTTGAATTGTCAATTACATCTTTGTGCTAATGTTGTATGGCAACTTGAGCTGATGTACGTACGTACTAATTTCTATGTAGCTGTTGATTGATAAAGTGAATGTAACTTCCTAGCAATGTGCAACTTATGTCATCATTATTTGTCAACTATAACTCTTATCATTTTTACTAGGTCACGGTCAAAATGTCAGTCACACAAATTAGAATTACTTATACGAATTTATCGAGCATTACACTAGTTATTACAATAGAGATCTGACCTTTTCTACTCACCCACCATTGAGGTACTTCTAATAAATAGTATCTTCAGTTCGATAATTATGATCTGTATGAAGTTAAAGTTGACTTTTTGACCCTGTATTTCATGTATATGTTGTAGCTTTTCATGGAACGCTTTAATTTTTAAACAATCATTTGGATACTGTAGAATACTCTGTAGCGTGAACATAAAATACAACTAGTATTTGGACGAAGAATATTCTTTTCTAATAAATGCTTATGAGAAGTTTTATAGATTTACATACAAATTAACGATGAGAAATATGATCGGAATATTTATTATACATTTTATATTGATTGTATCATCGAGATGAAAACAAATCAAGGCGCCATTGTTGGTTGAAAGTGGATTTTTTTCTATTAAAATAAACTGGGTAACAGTTGCAGCCATTATAGAACATTAAAATGTTCTCCGAACATATTTTTATTTTAGATGAAAACTAGAGATATCCATCTATCTTATGGTGTTCAAAGTTATCATTAAACTCCACGTCACAATTGATAATTTATAGGAACCTACTCAAAATCTAGCCTACACGAGATTCATCCGGGTTTAATCGATAATTGAATCTAATCTTGATGATTTTAATTTTTCTTGTTTGGCCTTCTTATTCTTCCACATCACACTTCATAATACTATAATTTACTTAACACATTACCTGATCGTTTGAAGATTTTGAAAATTATTTCAACTTGTATCACCTTAGCTACTCTCACATTTTAATCTTCTCAAGTTACCTTGAATGATTATATAATTAATTATCAGCATGCTAATTAATTACAATCTCAATCGTAAGCCTACAAAACTGTGTCAGCAACTCACAAACGTTCTCCACAGTTGATCATATTACTAGTTCTTAAGATTATTCTATTCCCATATGAACTGGACTTGAACAATTGGTGAATTGAGTTATAGACAAACAAATTTTATAATATACTTAGTACGTACATGTAGAATTTTGAGCAATCAGAACGTTTATTGTTTGTGTATTCACACATAACAAAATAGAGGAGTGGCATCATAAGGTAACCTCGCTAAAGCCTGAATTCGGCTTTAACAAAATAATGTGGTCATACTACTTGATTCTACCTGAAGCTTTCAAATTTTCAATAGTTAACTAACGCTTTGCACATCTTTATTCCCATCAAAATGTGAATGATACAAACAGCGAGTTTCATCGTCATACATGTGGTCCCAAGAATGACAAAGTTTCTTATTGAATAACAATCTACAGATAACGTGAATTAAGTAGTTGTGAACGATACATGTAGCCATGGGATTTTGTAAAACTCAGCTTATTTGAATGCCTAGTCAAGACACATGGTCTCAATCAATCGTGACAGGATTACACTTAGTATAGGATATCATGATGACAATGCTGTAATCTGATAATTTGACTTATTTATAAATTGAACAATATGTATTTTATGCATTGCAATGTTTACAATTAATTAATTGGTCTACTTCAGTCTTTAGTTACGAAAAATAAAAGTTAAATTTCTAGCTAAGTATTGTGAAAAAATTTATTCAGACTCCGAGAATTTTGTAACCTCTAAAATTGAAGAGAATATATCCATCCGTATTAGGTTAATGCTTCTGATGTAAACGAAAAGAGTTCTGGTAATAGAGACATCGCCCAACAATTGATTTTACATATAAGAAAAAAAAATGGTTGAATATAACAATATTTATTCTTTAAATATTATTCTTACATAAGAAAATTACATATCAACAAGTAAATGAAAAATGATTGATTGATGGAGAAATGAATAGGAGAAAAACATCAACATCATCAGGTTGGAGATGATGGAAGTAGATCATTGATAAAATCCAAATCATTATCTAATTGAATTAAAAAAAAACAGTAATAATAGTTATTGTGAAAGATAAAGAAAACATAGATGATTGCATCAACTAACAAAACTTACTAATAATTTTTTACTATAACGGACTAATTAGTTAGAAATTTGATATCATACATAAAGGCATAGATACTATCTATCTTCAACAAAAAAAAACGTAAAGATCATAACAGAATAATACTTATAACTATTAACAGTACGTTCATTGAGTATGATGTAACTTTTCTTTGAAATACAATTAGTGCTGGTTGACTTAACTGAAGATTTGGGTGTTTTATTTATAAAATTCATTATTAGTGAGCAATGAGAGTCAACAATAGTTATCTGTTGTATATTATTATATATTTCTTGAATTTCGTTGATTCATTATTATTAGTTAGCTTATCTTAGCGATCGAAGCATTCTCTTGATTTATTCTGCTATACTACTTTTACACTACTCAGTAATCTATAACGCAGAACTTGGCATCGACGTACATGAGTTGAAGTTAAATTCTACATTAGTCCGGATAGATCAAATTGTTAATTAAATCCCATAGCAGTCGAGGTAGAGAAAGTATTAGCGGTAATGAAGAACATTAGGGACCGAATATATGACTAGAAAAGCAAGCTTAAAAAGATAAAAAAGGTCATTACGAATTCTGAAGATTAGAATTTGAGACGACAAAAAGAGTGGACTTATCTGCGCCATTGCAAGCGATTTTGAGCCATGTCATTCAAAACCTAACCGTCGGTTACTATCATCTCGCGGACCCCAACTAGATAGTCTACAACTATTAGCATGGCTCAGTCCAGTTGTCAGTGACTTCATGAATTTGTGTCAAGTTTCAATTTGGCTGCCCCTAGCTTTCTTCCAACCTATTCCTATATCGCAAAACATAGCTCGTCAAGGTAGTCGGTGGCTAGGTATACGTAACACATGTCCAAACCACTTCAACTGATGAACATTCACTACTCCACCAATTGATTCGCCATCCTTACATAGTACCCTTTTCATAACACCAGTATTGCTTACTCCATGGACACAGGATATATTAACAATGCTTCGAATACACATATGATCTAATGCTAATAGCCTACGAATATCCTCTACTTTTACTGGCCGTTTCAAACTCGTATTGTAGGATAGAGCGAACAGTTGCGCAGTAGACTCGTCCTTTGGTTAGCAAACGTATATCTCGCCAACGCCATAAGTGACGCAAGTTGGCTAAAGTCAGTCGAGCCTTCAGTATACGTGCCGAGATTTTGTCAGTTACTCGGCCATCAGAACTGATGAGACTCCTAAGATGAGTGAAGCAGTCAACACGCTCACCTATACTTCATTCCCTATCGCTAGGTCAGATTCCAATGCAAGCCAATCCCTAAGCAACACCTTGCATTTTGAAGGGGAGAACTGCATCCCAAACATACTTGCAGAGTTGCTTAAAGTGGTCAGAAAACTGCATTTTGTCAGCATCTTAACCAAACAGAACTGTATCAGTTGTTTATTCTAAACCAACAAATGAATCTCCCCGTAGACGTTCAACTCCTGAAAAGTCATATGATGAAAGTGTCCTCTCTAGAAGGACGTTAATGATAAAGTTGATTAGGAATGAAGAAAGTCGACAACCTTGACGAAAACCATATTATTTTCATAACTAACCAATTAAAATGGTGTTTTAAGCGCCCACCACGTGACCTGACCTGACGTGTCTGTAAGCCTTCTTTGTTGTAAATGACATACAAATTGAAGGACATTATTATCTGTACTGTACTCATTTCCATAAGACACGCTATATTGGCCGGTACGTTTGCTCGTCTTACTTGATAATTGTAATTTCCTTATTTATTGTACTAATGTAATTGTTTTTATGTTCAGAAACAGATAAAGTTTAAAACCAAGTTGACTTTATTTTTACTATAGTTTTACCACAGACTCTGTGCTCGCCAGTATTGCGTTTACTGTTCTAGAATTACATCTGTAGGACAAATTAAATCCTACACACCTCTTGAAGTAATCAATCCCGATGATTGCTCGCCATAAGCTCTAACTCGACCAGTAGTGTTCGAGTAGAGAGCCTTTACAATGTTAATGTATTTCTTTCAACGACAGACACTGCCACCGAACCTCACCATAAACAGAATCAAACGCCGCTTTAAGGTCAAGAGTATACAACCATTATTGCAAGCCGAAATGTGTGTCTATGTTCTAAGACCCGCCGAAGTGTGAATATTCGATCTATACATTCGCGTCAAGGTCTAAAACCAGTCTGGTTTTCTCGAGTCTATTGTTTAAAAGCTCGAACAAGTCGTTGAAATATTATTAAACCTAATTATTTTAGACACTATATTAGCTTCCACAAGACCTCAACGACTCCTGCTACAAGCTGATTTCTGTTACTCAGTTTATCACTTTGAATGTAAGTTTTGACCCGATCTAATTATTATCTATACTACAGAACCACTTATCTATAAATAAATATTTTGAGAAGCCAGGACATTTTTTTTACCTTAAGCGACCTTCATTGTATTGTTTACGTAAATTTAGAATCTTAAAAGCGGGCGTTTATGAGATGGGCTTTAACACGCGAACCAATATTAGAGAGTTGAATATTTCTAAACTAGTTAAACACTCAGCTTCTACACTTAGTCAATCTGCTAAATATTTTGAGAAAAATTTTTTTCTGAAGACAAGAGGTTAGTTGTTAGAATAAGTACACATTAAAAAATAAATCATACGATCATTTATTAAAAAAATGGTGCAACTTACCGATCAAATTGAAACTGTTATTTTTCGGAGTACACGAAAGAGATTCTTTTAATTCCATGGTAGAAGAGACTGATGTACAGTTAATTGACAAAAAAAGCACACGAAATACATCAAACTTATAAATATAGAAAATAATAATCGAAATGCTACAATAAAAATCACTATCATTTTTCTAAGCTTTGTGTTTCCACCCTTTTCCAATGAGAACACATACAGCATCATAAAATGTGTAAAAAGACACTTTACAAAATCATTAACACTGTACAACAAAACGAAAGAAAAAACCAGTTCGCGTTTAACTTTATAGAGATTCAACTGTTAAGAAAAAAATATATATCTGACTAAAATTATTCATTTTAGGAGAAATCAATATATGCACTGTTTTCACCTTTTTTTTAATTTCATTTCAATTTAATTGAACAGTAGTTTATTCAGTATGATTTATAAAACTTCTCTTTAACACTTTAAAACAAATTCAACTATATACAAACAAAATTTTTGAGATGAGGGATAAAGTTTGTAATCAAAGTAAAGAAATTTGGTGTAGTTTTATTCTCTGCGCTTAGTGATTTCATACTGAAGCTTCCATTGTCCATTTCGGGCAACAAAGTCAGCGAAAACTTCAAATAGAAGTGAGCTATCAAGCTTTTACACCTAAGGCCTACATGTTGTCTTTTAATGTTAGCCTCGATTGAGTGATGCTGACTATTGTCCTGTAAACGTCCGCAAAGTTATTTAAATTGACATCGTTTTTTTTTACTTGATTTTCAATATTATAACTGTCCATCCACGATTTCCACAACCGGTTGAAATAATAAAAATCATGGAAAACCGTAAGATCAGAAACTGATAATCAAAGTATGCTACTAATAATGACAAGACAAAAGGCGGTAACAACCAATCACGAACAAGTTCGGTAGAACAATGTATCAGTAGTATGTGAAGAAATCCGAATAGCTCTCAAGTCTGTGTTTATGGTGTTGTTCAGGAAGGAAGATGGGAGCTTTATGATCAAACCACTCAGTGCAGAAGATAGAACTTCACCACAAAGAAAATACTGACCGAAATTATGACTTTTGTAGACTAAAATGTTTGAAGGATTGCAAAAATGTGAAAAGAAAAACTCTTGATGTATACAGTCGGTCAGTCAGTTGCAACGTAGAACTTCGTACGTAAGTACATCAGTTCATGTCGCCATACCACATCAGCACAGAGATATAATTGTCAATTCAAATCCAATAGTAGAAGAGGTAGTAAAGGTATTAGAAGTAATCGGAGAGGTTAGAATTAGAAGATATTATTCACGAAGTATGATTCAATGAGATAAGTTTAGAAAGTCAAAACTAGAGGTGTTGAAGAATCCAGAAGATTAGGATTTGAGAGAACACAAAGAATAAATGCACCGGCGCCATTGCGAACGATTTTGAGCCCTGTCATTCAAGGTCTCTAGCCATCGATTATTATCATCTCACGGACCCCAACCAGGTAGTCGACAGTTATCGACATGGCCAAGTCCACTCGTCGATGACTTCATGGATTTCTGCCATGTTTTGGTTTGGCCGCCCCTAACTTTCTTCCAACAAAGCTCTTCGAGGCAGTCGGTGGTTAGGCATACGTAACACATGTCCCAACCACCTCAACTGATGAAGTTTCACCACTTCATCGATTGATCTGTCATCCTTACCTAGTAGTCGTTTCCTAACGATAGCATTGCTTACTCGGGTGTCCCACGATATACGAGCAATGCTTCGAAGACACCTATGATCGAAAACCAGTAACCTACGAATATCTTCTACTCTCACTGGCTATGTTTCACAGCCATAAAGTAATACGGAGCGAACTACTGCGCAGTACACTCGTCCTTTAGTCAGCCCCGACCGTAGCTGCTACCTTGACGTGGTAGTCGGGCTTGCCTATCGTGATGACCCAACCGAGCTATACTGGCTGGAACATATGTTCCTCAAGGTTCTACCATGCCAGGCAGGTCGATTGTAGAACGATGAGACTAAAAGCAGCTACCCAAGGTCTGAGGGCGAAGTCGTACTGCTGACTGCAGAGGGGTGTGACAGCTCGTGTGAAAGCTCGTGAAGAGCAAACTCGAGAAAACCAATCTGGTTTTCGACCTGGACGTGGTTGTATAGACCACATTTTCACACTACGACAGGTCCTGGAACACAGACACACATTTAGGCGTCCTACAATAGTTGTTTTCCTGGACTTTAAGGCGGCATTTGACTCAGTGGATCGTGAGGTTCTGTGGCAGTGTCTGTCATTGAAAGGTGTACCAAAGAAGTACATTAACCTCATACAAGCGCTCTACTCAAACACCACTGGTCGAGTGAGAGCTTATGGCGAACTGTCACTGAAATTCTTTACTTCAAGTGGTGTCCGTCAGGGATGTCCACTTTCTCCATTCTTGTTTAATTTTATCATAGACATGCTCCTAGAAATAACCTTATCCTCGTCTGAATTTTCTGGAATAGACCTTCTACCAGGTGGCTCGCTTATTGACTTAGAATATGCCGATGACATTGTCCTACTTGGTGAAGACGCTGACAAAATGCAGAGTCTTCTGACTACCCTAAGCAACAACGCAAGCATGTTTGGGATGCGGTTTTCCCCCTCCAAATGCAAAATGTTGCTTCAAGATTGGGTTTCATCGGCACCTGAACTAGTGATAGGGAGTGAAGTAGTCGAACGTGTAGACCGCTACACTTATCTTGGGAGTCTCATCAGTGCTGATGGCCTGGTGACTGACGAAATCTCGGCACGGATACAGAAGGCTCGATTGGCTTTTGCCAATCTACGTCACTTATGGCGTAGGCGAGATATCCGTTTGCTGACTAAAGGACGTGTGTACTGCGCAGTGGTTCGCTCCGTATTACTTTTTGGCTGTGAAACATAGCCAGTGAGAGTAGAAGATATTCGTAGGTTACTGGTTTTCGATTATAGGTGTATTCGAAGCATTGTCCGTGTATCCTGGGACAACCGAGTGAGCAACGCTGTTATTAGGAAACGGGTACTAGGTAAGAATGGAAGATCAATAGATGAAGTAATAAAACTTCATCAGTTCAGGTGGTTGGGACATGTGCTGAGTATGCCTAACCAACGACTGCCTCGACGAGCTATGTTTTGTAGTGTAGGAATAGGTTGGAAGAAAGCTAGGGGCGGCCAGACCAAAACATGGCTTAAATCCATGAAGTCATCGACGAGTGGACTTGGCCATGTCGGTAATTGTCGACTACCTGGTTGGGGTCCGTGAGATGATAATAATCGATGGCTAGAGACCTTGAATGACGGCTCAAAATCGTTCGCAATGGCGCCGGTGCATTTATTCTTTGTGTTCTCTCAAATCCTAATCTGGATTCTTCAACACCTCTAGTTTTGACTTTCTAAACTTATCTCATTGAATCATACTTCGTGAATAATATCTTCTAATTCTAACCTCTCCGATTACTTCTAATACCTTTACTACCTCTTCTACTATTGGATTTGAATTGACAATTATATCTCTGTGCTGATGTGGTATGGCGACATGAACTGATGTACTTACGTACGAAGTTCTACGTTGCAACTGACTGACTGACTGACTGACCTTTAGTCAGCAAACGGATATCTCGCCTACGCCATACAGAAAAGTAAAAGTAAAATTTTTACAAAGATTGATGAAGTAAAAACAAGAGAGTCTAATCATTATTTTACAAGATAACTACTATTATATGGTCGAAGACTATTCACGAAACAGTTATAATTTCTCCATAAGTAAGAAACAATTCTATGAGGTGAGAACTTTTATATTCATTCCGAGTGTTCATTCTTGTTTACTATACGAACAGGAGTATTATAAGTCACTCAGTCAGTTACAATGTAGAACATTGTACATATGTCCATAAGTTCAAGTTACCATTCCATATTAGCACAGAGACAGAATTGTCAGTTAAAATTCTACAGTAGTAGAGGTAGTAGAAGTATTAGCAGTGATCAAAATGATTAATGATCGAATATATCATTCGAGATGTATACCTAAGAGGAATCAATTGAAAAAAAATAGAAAAACCGGTCGTGAAGAATTCAGAAAATTAGGATTTCAGAGAACACAAAGAAAGTATTATTACGGAGTTACATTATACAATCTCTATGGGATATATATTCTCATCTTTGTAGGATCCTTTGTTGGAGATGTTAGATCCCCAAATCTCGCTTGATAAATGCCTTAATTTGGTTTTCACGTTTGCGAGCATGGGCTGATCAGTTGACATTGAGACTTCAATTCCCACCAGGAAAATCCATGGCTGTGATTGGCTACAGTGTATTTTAGTGTGCTATTTTCGTAACTGTCCCAAGGACGTTTCTATGATATATATATATAAACGAGAGTTGTCTGCTTGATTGTATTGTGATTGCTGGGTGTTTGTAGAATATACTTTCTACGCATATCAAGACTTCTGTTTACAGATTGGGATTCAATGTAGCCTATATGGACGCTGGTAATTGTCTCGTTCGCGTTTATCGACTAAGGTGAACTCGCAATAGCTTCAAGCGTCCTACTAAGTGACGAGCGTAACACCTTTGTACGAAATTGAGCCTTTCTAGTTACTTTTCAATATTTAAAAGTAGTAGGTATTTATTAAAGTATGCAAGCATGAATATTGTTCAGGATTCTAATAAGTACATTATATTGAGACTATTTGTTGCAAACGTAACTGACTTCATACCATACATATATCAAGAATACAAATTTTCATTGTTTTTTTTTTTGGTTTGAGGGGGGAGGGGTTATTGAATTACACGTTGTTTGTTGTCCCCGCTAAAATTGACCGATTGTAGAGATAGGAGAGTTTAGACAAGAAAATGTAAATAAATCTTAGTGTGATATCAGTACTTTCTACACAGGCCGCCTACAAAGTATTTGTATCAAAATGTTTTGCTGTACATACTTTTATAAAAAAAAAACCCAGAGTAAATAAACTGCATGATTAATATTGAGTCAATAAAAAAAGAACAGTATTGTAAATGGAGAAAGTCAACAAATACTTACATGATTGAAATGGAAGTGGTACAGATGTTCCTCCTATATTGGATAGATCCTTTAAAGAAGATTGTATTGAAGGTGATTTTTGTAGGGATAATGACAATTTTGAAATATCTTTGAAAGAATTATCACGTTCTCTATCTTTCAATATGTCAGTTTGATTAGCTATATTTTCTGATGTTGATGATGATGATGATGATGGTAAGAGTTGATACTTTGTGAAATCTGTTAAATAAAATCGAATCAAGCTTATAACTTAAATAAATAAGTGATGAAATAAAATTGTATTCATTTAAACAAGCTGTTCGAATTGTGATAAAATATTGGTTGATCACTTTGCATATAAATGCTACTTTTAATCACCTTAGAAAATCGAACCAAAGGTTGAGAGTCTACTGCGCAGTAGTTCGCTCCGTTCTACTATATGGATGCGAAACATAGCCAGTAAAAGTAGAGGAAATTGGTGGGTTATTAGTATTTGATTAAAGATATCTTTGAAGAATTGGTCTTATTTCCTGGGACAACCGAGTAAGCAATAATGTTGTTAGGAAACGAGTACCAGGTAGGGATAGCAAATCAATAAATGAAGTATTGAAACTTCAACAGTTGATATGGTTAGGACATGTGTTACGAATGCCCAAACACCTACTGCCTGGAAGAGCTATGTTGTGTGGTGTAGGAGAGTAGGTTGGAAGAAAGCTAGGGGCGGCCAAACCAAAAACATGGCACAAAATCGTGAAGTCACTGACAAGTGGATTGAGTTATGTTGGTAGATGTAGACTACCTGGTTCGGGTCCGCGAGACGAGAGTAACCGATGGTTCGAGACCTTGAACGATATGGCTCAAAATCGTTTGCAATAGTGCAGGTGCATCCACTCTTTGTGTTCTCTCAAATCTTAATTTATCGGATTCCTCATCACCTCTATCTTTCTTTTTCTAAAGTTATCTCACTGAATTATGCTTCTTGAATAATACCTTCGAACCCTAATCTCCTCTATTACTGCCAATACTTCTACCATCTCTACTATCATGGGATTTGAACTGACAATTGTGTCTATGTGCTAAGGTGGTAGGGCGACCTGAACTGATGTACCTACGTACGAAGTTCTACGTTGTAACTGACTAAAAAGTTAGAACGATAAATCCGCCTATATAAATCTTCTCGATTTGGATTTGATTCCAGCTGTGAATCAAACGATCTCGGTAATTATATACTAGTCAATTGTATTCCATCCTAAGATATTTATTGTTTTATGCTCTAAAACAATTTAATTCCACAACAAGGACAACGATAACAACAACAAAAGGAAGAGAAAAATATGTTGAGAAGATTGACCTCTTAAGATAATGATAACGCAGAGTATATGTCGCACGCTGACCTAAGTGTATGTGAATTAGAATTTTACATAAATAGTATTTTCAAACTATATGAGAAGAAATAAGATTGACAAAAAGTGATTATTCATCATATACATTTAATTGTAGTTATTACATGTAGATATTGGATAATTACTAATAAGATCTAAAAAATAAATAAATGACACAATACTACTATTAAAAATGTATACTCTATTGCATAGCTAAATTATGAGTTTACAAAACGTGAAACTACCATACAGAAATTCAACATTAAAAAAATTTTACAATGTCGGCTTACCAGTATACACTTTATCTGTAACAAGAATATTTTTTGATGGATTGATACTTAGATTTTGTAAAGTATTGTTAGCCAAAGGAACATCACAGCTGTTTGAATTTGTCCAAAAAAATGTTGATAATGAACTGGAAGTTGTATAATCAAGATTTACATTGTTTACTCTCTTCACTTTACTCACTTCATTAACTGAATTAGATTCAAGTGATAATCTGGAAAGCTTATTGGTTGTTTTGTCGAGAAAGTTTGACTGTGAATTACTACATGCTGGTGCTGAATAAAATTGAGAAATAGTTGATGTAATGGATGGAATACACAAAAAACAATACAATGATTGGTGAATATTTATACTTTGAAACATGGTATAACAAAGACAGACAGATACAACGCAGAACTTCGTATGTAAGTACATCAGTACAGGTTGCCATGCCCCATCAGCACAGAGACGCAACTGTCAGTTCAAATCCAAGAGTCATAGCAATAATAGAAGTATTAGCAGTAATGGAGAAGATTAGGGAGCGAAGATATGATATGATTCCAGAAGTATAATTCAGTAAGATAAATTTAGAAGGAGAAAGATAGAGATTATGAGGAATGCAGAAGCTTAGAATTTCATAGAACACAAACAGTGGTGGTATAACAAAAGAACAAACAAATTTGTTCGCAATATCAGACTAAAAATAAATGCACTGAAGGGATTAAAATACTTTGAATTTTACAATGATATTATTTAGTGTCACATAATTATTTCCTTTCGCTTTTCAGGCTGCTAGGTGTTACAAACTAAAATGATTGAACATGCTAAAAGGTTATGTTTATTATTATGATTATCTATTATGCAAAAATCAATATTGGTCGTACGATGATAGCGCATACTTTCAGTATGATAATAATAAATAATAAGCTGGTAGGCTAAATTAGTTGCTATTAACAGAGAAGAAACCTTACATTACTAGCCTGATTGTAATTCGAATAATTTAAGTAGGTAAACTAGTCAATAAATGAAGCGGAATCATATTCCAACAGGTTCATATTAATCAACACTTGATGCAACGAGGACTGATGACAGTAAATAATTAGACTGTAACAGTTTTAAAAGAAATAGCAATTAGTACCAATGAGATAGCCATTAATAGTAAATAAACAATTAGTTTATAAGGTGGTTTTCAATGTTGTTAGAGGTTTGTGTGAGGTATTCAGTCCTTGGTTTCTAATACGGTGAAAGGATACTTTTTCTTGACATATCTAGAAAGGAAAGGGCGTAACTGCAAAGCTCAAAGGACAGTTACTTGAGGCCCGTTACACGTGGACATTTTGTGAATTTAAGCTCTGTAGTTTTACGGATGAGAGCCGGGAAATCTGTAGGGCAACATAAAATGTTTTTTACCACTCGTTTTGTTATGGAGGAGTGTACCGCTAGATATGCTGGTTGTTGAACGAGAACACTTCGGTACAACCGGCAGTACATTAGGCTTCCGAACTAAAGTTGTTGCTCTTAGTTTATGCGTTTTTCAACCAACCTGTCTAGTATGGTAGGACCTGAAATAACAAATGTTTCAACCAATACAGCTTGGTTAGGTCAACCCAACCGCCGCATCAAGATAGCGATAAACCAAGTTTAATATATATATATATATATATATATATATATATATATATATATATGAGGGTGTTTATCTGAAAAATTCCTTGTACTTTCAAATGCAAAAAGTCATCGGAGTTATTACCATGAAAGAACGGTGATATGTATCATGTAAAAAATTCATAAAAACATCAATGCTTGTTATCAAAATATGGAACAAATATCTGAATTTTACAAGAGGAGAAAGACATACACTTTTCAAATAGCTGATAACTGATGCATACATTTTGAGGAGATTCATGTGACGATGGTGTTGTGAGTGCTATTTTATCTGGTTTATTCAAGGTAGGCACTGCTAATGTATCGAACTTGTTATTGGACATGTTATTTACATCATACTCATTACTTGTTTGGCAAATGCAGGGTTTAGATACAACCGAATAGGTCGCTGAAAATTCTGGAATGTCTAGGTTCTTCTGTGATTCCCGAATCCATTCATCTTTCCTATAACAAAATGAAGTATGCAAAAACAAATAGGGTTAAGTAATATTCATTGTGCTCAAACAGTTCGCAATTCATCAGATGATAACTGAAGCTCAATTATGGACAGTCGTCTTATTACATTTAAATTTGAACAGACTTTTGAAAGCGTTAAATTCAAAATGCCTTAACCCATTTTTAGTACGCAAACATGATATTGATTTCATAAAGGTGTCATTAGCAAGGTTTGATGTGGTAATTTCAAACAAATTGTGCAAGTGGTGAATTTCATTAATAAAAGTAATATATTTATCGTATTCCAATGAGTAGAAAAGTTAAAATCTTTCTGACGTTTCGTTGTGACTCAGTGCAAACCACTTCTTCAGAAAATAAATAGACAAATTAAATTAACCCAAGGCAAAAATATTTGAAACAATTAATCAAAAAACGGATCTGATCAGATCAATGTCATATCACTCCGATCAAGGTGATTCATAGCACATATGCTTGTGTATTCTCGTGTGTGTTGATGTGTGTGAAAAATGTGACAATGGTAATGTGAAAGGATTTATTTGAATATTTATGTATGACAGTAATGCGAGTCATGAATAGAATCAAATATTGTTGCTTGGATAGGTGGACTAAGTCGGATGGATGGTAATGCTTTCTTTTCTATTGAGGATTTATCATTATGTAGGAAGCTTCAGCCGCTCACCTTTCTTTGTATTTGGGAAAGTCTTCCTGTATTATTTTGATATTCTTAATATCAACTCGATGGTTATTGAAAATCTCATGTGCTGCTATGGCTGATTTATTCCAACCTCTACAGGATTATTAGGTGGTCTTCTTTGTCTATCCCATGTGTTATTTGGGTCAAGTCAAAATTTCAAGAGATGACTCTCCAATATAAAGCGCGTCACAATCGACACACCTTAATTTGTAGACACAGTTCTGTGTTAACGTAAAAGGGATCATATTCCTTAAACCAACTAGAGCGTTTTGAAGTGTGTCAGTTGTCTTGTAATATGCTTTGATTGTGTGTTAAGACTCCTTGGAGTTCTGTTATGTCATGGTGGCATGATGAAAAAAAACTACGATACCTATCCGTAGTATTGTATCCGAACTATTGTTTGGTAGTCAATCGTTTCGTTTCGTTGTCACTCTTCTAAATAGATTTAAGACCAAAGAGATTTTTTGCACTGAATGGATTTACTGAGTTGAAGTCAGTACGAAGATTTGAATATGTCGGCTTTCGTTATACATTTAGATATCTTTTAAATAAGCAATCTAAAAATGATAGCTTTTCACGTTTGTTTTCATTCTTATAAGTGAATTTAATGTGATCTGAGAACATATTGATCAGTTTGAAGAAAGTTCGTACGAAATTCTTTATAACAACAAAATTATCGTCCACATATTTAGCCGAATTCGTGGTTTAATGTCATTCGCGAAAATATTTGATTCTACGAGTGGCATAAACATGTTGGCTACAATTAGAGATACCGTTGCTATTCCGTTTGTTTGTCTGTTTAGCGCCTCATTGAAGGTAAATAAGGTTGGGTTAAAATATAGTTTTAAGGATTTCATTATTGAACTGATGCTTGAAGCATATCTACAAGGCAGATTATGAGGTTCCTCTGGTAAACTACTAATAAAGTCAAGGCGTCTTTCGATAAGAGTACTAGTGTATAAGGATACAATATTAAAGCTTACCATGGTTTCATTCTCTGCACTAATTAATTTCGATATTTTCGATCTGAAGTCATAGGAATCTTGAATGGCATTATACAAATTGTGTTGAAGTGGCTTTAATGTGCAGCTTAGATATTTGGATAATGTGTATGCAGGTGTTTGCGGAGTCTGCTATAGGTCTTAGTGGGAAGTTTTGTATATCCAAGCAACAATATTTGATTCTATTCATGACTCGCATTACTGTCATACATAAATATTCAAATAAATCCTTTCACATTACCATTGTCACATTTTTCACACACATCAACACACACGAGAATACACAAGCATATGTGCTATGAATCACCTTGATCGGAGTGATATGACATTGATCTGATCAGATCCGTTTTTTGATTAATTGTTTCAAATATTTTTGCCTTGGGTTAATTTAATTTGTCTATTTATTTTCTGAAGAAGTGGTTTGCACTGAGTCACAACGAAACGTCAGAAAGATTTTAACTTTTCTACTCATTGGAATACGATAAATATGTTATTTTTATCATTAACGATGTCATGGTTATTACGTAACTTTGACATCAGTACTCATAATGTAGCAACATGTCCTTATGTCCTTTAAAAGTTTTCTTCTAGAATTTTCACGGCTATTAACACATGAATACTTATCCTCCCTTATCACTCTGTAGTTCATCCATACTTGTTGTCGCGATCCAACTTATCTTTTTAATATATATATATATATATATTATAATAATGGTAATAGTAATAATAATAATAATAATAATAGCTATAAACATACAGTTCCAATTGTAATTCATCAATAGTATTGTGCATTTTATTCATTAAGCAACAAAATTCCTCTTTCGAATTAGTTGAACAAGTAGAATTGATTGGAGATGTTTGAGTGTAAAATTGATCAACAGTTTGTTTAAAAACATTGAGACAATCTGATAAATTAGTTTGACTGGATGATTTAGAATTTGCAGAAACTAATTCTTCAAATTTATCATTTATAAAACAAGGTTTGTAAGATTTCAAAGCAGTTTGTAAAAAGACTGTTGAATGACGTAGAAATCTACAGAGAATAAATCGAATAAGAAATGGCATTTATTTAAACTTAACATGACATTTAGTATGTATCAGATTACATATTCAGCTACAATACATAATATTAACTGGTTATGCACAATCAGGTAAATAGGTGCCGGCTGATAGTGTAGAATTCCAATCTACAACCTATTTAATTAGAAATCCAACACTTTAATTACTGAGATACCGTTTTATGTTTTATACAGACAGAATATTGAGTTTTGAAAATAATTAACTTCATCATACAGAAGATCATCCCCTCAGTAATGTGCATCATACTAAGTTTAACAAACAGTGAATAAAACAATTCCTTTTCAAGTGTACAATTCTATAGCTAGATAAAATTATAGTCGGTGTTTAAAATGAATCAATGAATGAATGAATGGACGTATAAAATGAACAAAGTTATTTTGGCATACTTTTTAAAAATACTTTTAAAAATAGTCACAATTTAACGATATCAAGTTTAAATTAGTCAAATGAAAGATACTTCAAAGAGAAAATGACAAAAGATGAGTACATCTAAACATGAATACTATGAACAATAATACATATAAATGGATCTTTGTAGAAAAGACTTGTAAGACAATTAAAAATTTGGAAACAATATCTATTAACACATTTGAAATCATCAATCAATCATTGTTAGACCACTATTAGAAACCTGGAAGCACTGGATGGCCGTTTCGTCCCGGTATGGGACTCATCAGCAGTGCGCATCCACGACTCCTGCACCCCGCAGAATTCGAACCCTGGACCTTTGGTTTTGTGCGCGAACGCCTAACCTCTGGACCACTGGGCCGGCATTCAACGGTGTTAATGTCTAACTTTGATTGATCTAGGGATTTCAAATGCGTAAAAACACACACCTCCAAAGCTCTGCCTGTAAATATCTATTAACATGTAACATTTTACAGTAACCTAAGAGAGACAGAGAGAGATAAACTACATTCAATACAGTAACGCAAAAACAAAACTGTCAACTTACAAATGAAAATTTAATTTGTCATCGGTTTGCTTCGGTTCTTCCTCCTAAGATAAAAGTAGTAATAGTATAAGAAGCTTATACATATATCAAATACAATGTAATACATAGGAAACTAATATAATAACACTAAACAATTGCAGTGATCAGTTTTTGACCATTATGCCAGTTCATTAATCTAATGATTGTTTTTGACTGAGTTGCGTTGGTAAGTGAACACTACTTGGTTGGAGGCCGCATAATCAGTTGTAAGAAAGGTTAAGCTTATTTTTACTATTTCGCACTTTTATTTGTTGAATGCTTCAATTCTTTTCAAAACCGTATTTTCTATTGTTCAATTTTCATCATTACCACAGACACTACTAGTAATTTGAATCTTTCGCTAATCATGCTGTGAACTTTGTCTTCTCGTGCTAATGTGGTGTAGGAACTTGGGTTGACAAACAATTGTGGAGGCCGGTTTTGACTATTTCGTTTTAGGTAGATAAGTAATCCCACCATCTGTCAGAGCAAAAGCCATGCTGAGTTGACAGATTTACTGAGTTATGTATTTTTAAAAAAAATTAACACGTAGCTAACTTTAAATTGTAATGTTTAGAGTGAAATAATTCTTTATGAATGTGTAGGGATATTGAGACTTTATTATTATTATTATTATTATTGTACAAATTTTGTAAAAAAAAAATGTATATTTTTTCAACACTACATATGTTTTACCTGAAGTCTTAAAAGCATAAAAAATTATTTAAGAAAACATGATTAACTAGCAACCACATAACCAGACTGATACTCCCATTGATATTGAAATGTTTTAATTCATTGAAAGACTATTTTACAAAGAAATATAAAGTTGATGCGGATTAAAATTAGCTTAAATTCATGCTTGTCAACCGGAAAGATAAAATTAATTTTAGCGCGAAATAATAAATATTAGTTCGATATATTACAAGTGTAGACTGTTATTTTAGCTTCAAATTACACGTGATCGCTAAATGGATTATATGAAACGGATAACTAGCATGAAAGTTGGTTAAACAACTTCCTTCGTTCTGCATTAAATTTCATTCTTTAGTCAGATCTTTAAAAATTACAGTTAATCCCAATTAGCCGAGTGATTAATCCAAGAAAACAGCATGTGTATTTGGCTTCAAGTCATACTAAGCGTAAGGACTACTACCGAGCTGCTTAAATTGAAGTACATAGAGTGGGGTTTGGATTTGTAACCTATTTGCTGGAAACTGATCATCTTAAGTACCAAGTTGCTATTTTGCAAAATACGCCTACACGTATAAAAGATTAATTTGAAACTAAACGCTATACAAACCATCAAACACAACGAATAAAATGTTTTAAACTGCACAGTGCTTTCTCGTTAGTAATAATGCACGATAGTAGAATAAAACCAACGAGAAAAATCATGGTTTGTAAACATAATGACCATCAAATCCGTCATAATAAAAAGATTTTAGAAAATAAAAGCTTAAGTAACCGAAATTCTTAAGCTAGATGATTATACTTTGATTAAATTTATTGCTCTATATAACTTTACGGTTCACAATACATACAGTTGTATTTCAAGGCTTAATACATATTGACTTTGTGGTTGGTTGGACAGTGAAAAGTCAATTAACTATAGATTTAAACACATCAAGAAAAATACGTAGGAAAAGATTACAAAACTTACACAAACAAGTTAAGAAGAATGTTAAATTAGAATGCATACCTTATTGTTTTCATCTAAATATGACGGGAATATTGTTCCTGACTGTAGAAATTTCATATTCGAACCATTTAAGGTTAATGATTTTTGATCATTCAAATTATCCAGTATATTGTCTAACAGTAGTAAAGAAGGTTTATGTTTGATTAAGTAAGTTTCAAGTTGTTGTCTCAAAGTAGATACCTTGAAATAATTGTTCATAAAACAGATCAAAAATGATTTATTTGGTCAGGGATAAAAGATTCAGACATAATACTAATAACAGTATAGTAATAAATTGTTTGGAAATCAATTAAAACAAATAACGCTGAACTACTAAGTGATTGCTTGGGGTGAATAGTTGTCTTCTAGATTTATTAAAAAGCAATTTACTAGGAATCTAACTTCTATAAGGCATCATTTAGTTGTATATTTCAGATGATAGGCTATTAAATAATCTATCAGGAGGATTTCTGAGATTATGTAACGAAACATAAAGCTATGCCCCAAAATATCGTAGTACGGTCAAGTGAGGAGAGAGTTCACTATCTCTTGAAATGCTCCTATATGGCTACATATATTTATTGGATATTAGGAAAGCCCTAATTATTGTCTAATCTCAGTGGATATGTTTACGAAATTTAGTGGACGAAAAGCGAATGTCCTGCACTTAAACTGGACTGCGATACAGGGCGTCCCACCAAAAGGATTAGGAAAACCCTTATTCCAAACCAATAGTGCACATGGGCTCCAGGATACTGGGGGAACGAATTGTTTATGGACCTAGATATCGTGGAATCACATCTACGGTTAAAGGCTCGGGGAGTAGCCTTCTTAGAAAACTAGTCTTTGGTTTGGAAACCAGAGCAATATTCCATCCCGCTCAAAAATTTACTAATCTTTGAGGAGTATATAAACGTTTTTACCCCTATGTACCTATCTCTAAGCGCTTAAATAAATAAATAAAGCTATCGATAACATGTGAGGTTCCCTTAAATCTTTTTCTAGCTGAAAAATAAAGCTATCCAGGATATAATATAGCAAACTTAATCTCAAACAAAGTAAACAGTAGGAAATCATTATGAGTTAAGTATGATTCACAACTTACTTAAATAAACTCTAAGCAAGAATAATTGTATTGTAATTCATTTTTACAAGGTGACTTAAGTAAAAGCTGAAACTAATAAGTAGTATATATTTTAAAAGTCAATCTTGTGTCACTTACTAATTAATTCTGACTACCAAGCATTGCCAAAGATAACAATGCGACTTCAAAGGTTTACTATAGAACAAATGGTAGACTTGTGCATTTTACTGAATTGTAAAGCCTATTTAACTGACTGGCTCTACTTACATATGCAAGTCACTGGAGCATTCACCAATAGCCCTGGTGAGCAAGGTCATGAAATAAACCATCACACATCATATTTGCTGATTACTTTTGAACAAGACGACCCGAAAATGACATACTTTATTATGGTGAAGATATTTGATCGATTTCAAATCAAAACATCCAGATAACGAGACCACTTAATTTAGGGTTTTTGTAAATTGGAAAGATACAGACCTCTTGAGTAGGGTCATAAACATGTTAGTCAGTATTACCTAAAGAATACAGTACAACATACATGTTACTCGTCACTAGTATTTGATGACAAGAGTCTTAGAAGCATAGTTCGTATAACCTGGGACCACCGAGTAGACATTGCTGAGGTTAGGAAAAGATGGTAAATCAGTTGGTGAAGTAGAGAATCTTCATCAGTTGCGGGGGTTGAGATATGTGATACGTATGCCTAACCACTGACTACCTCGACGAGCTATGTTTTATGATTTAGGAGTAGGTTGGAAGAAAGTTAGGGGAGGCCAAATTGAAACATTGCATAAATTCATGAAGTCACTGACAAGTAGACTGAGTCCTACTAATAGGTGCAGACTATCTAGTTGAGGTCCGTGACATGATAGTAACCGATGGTTAGAGACTTTGAATGACATGGCTCAAAACTGCTTGCAATGGCGCAGATGAGTCCATTGTTTGTGATCTCTCGAATTCCAATCTTCCGAATTCCTCATGACCGTCTTCCTCTTTTATTAAATTCAACTCGCAGGACTATACCTCTCGAATCGAACATTCAATCCCTAATCTTCTCCATTACCGCTAATACTTCTACTACGTCTATTACTATGGGATTGGAACTGACAATTGCATCTGTGCTAATGTGGTATGGCTGTTGAAAATGACAATTTTAACAAATACCATTCTGTGATAATTACCACATTGTATTTAGTTGACTGGTAACTAGAAATAACTGCTTGGTTTTTCTTTCAATAAAATCTACGGCTACAAGATAATTTAGCCACAGTACACCGTGCTAAGATCGAATATGAATGATATTAGGCATTCTCAAAAATATGATCAGAGTAAGAACAAAATTTATCTAAGACAAGAAATATTACACGAATGATCAAGATGGGGAAAAAAACACAAAATTACTTCTTTCTTTAATTGCATTTGATAAGCAATCAGTTCATCCGATAATCCAATAGTTTCATCAGAACAAAGAGAAAACAATTTGGCATTGTTTCTATAATCAAAAAATAAAACTTGATTTACATAAACTAAGTCGCAAAATCATGATGGTATTAAACTGATTTCCAAAGAGGTCTTTAGGTGATCATTAATTTTAAAATCCATGATGCATTATAGACGCCAAGAAATGAACCGCATAAATATAATAAATCATGAAGAGAAAGAAATCGACGATAACAGAACAAAAACAGGTACTTCAAGAACGCTCAAAGATCATTCATTATTTTTTCCAAGTGTTGATAGAAAAAACTGTAACAGTGACGTGAATTTCCAGTGATAGCAATTGCTTAGGCTACTGATCCACATGATTTATTTAACTCAACATACTAAATAGTGATGAACTAACAAAATAGTTAGCCAGAGTAAGTAGGACTCATTTTATGACTCAATGTCATAAGGTGACGACTATAGTGTGCACTGATATATCAAACCCACATGTCATGGCTTTTGGATAAACTAACTAATCCATTCTTCCCGAGCCATTACAGTCAGTCAGTCAGTCAGTTGCAACGTAGAACTTCGTACGTATGTACATAAGTTCATGTTGCCATACCACATTATTAGCACAGAGACGCAAATGTCAAATCAAATCCCATAGTGATAAAGATAGTAGAGGTATTAATGTTAATAAAGAAGACTAGAGTTCGAAGATATTATTCAAAAAATATAATTCAGTGAGATAAGATTATAAAGACAAAGGCAGAGGTATTGACGAATCCAGAAGATTAGGATTTGAGAGAGCTCAAAGAGTGGATGCACCTGCGCCATTGCAAACGATTTTGAGCCATGTCGTTCAAGGTCTCTAACCATTGATGACTTTCGTCTCGCGGACCCCAACCAGGTAGTCTACATCTACCAACATGACTCAGTCCACTTGTCAGTGACTTCATGGATTTGTGCCATGTTTTGGTCCGGCCGCCCCTAGATTTCTTCCAACCTACTCCTACTCCACAAAACATAGCTCGTCGGGGCAGTCGGTGGTTAGCCATACGTAACACATGTCCCAACCACCTCAACTGATGAAGTTTCACCACTTCATCTAT